CTGAGGAAGACCCTGCCGTACAGGAGTCTCGTGCTAGAGCCAGACAAATTGTAACTAAGTTGCATGTAAATACTGGTCATGCCTCACCTGAGCAGATGCTGAGACTTGCCAACCGCTGCAAGTCATCGACCGTAATCAAGCAGGCCATCAAGGAGTTTAAATGTAGCATTTGCCAGGAGTTGAAACTTCCGTCTTTGCACAGAGCAGCAGCCATGCCACATGCAGAACAGCCCAATCAAGTTGTTGGCATAGACTTTGTGCAAGTTGAACTTTCCAAAGAAGAAGGTAACCAAGGTTTAGTTGAACGGTCGTACAACGTCCTGACATGTGTTTGCCTGGCTACTGACTTCTGTCAGCAGATCGTCGTTCCAAGACGCGGTCACAATTTGCTGTCCCGTGCATTTCATGAGGTTTGGACCAGACCATACGGTGCCCCAAAAACCTTGTACATGGATCCCCATCAGATAAATCTGTCAAAGGATTTCCAAGCGTATTTGGCACACCATGGAATCAACCTCTTGCACTGCGCAGCAGAAAGCCACTGGCAACTCGGCCGAGTAGAGATAACAAATCGCGTGCTCAGAGACATGGCACGCCGTGCATGGCGCTCAACCGAGCGACCTGTTGAAGAAGTGATTGAAATGTGTTCCAGCATAAGAAACCAGTTTCTTAGGAAAGCAGGTTTTAGTCCTTCTCAATGGTTTTTAGGCCAAGACCCAAAAGCAACAGGTTGGCTCATAGATGTTGACGCGCAACATGACCCAGCAGTTCAATCCCAGATCCTGGCGGATCCTTCCTTTCATGCCAAAATCCGACTGAGAGAAGAGGTTGCACAAGCTTTCCATGAGGCTCATGCCAAAGACATATGGAGACGTGCAATCGCAGCAAGGAACCGGCCTATCCGAGGCCCTTATCATACCGGTCAACTGGTGTACTTCTATCGTAGGAGGGGTAGGGGTCAACTCAGTACAAGAAATGGGTATTGGAGTGGTCCTGCAAGAGTTATCGGTGTCGAAAGCTCCCAGGGTCATTTCATCCCTAGGATTGTCTGGTTAGCCTGGAATGGATACTTGTATAAGTGTTCCCCCGAATCGTTGAGACCAGTTCCTGAAGATGAGACAGAGTTCCGCAACCTCGCAAAGCACTTGGCTGAAGGGAGACTGCATCCCGCTGTCGAATCCGCAGAGCAGCGTTTGGTTGACAACAGAGGCCAATTTGTGGACCTCACCAAAGAACTGCCTCAAGATGATGACTTTGAGTTGAAAAGTGATGTAGATGAGGAACCAGATGATAACTATGATGAAGATAACGATGATAATCCTGGTCCCCATAAGCCAAATGATGGTAACCTGAAACGTACAGCTGAACAACAGCTTGAACAGCCAAAAAGCATCCGTAGGAGGTTTTACCGGAGTCCAGAGTACTGGAGAAAAAGAGCCTTAGGTGCACCACCACTGGGTCCCATCCAAGAGGGCATAATTCCTCATGTGTTGCGTGAATTTCCCAACAGTGCTGAACCACCAAATGCTCGCCGAAAAACCGGCTATGGGGAAAGCAGCCATCACCACCAAGAAGATAATGAATATGAGCCTACATCACCAGCCAAATCAGAACACCAAGATGATGTTGAAATGTTTCCTGAACCCCAAGATGAGTCATCACAGGCAGCCGCTCCACCCACAGAGGGCGGACCAGCCATTAGCAGCCTTGCCGATTCGCAGCCTGATGTGCCAGAGCCTAGTTTGGCGCCTGCAGCCGACACCGGTCCCGAAGCCGTGGATCCGCTCACTGCCAAAATCCCTTCTGACGATGAATTGGCAGTAGAAGTCCAAAACCCAAAAACAAAGGCAGAGCAGGTGCTAGAGGTTTCTCTTGACGTGTTGTCCACGGACATAGTTGATAATCCACTGTTCCTATGGGGTGTCTTAGATGAATGCTTGATGGCAAATCCTGCCCAAACAAAAATGCGTAGGGTAGAGGTGAACTTTCGTAAACTCAATCCCAGTGACAAAAAGCTCTTTGAAAAAGCCATGCCAAAGGAGTGGAATTCTTGGGTTGAAAACAAAGTTACCACCATCTGTAAGTCCAAGGGCATATCCCCAGAACGTATTATCAAAGCCAGATGGGTGCTAGTATGGAAAAAGTCATCAGACCCAGATGACAAACAGAAAACACCTAAAGCCCGGTTAGTGTTGGTAGGATGGCAGGATCCCGAACTTGGAAAAATAGCAACGGATTCACCAACGTTGCGGAAAGAATCCAAAAGCATGGTTCTGTCCATTTGTGCCTCAAAACACTGGAAACTATGTGGAGCAGACATAAAAACAGCCTTTTTGTCCGGAGACCCATCAGTCAGAGATATCTACTTCAAACCACCCCCAGAAATAAAAGAATGGATGAAACTAGAAAGGGATGACTTGATGAAACTAGAGAAGGCCGCATACGGTCCGGCGGAAGCCCCAAGGGCATGGTTCCTCCGCTTAACCCGTGAAATGTTGGATGTTGGGTTAACTCAATCAAGTTTAGATCCATGTCTTTTTTCCTTGCGTGGTAAGGATGGTTCCCTCCAAGGTATATGTGGAGTCCACGTTGATAATATCTTGGGAGGCGGTACCCCTGAAATGGATAAGGTTCTGACAAAGCTGAAATCCAAACTGCCCTTTGGTGACTACCGCACTTTCACCATCAGGTACACAGGTGTGGAGATCAGACAAAGTCCCACCAATTTCAGCATAGAGGTTGGACAAGAAGCTTATATAGACAGTTTGCAACCAGTTGAGACAAAACACCTTGGTAACGCCAGTACTCCACTTCCAAATGCCAGCATCCTGCGGCAGTGTGCGGGTCAGTTAGCTTGGGTGTCAAATTCGACGCGTCCAGATCAAGCATTTTTATCATCGTACCTTCAAGGCATGCAGGATAAAGGAACAGTATCCCATGTCCAGCTTTATAATAAAGCCATCCGAGAAATGAAACAAAACAAGGTTTGCCTGAAGTTCCCAAGTGATGTTCCCATAGAATCTTGGAGGATCATGGCAATTTCCGATGCCGGATGGGGTACGAGGGGTAATGGAGAATCCCAAGGGGGGTACATCCTTTGCTTGACCAATAGTGCCATGCTGGAGCAAAAGCCAGCAACCTGTTGGATCGTCGATTGGAGCTCAAAGAAATTGCGCAGAGCTGTCAGGTCAAGTGTGGCTGCCGAGACGCTTGCTGGTCAGAATGGGTTAGACGCCATCGAAATGTTCCAAGCCTTGTTGGAAGAGACCATAAGAGGTGTAACCCCAAAACAGTTTAGAGAGCAAGTCCCTAAATACCCAGCAGCTCTTGTTGTGGATTCAAAAGGGTTTTACGATGCAGTAACAAGAAGTTGTTGCAGCCAAGCAGTTTCCATCGAACGCCGTCTTCAGATAGATTATGCAATCGCAAAAGAAACCATGCGTAACCAGAACATAAAGATCTTTTGGATCAATAACGTGCGTATGATTGCAGATATCTTGACAAAACTTCGTGGGGATGCAAAACCTTTATATGACCTGTTACAAACATGGAAATACCACATCAAGCCATGCACAGAGTCTGGAAGGAAAGAGAAAGCCCGAGGGTCCGATGGCACTTTGCCAAACCAGTGACAGCCGTCACCCTGAGTTGTTAGTAACTCCCATGATGTTCAGTGTATAGATAAATGGGGTAATCGGCCAGGGGGATAACCAATAAATAATAAGTAGATTTATCCAAAAGGGGTAAGCCTGCTGAACGTTTTGCAAATGATGTACAGAGACCGCGTCTCAACATGAGTGCAGTTTGAGTTTTCCAAGCCTTAGAGATCGCCAGATCCGTTTGCCTTAGCCTTCAGCCGATGTCCGGTCGCATGTCGAAGTGCTTCAGAGGTGAAAGCACAGGGCGCTTGTCTGAAGATGAGATATGCCAAGCTGCAGGATTTCTTCACCGAGCACTGGTTCATGAACAAACTGGTCTCATTGTGGAGAAGATCACAAAGCAGTACTCTGGAAAGAACATGGCCGTCCATGCTGTAGCCGTGTTGGAGCAGATTGGTGCTATGAATGATTCATCCAAGCGTCGTTGGGATGAATCGGATGCCGAGTCTTCAGCCTGGGATCAAGTGTCCAGCCTGAGTGAGACCGAATTCCATGTGCCAAAGCCTGATTTAGGCTATTCTGCAGGTTCCACCGGAGATGCCAAGTGTGCCGTGGGAGCAGCCGAAGCCGCATCCACCGAGAATAAGGTGAAGCTGCCAAAAGGCGTAAGCACAAAGCATGAATGGGGCCGCACAGTGATCGTGATGAAAAAGTATGCCGACAAAGAGATCACCTATGCCCAGCTTGTCTCAATGGCCAAGCATGAGAAAGATGCAGAGCGCTATGTGGGGTGGATTCAGAGCACCTACACACCGAAGAAAGAAGATTTGCAGGTGGCAGATGGCGTGCCTCAAGCCATTGACTTTGCCCGCTACTTGAAGTGCATTGACTGGAAAAAGGAAGGACATGGTGAATTCGTTCGCCGTCTGAAGTGAAGCCAACGATATGGCAGGATCTACAGAAATATGAACTGTGAGCCTTTTTAGGCGATGCTTGCTACACTCTGAGGGCGTGCAAAAATCCACGTCATGAATGAGCATGGATGAAACTTCATGAGAGCTTGCTTCGCCGCGCCGTGGCTCACAGGGCCCTTGAGCCAACTTCAACAGTTGGCTGTGGAGGAAAACAGACTGCAGCTGCCGCTGCTTGGTGAGGGTCGTTGCCCCTAGCTGTTGTGAAATAGGAACCCGCTTCCGGTTTGTCATATATATATGGTTGGTGGTTTAGAACATTTTTTTATTTTCCCCAATAGTTGGGATTGTGATCCAATCTGACGAACTCCATCATTTTTCAGGGGGGTAGGTCAACATAGGTCAACCACCAATCAGATACATTTGGCTCCCTCTGAAGATCAGCCAACCTCCGATGACCGTGACCCAACCTCCATGCCCGGCGTTCGAGGCCTCTGCACCTCCAATGGATTTCGCCGCTCTTTTCGAAGCCGGCGGCTGGTTTGAGGCGGCCTGATGGCTAAATCCTGATCCACTGGTTGGTTAATGATCTTGAATCACTGGTCGATAATTACACATGTAATTACTGAATATATATTTATATATATATATAATGAGATATGAATAGTCACTGATTGGTCGATTTGTAAGATTTGTTTTTAGTGTAACCCGAAATCCGATGGTTAGACACTCATTTTTCCCTGTTCAAATGCTTATATTACTTGGGGGTTGATTCCTCAATTTCAGACGCGGTCATATGGGGGTTTCCTGTACATGTTCCCTCGAACCAATTCTGGTAAGCCTTCGGTTGCCATTCAATCCAAGCATTCGACCTGGTTTTCCATTTGCTTATTGAACATGATGAAGCTGTTTGTTGTATTTGTTTTTTGCGATGTTTAAACATTTCTTGATATTGTATAGATATATATATATATATACATTTGATACATTATATTACATATATATATATGTATTTGTAAACATTTGGGAATCAATTTGGGAAGATGGAGTTTAAGATGGCAGTATGGGTTCGAATTTCAATGCCCAGCAAACTGCTGATGGATTTGTTCAGCTGAAGTGGCGAAACATCAGAATTTTTGGGGTCTCCAAGTTTGACTCATGTATCCATATGGAGGTTTCTTAAAATAGGGGTACCCCCAAATCATCCATTTAAAAAGTATTTTTCCGTTATAAACCATCCAGCTATTGGGGATCCCCCATTTATGGAAACCTCCATATGGCTTTGTCCTAGAGTCGTCCTAGAGCATCTAGGGCGCCATGATGTGAGCCCCATTCCGGTACCATGGAAGGAAATCGACCATGGGAATGTGATCATATGTGGTCCCATGATTGTTGGTCCTTGGAATTTCCAGCCATCAACCCAAGGGTTTTTATTTTATAGCTTATAATATATAAGATTAATTATATGAAATTATATAAGATTATTTACAATTTGAATAAAGTCGTTACATTGCAAGTAAAGCAACCTGCAAAAGGACCGGAAAGTAATGATGTTCGTGTAGATGTTGCTTTCTAGTTCACTGCAGGAATGGCTGAGCTTATAACCTGGTGAGCCACCAAGTATAGTAAGTGTTTTTTGTTGCCCTAGTTAACAAGTCACCATTTCCTGGATTATATATAACATTTCATATTGGAATATGACAATGGGTATGATATATATATATATTTATATGTGCATGTGTATGTATTATATATATATACACACATATAGACATATGCACAAAATATACACATTTGACATATAGACAGGTGTGTGCACATATTATACATATATATATGTATATATATACATAATAATATACATATATATTTGAATACATATACATATGCAATCAAATGTGTATCTATATGTATATATACTATGCATACATATACATATGCAAACATGTGTGTGTATGTATATAATTAAACATGTATATTTGTTCATGCATTGTATACATGTGTATATTTGGGTAGAGTATGATGGCCTTTGGAATGATGGTTTATATGTGAGGAATAGTCCCCTAACAGCCCAACAAGCTTCAGCTATATCAGGTTGTTGGATTGTTCAATCAGCCCGCTGTTGATGGTTAAACCCTCACATATATATAATTATATATACACATATTAACATATAATATCATGTTTTACAAATTTGTTTATTCTTACTATGTTTTATTATCATTATTCTCATGATTGTTACTATTAACAATAACATGTATATATATATATACATATACATGTATGTATAGGTTGCCAACATTTCTTGGTACTTGTTCAAAGGTTGGGCCTTGCCCCGCCACATTTTCTACATTTTCCGAAGGTGGATGATGATGAATGGGTGTCCGTGAAACCCTCACTCTTGTTGGAAACTGAGGCTGTGTGGGTGTTCCCATGACATGAGAAAGAAAACCCCAAATCTTGGGAAGATGATGGGAAAGAAATCTTAAGAAAAAGGTTGGACAAACGCTGAACCATCTGTTGTTTTTGCTACTGGTGAATCATTTGTTTAAAGAACATATATATATATATATTTGGCTGCTAAGACACCCCAAGTTCAGACACAATCACATGGTTCCAAATGTGGGCCATATGAAATATGGGTGAACAATGGTGAACATTGGGTAAATCCAAAAGCCATGGATGGTTGAAACCAGGCCCAGGCCGATGACTGGATCAGCAGTTGTTAAACCATTCAACCTTGGTTGCGTGAGCATCACCGAATATTGGCTATAGTTGGAGACAACAAAAAGGTGCACCACCTCTAGCTTTGCTATATAAGCATACCTGGATTTGGACTTCGATATTTTTTGAGTTCTAGTCTAGTTTTGAGATGTTTATTTCCATCCTTGGAAGGTCCATTGGGACTGAAAATTTGTAACTATTTAGATCAAGATGCTCCCAGTTTGAAATGCAGCGGGCTGAAATCCTTTTGGTGAAGAATGGTGAAGACATGGAAAACATGGTTTGAACATGGTAGAGTCACACAGAAACCACACATGTTTGGAACACGGCTTCAGTTCAGTGTTCCTTCCGAGGTCCAAAACGGCTTCATCTTTCCGTTTTGTCGCTGAAACAGCGCAGACCCAGGCACCGATGGTTTATATTTTGAAAGCTGCAGGGTCAAGGATATTTCAGGATGGTTTGAAATTATTAGCGTTCATTAACCCTCCAAGAATTGATGGTTTAATACTGCAATCATAAGTTGTATGTTGATGGAAAAAATGCGGGTCACTATTGCTGCCCCCATTGACCCCCCTTCTTCGCGCCAGGAAAGTGCCAAGGTGGATGAGACATCCACGACAGAGCTGGGACAGCCTGGTTGAGGGAGAGTTTGGGTCAAAGTTAGGGATCCAATACCAAAAGGGACAATATGGTCTTTATAGATATTGTACATATGTCTGGGTAAATTATCACGACCTCACTGTTCTCCCTCACTGGGAATCATGGTTAATAAGGGAAATCATACCCAAATGGCCGCAAGATTCAGGTTAGTGAAATATTATAATTTACCCAGATATGTGTATGTACCCTTTGGTAATGTAACATAGCTATGGAAAATTGCCATTTATAGTTGATTTGCCCATTAAAAATTGTGATTTTCCATAGTTATGTTAGTTTACCAGAGGGTATATAAATAATTATATACGGTGTAGACTTGCAGAAGAGAATTTGCTGAGTCCCAAGTCTGACCCAAGTCTCGCTGGGGTACAGTTCCTATCGCAGACCAAAGTCTTTGTAGCCTAATCAGAGTCCAGATTCATAGATCCCCAAATAGATAGAATCATGTTTCCAGAAGGTGAACAAAACATCGAGCATCCCTATCATTTCCAGGTGTTCAACTTCTCTGTTTTTTTTTGGGTGGTGGTATAGTCATGTATAACCACATATATGACCATATATATATATATCATATTTTATGTAACATTTCATAACCATAATATATAACCATCTATATACAGTATTTAACCATATATATCCATATATAACTTATATAACCATTCAACCAAAAATTGACTGTGCCCCTGTTCCCGCCATTTCCAGCGATTTTCCACGTCGAGCCCAGGCAGGCTGTGGGCCGTCGGGTCTTTTGTGGCCTTCGCTGCAAAGAGGCGAATGCGACGAACGTGCCCCGTGAGTCCCGTTGATCACGAAGAAGTGAAACGTATCATGATAAACATGATGCTTATAACTTATGGTTATAGGGTTATCAATAATAATAATAATAATAATATAATATAATACATATATATATATATGGTGATACATTGATTACTGTAATAATCTCATATAGTAATATATAACCATCAAGCCATCAATAAGGCATATAACCATCAATAACCATATAACCATATATATATATATACAACTATAACCCAGTCATCCTGGAGTAGATAGAATACATATATTTTGAAAAACCCGCGCGTGTTTTGAAGTGGGAATATCATTGAATATGTCATATTGATTCATATTATACTTCAGGATGATGATATCTGGATACATAGGTAACTTGGGTTATACCATTTTCTAACTCTAACGATTGGATTTGGGGCGGATATATCCACAGATGGGGGGTGTAAACCAACCTATCACTAGCCTCGGTTCTCGACAATGGGAAACTATTTTTTTTAATGATCTACTGATCACAACGACATATAGCTGGTGGTTTCATACATGTGTATACATGTAAAGATAATTTACAGTATATAATATAATATAATGTAATGTACTATCTATATAGATATACAGTACACTGAGTACACTTGCCGATTTGAGATGGTGGAATTCCAATGACTTTCATGTGATCTATGAAGCGATATGACTCAATTTTCGGGCCGCAACTTGGTGAGGCCTTGCTTCTCTTTCTTCCACCCAAGCCAGGTATCGAGGACCATCCTTTCAGGATGTATCCGCTGGTAAATCAACTATAAACGGGCCATTTTCAATAGCCACCTGTTAGTTTACCAGAGGGTATTGGAAAGATAACCATAGTGTCTGGTACGACCAATAATTAAGTGGCGGATTAGCTCGGTGTTGGACATTCATAGTAGTTGTGGGTTGGTTGCTGCGAGAAGTTGACAAGCGAGGTTGCAGAAGCAAGTTCGAAACTGGGACTGCAATGTCACCTATATTGTTACAGTAGTTACTCCACTTGCTACAGTCATTTGGACCTACTGGGACTGCAATGTCACCTAATATGTCACCTATATTGTTACAGTAGTTGACATTTCCACTCGTGTTGGTTAGACAAAAATCTACAAGGTGGAGCCCCAGGTAGAAGTTGGTTTATAAACCCATCTGCCGCTCCACTGTAACTATATAATCTGGCTTGTGGTTTGGAACATGTTTTACTTTTCCATATATTGGGAATAATAATCCGAAGTGACTAATAAACCATCAACCAGTAATACTATATAAACCCGCTATAAACATATCTATCATAAACCCCTACTGAACCCCCTTACAAACCAACTTAACGGACACTGGGGGCACCGTGGTGCCCCGGTCCCCAGGAAGAGGATAGCATCGTGATGGATTTGGAGCAGTCAGTCACTTGACCATTGGATCGAATGAACATGTTGGATATCATTCAACAGGGGGAAAGATAGTGGTTTTTTCCCCTTTTCTAAATGGGAAAGATTATGATAAGCCAAGTAATAACGATCACCGAACGAGTACCCACTGGGTCTTTGGTGGTTCCGTCAGACAATGCATTTTTGTTACACCATCAGAATTGATCATGCCTTGGACTCTGCATCGTATCCAGTGGTTAGGACGCTTGGGGTATCCATATTTCTGAAACAAAACGGGGAGCCAAGGAGTAGTAAACGTTTCCCAACCATGTGATAGTAATATATAGTAATTGGGTTATCATGGTCATCAACAAGTTGAGTTGCGAATCAAATTTTGATGATTATAGATTATAGCTTGTAAAATGCGTGATGGATCAACAGAAATGGATGATACCCAGTGACTACATACATATAGTATTTTTCCACGGGGTGAGAAACCAGAAAACTACGGTTGAATTTTATTAAATTGTAGATTCACAGGATATCTGATACAGAGTAGAAAGCCGTGTTCCTTCAACCCGTTTCTCCAGGCTGAGATCGGTGATATGGACGGGCTGCTGAAAAAAACAGGCCTTTTTTGTGGAAACCGAAACTGGGGAAACCGAGCGGCTCGAATGTTTGGAGCTTTCCGAGATATGTTGATTTCATTTGATGTATATATATATATATGTAATATGTATATTGTATATTATATATTATATATGTAATGTGTATATTATAGATATATATATATATAGACATATGCTTCGTGAGTTTACATGTTATGTCTATGTTACATATGATTGAGCCCAGTGGCTTCAGATCCAGCTTTCACAGTATCAACTCCTTGGATCGAAGGAAATTTCAATATTTGGAGAAAAACATCATCATCCATCGAATAAAAGATACGTAGGTTAGGTCCTCGCTTTGCAACGCGTTCAAAAGCATCGCTTTGGAACGTGCCTGACCATCATGATCTTAATCCCCGTATATCATCATTATCATCAGCATCATCATCATCAGCATCATCATCATGCTTCTTCTTCTTCTTCTTATTCTTATTCTTCTTCTTCTTATTCTTATTCTTATTATTGTTTCTACGTCTTCTTCTTTTTTCCCATCCTCCTCATCATTATTCTAAGAATCATCATCATCATCAGCAGCATCATCATCATCATCATCATCATCATGTTTATTTGTTTGTCATGTACAAAATCATCATCCTCCTTATCACCATCATCACCATCATCATCATCGTCACCATCATCACCATCATCATCATCTTCATCATCATCATCATCAGGGTCATCATCATCATCATCATCATCATCATCATCATCATCATCATCATCACCATCATCATCATGATTCTTCTTTGTTGTTGTCGTCGTCGTCATCATCATCACCATCATCATCATCACTCTTATGTTTTTCTTTGTCGTCATCAGCATCATCATCATCATCATCATCATCATCATCATCATCCTCATCGTCATCGTCATCATCAGCAGCAGCAGCATCAACATCATCATCACCATCATCATCATCATCACCATCATCATCATCATCATCATCATCACCGTCGTCATCATCATCATCACCACCATTACGTAACGGTGAGTGCTGATCCTGCTGTTTCTCAATGTTCGATGAAGGGCTATTTACCCGTAGCGTAAATGTTGGTAATGTGTGTGTGTGTGTGCGTCGGGCGGGTGTGCATGTTTGTTGTGTGGTATTGCGATTTCGCGGGCGCCCTGCGTACGTGCCATCGTCGTACTGGATTGGCACATGATAAGAAACATTCTAACACCCTGAACCCTCAACAGTGGTGAACCCTAACCCCCCCCATCCCCCAAAAGCTTAAAAGGTAGAAGCATTGGTATTATATGGATGGGCACATGATAACACAAATTCTAAGACAAGCTTAAAAAATAGAACCATTTGTTACTGTCAGAATTGGCAACGTACATTTTGTGTGGCAGGCCTGGCACTTGGTGACATCGACGTCCATGTTGTGTGGCAGACTTGGCACTTTTTGAGCTTGACTTTCATTTTCTGTTGCAGGCGTGTCACTTTTTGACATCGACCTTCATGTTGTGTGGCAGGCGTGGCACTTTTTGACATTTTCCTTCATGTTGCGTGGCAGGCGTGGCACTTGGTAACATCGTTCTAAGGAGTATATTTCTCATAGGAGGCCTTTTTTTGGTCCTGACCTCGCTTTGGAACGCGCCAGGCTTCCAAAGTATTGCGCCTGTCAGTAAATTTCATGTCTGTGTGGTTGGCATTGCTTTGATGATATGTATCATGTTGTGTTCCAAAGTGAAGCTTCAGACTGTGTTCCAAAGTTATCCTGCTACCCTCTAGTCCTGTGAAGATCCATAATTCAGACGATGTTTGTTCATACATTATGTATATACTTGTAGTATAGTCCTGTGACGTCTTTTTTGCGAAGAATCGATGATGTCCTGTGGGTGATCCCTTTACTCCATTGAAGCCCATGTTATCTTCGGCTACTTTACCCCAAAATCGGACGAAAATCCGGGCCCATCCAACCCTCCTCCGCTTGCAGGAGAGCCTGACGTGATATCTCTGAAACCGCGGAAGGCATCGAAATTGTGATCTCACAAATACCCTCTGGTAGACCAACATAACTATGGAAAATCACCATGTTTAATGGGTAAATCCACTATAAATCACCATTTTCAATAGCTATGTTAAATTACCAGAGGGTAGATAGAAACAACATCGTTGAAGTGGTGATTTGGGGTTGGTGGTTTGGATTCTTGGGGATAGCCTCTACATATATATATATATATTATATATATTATGGATATTTTGTTGGATTCCCCACAGTGTATCTTTGGGCATCCCCACAGTATGTTGACCCTGGCGCACCAAGTCGGTAGTGAATCCCCAAATTTTAGATGGATACTGGGGTGTACTGGGTTATGAAGATCCACTCGTTGGAGAACTGGCCCAGTACCCACATCAGATGGCCAGATATGGCCAGTCGATGCACCAAAGGTCAGTCATGGCAGTGTTCCATGGCAGTCGTACCATGTGCTCAATACATGAAGTATTTGCCAACATTTTTATACCCAGCAGCAAAATACATGTATAATAATGTATACCTGGTTGGTGGTTTCAAACACTTTTTAATTTTCCATAATATATGGGATAATCCTTCCCATTGACTTTTTTTTTAAGATGGTTAAAACCACCAACCAGATATTGATTGTAGATGGGTAAAGATACCTCACCATGTATGGAGCAAATCGGCATGGCTGGATGGTTTGACTCCTCTCATTTCATGGCTCGGATAGAGACCTCTTCCATAGTCCATTCATGAGCTTTGTTTGCGCCATTATCATGTGAATATACAAAGTGAACACAATCTCGCCTAACACTACCATTTTAGAAAGCCTGCCTAACGTGGACGTGCCCTACACATCATGGCTGAAAGACAGGACCTTTGGGACATTGTGGCTGGATAACTTTGCTGGCAATATCTTTGGCCCCCAGCCGGTGTCAGCGCAGCAGACCTTTCTGCACCCGTTTCGGCAAGAATTCTCAGCATGGCCAGATTTCTGGCATGGTTCGTCTTGCCCAAAAAGATCCGCGCCGGTGATGACCCGAAATACCGCCAGTCATGGTGTTCATATGTTGCAAGATGATGCTACCCAGAGAACAGTAGTGTGTCAACAACGGGGGATCCGCAGCGCGCGGCTCAAGGCTGAGATGATCCAGTTGAAGGGATGGTCCCTGAAGATTGAGCTGAAAGAGTCATGTGCCAGGGGATTTAGCCATGGGTTTATTAACCCATGAAGCTCGCCCCAGACATTTCGTTGGCATCTGGGGACTACCCCCCCAGTAGTAGTACAACTTATTTCTAAACCATGAAATAACCCCCATGAATACAAGTTCGTTATGTCATGTTATATCTACCATAAACCATAGATTTCAACCGTTTTTCTGTTCGGCGTTTCTGACCGCCATCGCTCGACGTCCATGGATCCTCTCGCAGCGTTCCCCGAGGTCATGGATAGGGTACTGTGTTTCCTGAAAAATTGTGTTTGATAGTAGAGAAAAAACAGGGAAAACTGTGACTGACAAGTTTGAGGACAATTCGAACAATTAATGATTAACTCCATTAGTTACATTTGGGGTTCCAATCTGCTGCCATCACAGCGGAGCTTCGTTCAGATGATCTTAGCGTAGTTCCAGGACGTCTGCGGAAGGGACAATTATGACAAACTCTACTTATTTATTCTTATTTATATTGCTAGCAGGTCGTTTCGCAAGAGCTAGATCTAAATTAGATGTATATATGGATGTGAACTCAGGCAGCATTGACCCCGAGGAAGTCCCAAGTTCTGGAAAATAGCCTTGTTCACAAGCTGATGTTGGTGAGAACCAAGGCGCTTTTAGCTATTGACTGAACTGTACCATCGATCGGAAACCAGGGGTTCTTGAAATTCTAATCACAGGTTTCAGTTTCTCCCCAGTTCTACACCATCTAACGGCGCATGAAATACCGCAATTGGTACCACTACCAACCAAACATATTAATGTCAACAGAATTGAAGGAAGCGCTCATCATTTTTGCTATGTGTGCATGTCATGTATGAGGTTATGCAGTATCTATGCACTTACGGAACTATCCATCGAGTTGTCGATGTGTATTTCTGAATTATCTATCTATAGTTATATTATATGTTGTGGTGTGCTGTTCAATGTGTTTATATGTCTATCCTATCTAATGACTCTATATGTTCAAAATGTCTATCTGTTCCGTTGCATTTATTTATTTATTTATTTGTCTATAGTTGCATAGGTTCATAATATGTTATACATAGTTGATTCATTGTAATATATAATCAGATAGTATGATTTCCTATTTATGTATTTCATCTATGGTTTCTGCATGCATGTTTATGTTTGCATGATCTATATGTCGACATTATTATTTTTTATCTATCCCTCTATCTATCTATATATGTATTTGGGAATTTTAAGGTTATCTACTGTGTCTATATTTACTCTCTAACTTTCAATCTTTAATATATGTATACATATACATATACATATACATATATTATACATATACATATACCTGTGTATATTTATACATATACATATATGTTCTACGTTCTATTTACCTTGTCTACATAATACACACCACTTCCGACATGGCGACCGGCGTTGGGTTAGGGCTCCGAGTCGAGAAGTCAGAGCCAGGCGAGCGCGGGGCGTGTCTGAAAATACCATTGGAAACTGTTTTCAAAATGGGTGTCCAATGGGTTAAATTCCAAATCCAAATCCAATGGAACATGGAAAAACATCTCCAAGATTCCAATTGGAAACATTTTTCATCATTTTCCGAGCCTAATATTGAAACAAGAAGGGAGTTGAGTATACCCCATTTTCAGATGAACCCAATTCTCAGATGCGAAGCGAACAGTCAAACCGTCCCGACGTGGACTCCAAAGGCCATAGAAACAATGTGCTGGGTTGCTCTGCTTAGTGATCCCCAACTGAAACATGTTGCTGAAACAATCAGAATGGTAATGTTCATAGTAATAACTTAATAGTAATGATAATACATGTCAAAAATATATAGATAATATATATATATATTTACATATTGTGTATATTATATATATACCATATTAAATACATAAGTTATCCTGGAGTAGATGGAATAATGTTTTTTCAACAATTCCTAAAACCAAATGGGAAGATCATTTGAACATCCCAAATTTATATCTACGTCGGGATGATTATATAAAATTATATATATATACACAACATTATATATATATATATAACATTATATATATATATACACATGCATACATACATAATCATTCATATATATATATATATACATATGGCCCACATCAGAACACATGTCTCAGCCCGGAGCCCCGACATACCGAGGCTGAGATCCAGCGGCAGCAACTGCGGCGACGCGTGGATGCAGCTGTCGCTGAGACAAAGACGGAACATGACGGAACTATAGGATATGTTATCTGGTTATTGTTGATTGATCTGTTGTTTTTATTCACATTTACTGTTTTCAACCATTGGTTGAGATGACACGCATATTGTGGGGGTAGGTTAAAACCACCATCCAGAGAGTATGTGTTTGAGTTCCATTCACATACCTTTCGAAGCTTTGAAGAAATAAACATGATGTTCAAGCTTGGTTCGGTGTATGGTGCGTTATGTTATTCATTCGGAAACAAAGAAAACAAATAGTTGATCTATAATTATATATTATTATGTATTGATCTAATTTTTTTTTGTTTTTATGTATATGCATACGTGTATATATATATATATATGTAGATCTAAGTGTACATTTTGATGAACCTAATACCATATTTCTTTGGACACCATGGCAACCTATGGAATTTAAGCGTACCTCCTTTTCACCACTTTCCCAGGCGGTTGCGCTCAGGTCAAGACAATGATGGAAGGCTACATCGCCGCAGTGGAAGCAGCAAAGGTGTGGGGCTGTGAAGGACCTCCCTGGTATCAGTTGATATTGAAAATGGCCATAGAAATATTGGATTTACCCATTAAAAATTGTGATTTTCCTTAGTTTTTGGTATCCACCGATCTTGGAATTTCCAGTTTTTGGACCTGAACTGGTTGGGAAATTTGAACAAAATCCCGCCATAAAATAAGCGTCGTTTTCCGCATGAAACTAGCATTTTTTAGTGTATATCCCATGTTCAAACATACACGTGCAAGATTACACGTTATCAGTCTTGTTGCTGATACCAAGCCAAAATGGACAAGTTTTGGGGGTTGTTTGAATTGCTGCAAGCGAAATGTTCAGATCATTTGTGGATTTTCAATGATATTCACAAGAAATCATACCCAGTGATTTTGGTACACAGATTAGGTCAGCCAACCCTGCTTTACCCTATTGGTGGTAGATGAACCACATTGACCTATTAGCCAACCCTGCATTGCAGATGCATCTTGATATGCTTCGGTATGTACATTGACATCTTCAGAGAGCGGCCAGTGAAAGTGAATGTGAATGTGAAATGTATATACCCTCTGGTAAACTAACTTAACTATGGAAAACCACCATTTTTAACCGGTAAATCCACTATAAATGGGCCATTTTCAATATGTTTGTTTACCAGAGGGTAACATGGCTGTTCCTAGGTGTCTTGCAACGTTCAGCGTCAGGTTTTTCCCTGGAGGTGTCTGTCGGTGTCAGGAAACCGGAAATTCCCTCGTTTGCGGTCCGGATGCGGTCGTTGCCTCCGTTTTTTGGTTTGGTATGAACGAGGATTCATTTTTGAGTCCCTCTTTTTGATTACAATATATTATGATTATATAATGATGTTATATGATTATAATGATTCATAATGTGTTTTAGAGTCATTCTTTCTGATTATTGTCGCATGCTGTGGACATCATCTCCCTGTCGTGGCTGGCACCTGCCAGGCCTCTTCCGAAAGTGATCGTGCTGTGAATCATTATGTGCAGTGCTGTTACACCGCAGCACCCTGACGCGGTGGACCATGTGGTTTTTGGCGGAGAAATGATGGAAATAGTCTCTGGTAATCTTTATATTAGGCAAACATTACCATATTTCTGGGTAAATTATAACGACCTCATTGCGACCTCACTGGAATAATGGTTAGTATTGGAAATCATCCCCAAATGGCCTTAATTCAGGTTAGTGAAATATTATAATTTACCCAGATATTTTATATATGATGTCCTCATTGAAACCGCCATTTGATACGGCAATTTCCTCAAGTTTGATTGCCGGGTATGATTTGCCCATTGAAGCTTGCCCTTGGGATGTTTCGACACTACCCCCATCTGTTGGTTGTAAACCACATGATATTCCCAAAATATTCCCATGCTTGTTGCTTAAAGCCCATATAGTCCCATGTATTTCTCATCCCCTATATATCTCTATGATATTCCATGTTTTGACCATGACACAGATGGACTTTTATTTGGGATTTGCCTGTGCATCCCAGTAATGGCGTTTTTTTCAGTACAGCTATAAAAGTTACATGCCCACATTATATAACATGTCCACCACCTTTATGGACAATTATAGCTTGGTCTCAGAATAGAAACCTGAACGGAAAACAAGTTTATGGAATAGTGTTCCACATATGGCCACCTTCACTATAGTAGAACATTGTAAACTACATCCTATATTATACTGTATTGCCATTATATCCCTATCATGCTTTCGGTATTGTTCCAATATATTTCCCTTACACACTTTGGTTATTTGGAAATGGCCATAGAAATAGATTATGAAAATTGGGATATTTACCTAGCTATAAAATAGGCTTTTCCAGCGCTACGTTGAATCACCAGAGGTTATATCCCATTTGGTATCCCAGTTATTGCCCATTACAGTATATCCCCTATGAATCCCTATGATATTTCCCTATCATATTTCCATATACCCTCTGGTTATTTAACATAGCCATGGAACATGGCCCATTTATAGATGGTTTACCTATTAAAAATTGTGATTTTCCATGGCTATGTTAAATAACCAGAGGGTATTTCCCATAGTTTTGGTTCATCCCAATCATGGTTTCTTCAAAATGTTCGGGGACCCCCAAATCACCACGGCCCAGGGCCGTCGTCTCAGGCAATGGCCCGGGCGGCCGAAGACCTGCTTCGATTGGTGTCCTGGCGTCAAAACCCTGGAGGTCACATGGAGAGCCCAACCGGTTCAGAATTCGTACATAAGCCCTATAATCCCATATATAAGTGGGGATATTCCACAATATATATATATATATATATATTATATATATATATATACACAGACATATATATATATATATACACGCGAGGGGCCTCAGGTTCTCCGATGCCCTCAGCTGTGTTTGAGCTTGAAGATGTAAAAAAACAGCTGGCGCCTAGGTAATTTGCCAATTTTTCAATAGTGGCAACGTCCTTTTCAACATCATGTTAAACGGATCAATTTTTTTTCGTCCGTTTTAAAGCAGAGTCATCTTGTGCCATACATTATGTTCTCAGAAGTCAGAAATCGCATTTTTTGGTGTAAAATGGTGAATTTTCATTGTATAGTCATATCGTGGTCATGTAAAATTGAGCAAATGTACTGTGTTTTCTCAGGCATTTTGCGTCATGCTCATTTTGTACTGGTATTTGCAATGAATTGGCAATGCGTAGAAAATTGCAAGTGCTGACAGTCAGGCGTTTTTTCTGTGTTTTCATTCTATATACTATAGTGTGAACACTTAATGTTTTGTCAGGAGCTTGCACGCAACAACGGTGTAACTTTTTTTTTCACTTTTCCCACGGAGCTTCGAGGAAGGCTCGCGATGGAGCCACTAGGCCACAAGAAAGGGTACTTCTAAAGCGAGCCAACGCTGACAGCACTGCATCTAGACCAGGGTTCTTATTCAAGTAATGAACAGCTAAAAGTATGCTCAATGATCGTTTCTAGCAGCAACGTAAATGATATATACATGCCCTACCCCACAAATATACCCTCCCATCAACGTAGCAGCAACGTAACATGACGCTACCATGCCCCACCCCACCCCACCCCTCCCATGAACGTAGCAGCAACGTAACATGACGCTACCATGCCCCACCCCACCCCACCCCTCCCATGAACGTAGCAGCAACGTAACATGACGCTACCATGCCCCACCCCACCCCACCCAACCCCACCGCTTCTCCATCGGAGAACCTGGGGCCCCTCGGGTATATATATATATATATATTTATTTATTTTGATGTAACTGGGGGTATACCCCTTTTACTGTACTTGGGATGCACCCCCATCCATATAGTTGCTACCCCAATCGTCCCACCTTTTCAGATGGGAACGCTACAAAAATTACCAAAAATCACAATATACACACATACATATCTGCTTTATATAAACAAAGTTGACAAAAGTAAAGAACAAAGTAAAACAGTAGAGCCTTGTAAGGAACAAGGATACAAAATATAGAGCATTATTCTAAACATGCAGTGTTCCTTTCTGAAGTGCAGTCTTCCTTTCAGAAAATTATTTGCCCTTCATTCCATCATACAGTACCATATATTTATATTTATATAGATGATACTTCAGAACCATGTTGTTTAAATGTTTTCTTTTTCTGCATACATTTCAAGGCATACGTTCTAACGGGCCCATGTCATCCCGTTTGAATGATCGACATGAGATGGTCATGTCATGTTCACAATTCCTTCAGATTTCAAGAAGGGAACCTTAGATCTTGTCCATTATCTTTGGAAGCTCTGGTTTTTATAGCCAAATAGTGTTGCAAACAAATCACAAGTCCTAGATCCGGTCAGTGAACAGACATGTTCGTTGATGTGCATATATATATATATATATACACACACTATATATATTTATATGTTAAATACTATATAATTATATTATAAAGATCCGTTATTATATATTTGTAATAGCATATTTAAAATTGTATGCATAATAATGAAAACATATATTGGATGTAATATATATATTGTACACATGTATTGTATGTTAAATACATTGTGTAATATATACGTGTGTATATATATATATACATATTGTATACGTACATAGATGTTCTATGAATTATACACATTGTATTATTCATCTATATGATATATACATATATATATATATATATTATATATAATGTATATAAATTATATAAATATTATATTATATACATGTACCCCATAACATGTTTATTACCGTTGGAATGCCCAGGCGGGCGAGTTGAGCGTAGCTCGAGCGGCTGGCGGCACGGACCGTTGGGGAATCCCAGCAGGAAGATAGGGATTTGTTGAAATAGATATCTACTATAGATGGTTTTTGAACGTTATTGATAGATTTATTGATTTATCCAGGGATATAGAATGATATAGATACTTGCAGAATTATGATATAATTATTTGCAGCCGAAACTACTGTATTTCGGCAGGCAACTCGGTGGGTGAACACAAGTAGTGATAAGGAGTAAGTAAAACAATGAACAATGGTCACTGCATAGAATTCTTAACACACGGTCTAAGACCGAAGGAGTTCGATGGTAGCCTCTGGCAAAAAAACACCTGCACCGATTCGGGTCATTTTTCTGCTGGGGTTGTGACTTGAAATCTGCGGAAAACAGTCAGGCGGTAGAAATCTCTGGAAACGGAGCCTGAAAAATCTTGTCCACTGCCAGATTGCCACAGGGGTATCCCAGAGAAACGTCTGGCCATATCCCGAGATTCTCAGAGTGAATGACCACAAAGGTGTAGATTGTGGGTCTAGTTTGACCTGTCGACTGAACACGGCCTGGACTGCAAGTTATGTTGCGAAATGTTTCGGACTTCGGAGAGTTTATACTTGGAGCTTATAACCCTGACAATAAATAACTTGTTATTAATATCTATAAATGGGATAAGTAGGGGCAATCTCCACAACCAGAACGAGGGTTATAGCCCACTTACTGGGATGAACCACCTACACGATGGAATCGTTGGACTCGATGGCACTCTATCTGCTGGATTGAATCTGCACTGATCCAGCAGATTCACAACTTGTTACAGTGCTCAAGACTCGGGAGAAAAGTAACGTAGTTGGTTGGTGTTGGTTGATGGTTGGTGGTTCAGAATTCATAAGGATTGAGCAGCAACATCAACCAACAGACCATTGATTCTCAGGATTGAGTCTATTAGGAATTTCTTCAAAAACCCTATTGATCCAATAGACACTGAGAATCCCTCACCAGGCTCTTCGTTGACCGCGCGCACTGAGGTGTCCAAGCGCTGAGCCAACAGAAAGAGCTCGAAAAGAAGGCTGCAAATGGTCAAGTAGGACTTGAAGATTTGAAGAAATACATGTTGAAATAGATTTGATAGATGTTGAATTTATGTATAAAAGCAACAATGGCAAATGGACAACCTTACATTCAATCATTTTGATCTATGTTAATTTGGTTCAATAGGTAAATCACCTACAAAAATGGTTGAATGTCAGTCAGCTTAGGTTTCTAGAAGGGATGACACATGATGACGGGCAAAGGTGAGGTTCTGATCAATCATATGTTCCTTGATGATAGCTGAATGGGTCACTACAGCGATCTTTCGGGCTTCTCCGGAATGGGGACTGGGATGACGATCCAATCAGCTGGTCTTCAATTAATATTCCTCTGGATCCTGGATTTTTCATTTAAGTGGCAGACACCTGTTGGTGCAAAAATCATATGAATCATTAACTTTTAAATGATCCTCATGATCATGTGAATCCTTACAGGCACTGTATCTTCCACCAGGTTTGGGCACAACACGAAGGGAAGGTGGTTGACATGATCCATTCACCAAGCCCAAAATGGTCACGAGGATCCCCGGAGATTCCCGGTGCAGGTGAAGAGAAGCAATCCAAGGACGGTGAATTTCTTGTAAATGATATGCTGCTGACAGTTGTATCACCCACTGAAGACTCCACGATATAGTAAAACACCAGTCGCGGAAGAGTCCCTGACTTTGTCCCTGGTTTTGGCATTTTTTTGACACAACATGATACAAAGGGGGTCGACTGGTCACATGGGCATTGCCATAGCAGGTAGCTCGCTCTCAGCGGGAGGGATTAGGGATGGCTTCGAGGACGCCTTGGCTCTTGTCTTCAGAGGTGTGTCCAGCCGCGGCCGCCCGCTGAAACCCAGGATCCGTCTAAGACCTAATTGGATATTGGTTTCTGCTCAAAACTTGAAGGTTTCTTGCTGGTTGTTGGTTTGGAACATAAATTGACATAAATTTTATTTTTCCATATATTGGGAATGTCATCATCCCAACTGACTATATAATATTTTTCAGAGGGGTAGGTCAACCACCAACCAGCTTGGGTTTGAGACCTTGGGAACTTGAGAACCTGGATACATTGGAAAGATGCGTTCAATTCCCAAGACATCCATCAAGCTTGGTGTTAGCTGTTAGCGAATGGGGCCAAGTTTTGGAGCATCTTGACACACTGCTTTCGATTTGGAAGCAAATCAATGATAAGGGTAATTGATTGAGGACATTTGAGGACTAAGAGCTGCTATGGTTATGGCCATGGTTTTGCAGAATCTTCCAACAAGTCCTCAGTGGATGTAGATTCAAAAGAGAAAAGTTCCTTTTCCAAAAATACTGGTGAGATCTGGTGAGCAGTTTCACAAACCCAGACCCTACTTGGTGCCTCATCGCACTTGGTAAGTGAGTTATAACCGCAGTTACAAGTGGACTAACCCTACTTACCCAACTTATACCTGTGTTATAACCCACTTGGATGATTATAAGGGATTCTATACTTCTCATAATGAATTGTGGGAATGCTCATGAACCATCATGCACCATCATTTATCAACTATCAACCATTATTTTGCCGTCCATCCTATCTCCTGCACCTGAAATTTCTCCTTGTCGCTGTTCCTGTTCAGCTCTTACGAGTCCGGGGGCCCTGTAGGGCCAACGCGCCCGCGCGGGGCGCGCGCTGCCATGGAGGAAAGGGATGGCCATGGTCCTGCCCTGTCTCTGGTGCATCGACACGTCTTCGGTCTCAAGTTGCTCGGTTTTTTCGCTGGGCGCTGGAGGGTTGGGCCCGGTTGGGTGGGTGGAAGGGCTCTATAATTAATACTCTCTCTCTCAATATATATATATACACACATACATACTGGTTGGTGGTTTCAAACATTTTTTATTTTCCATGATATATGGGATGTCATCCTTCCCATTGACCTTCATATTTTTCAAGGTGGTTAAAACATGTTAAAACCACCAACCAGTATAATATCAATTGATACGTGGCACGTTGGTTCATGGCACCTATGTCGTGTCCTCGTTGATCTTGCAAGGCCAGATGTCAAGAACAACGTGCACTATGCCGAGGAGTCACGGATGGGAGACCTGTGATTTCTGATCTATTCTGGAGGACCATAATGTGTTTCACCTAATCAAGAAATACATAAGATATATGCTGTATATATTAATATTATATTATCATTATTATTTTCATTATTATTATTAGTATTGTTATTATTATCATCATTATTATTATTGGTAGTGGTAGTGGTAGTAGTAGTAGTAGTAGTAGTAGTAGTAGTAGTAGTAGTAGTAGTAGTAGTAGTATCGTTATATATGATTATTGTTATTACTAGTGTTTATTATTTATTTAATGAACACGTGAACACAGGCGTTCCATCCTTGGGCATCATGTCACGTGGGTGCCTGGTGGTTTGGAACCATGGATTTTTATGACTTTCCATACCCATAGGATCCATGGTGCTGCTATATATGGTAACATGGATCCCATCAATATACCCCATTTATGTTTGCATATATACCAGCACCAGCCGGATCCGTCATGGGATATATTCGAAATGTCATCATCCCAACTGAAGAAGTCCATCATTTTTCAGAGGGGTAGGTCAACCACCAACCAGGTGCAAAAATGGTTTGCTTTTTGCCCGAAAAAACCATTTGAATGGGAAAAAAAAGTTCGGAACACAGGATGTTGGGGGCCTATTTTCAGACAAACCCGTATACTTCGAGATATTTTTTGTGGCTTCCAATCACAATGGCACCAGTCATTGTATGACATTGAATACGGTTTTTACTGGAACATTATTGGAACAACATATTGGAACAACATATTGGTTTCCCAGATTTTTTTTTGCAGCCACCAAAGGCATCCAGTGTGGCCCAGTACATCACCCAAGAGTTCAGCGCAGGAGACGCAGATCATTTATCCTGCAGGGACCAACGCGGTCTTGTGGCAGGCGGATCAGAAACAGCAGAAGATCTTCCAAGGACCGAAAGCGGAAGGGGATCTTTCTTTGGGCCAAAAAGAGAAATGAAGGAGAATATATACTGTGTTCGGATATGTTTAGATAACTCCAATATATAATATATACCATATATATATAATATAATATATATATATATTCTATGATATGTTCTTTTATTATTTTTGTATGCAGAAACTAAGATGCAATCTTCTTTCCACTTCGATGGGGCCGGGCAGTGCGTCTCAGGACATGAAGACGGGCAAGGTCTGACCTGCATGGCCGTGAATAGTAGCCTTGCTGCAGGGACTGGGTGAGATGGATTGGTTTTCACTGGAAAAATTACGGTTGAAAGCCCCATATGAAGAATGGGAAAATAGCTATGGTTTCCGGTGAAGATTTTCCCAACGAAACCAATCCATTGACTGGGTGAGATGGTGTGCTATTGTGAACATGTGGATGGGTGAATGATAGAAACATATGCACATTCCGAAGATTGATACTTCACATGCAGATACTGGCTGATCGCTAGCTGATGTTCATATCTCAAAATTAACTTATTGACCTCTCAAAATATGTCAATATTCATATCTCCCATAATCTCCCATATCTCCATAGTTTCAGAATTTCATTCGCCCAGTGGCTTCCACCCAGTCGTCAGTTGAATTCCGCCGTCCAGGTACCAAGAGATACCTCGCGGTCGCCGAGAAGTGCTACGAAGGCGCCATCTGCACCATCTTCGACTTGGTTACAGCCAAGACCCTTGGTACTTTGCAGGGATGCCGTGGGGAGGTGGTTTTTGAGAACCAGTCAACGCTTAAAATAACGATATGGTCTTGAAATTCCCCTGAGGTAATGACAATATCATCTTCCATTGCCATGTTGGATTACTGGATCTCAAAGGTATGTGTTTTAATAGTAACTTAGTAAGGAGCCAGTCATCAAGCCAACGATAGCTATAGTATAAAGTTTAAAACATGTATAAATGTGTAAACAACAGCTGGTAAACGCCAGTTTTTGTAGCATATCATAACCATTTGCTGTGCAGTTAAAAACATAAAACGCCCAGTTAATGGGCCGCAGCCATTTGGGATCAGGCCACGCATTTGCGTTGATCATTCTTTGTTTTCGATGGGCCTCCAGGGGTTCTGGCGACTTGCGTTCGTTTATGTGGAAGGCATCGTCGTCAACATCTGCATTCAACTGTGGGTTATGCTTGACAGCAAGGCATTTCTGAAGACTTACGTGCCCGCCTTTGCTCAGGACCCAGTGTTGGAACATCCTGTGGTGCTATTATTGGCAAGGTCATGGGCCTATATGATCATCGTTTTGGGTCTGATTGAGATCTCGGTCCTGACATGGGGATCACCTAAGGCATGTGCGTGCTTCCTGATGGCTGCCGGGGCAGGGGACCTTCTACACCTCCTGGTGTTCTCTTCCTTCTTCTTGGACCATGGAATTCTCGATTTGTCTGCCATGTTTGGCTACGTGATGGCAGGAGGTTTGTTTCTCTTGCGATGTCTTTGGCTGTTGGTGTTCAGGGAGCAATGGAGCACAGATCCCAAGACACTGAAGGAGAAGGATTGAACAGCCGTCCGAGAGGTGATCAAATTTGATCAGCTTCACAGCTTTCACACCACGGGCTGGGCGCAGGGCGCGAGAGATGAAACAAGCAATGCAGCGATTTTGGTTGCTGTGTGGAGGTTTTTAGCCCTGGACCCCGGGATGATCAATAGCTCCTTTTTATGCGATGAAAGGCTCATCCGCTGCCGTCTGGAATTACCTCATTGTGCATCGGCAGCCCAGCAAAGGATGTGTGCAAAACCCACGGGAGAGGGGATTGGGAGGGAATTCCCTTGCTAAAATTATTTCAATGTGTTTACCTACAGGAGGTCCGGATCTTTGGTACACATCCAGACATGTTGAAACAGCGGAGGATTTCCCAAGATGTTCCATTCAACTCGACAAAGGTGGTACCAAGCTCTTTTGGAAATTCACTTGACTTCAGGCCCTTCAAAATATCTTGGCTCCCAAGCAAGCTGCTGCGCCATGCATTTCCAGAGCCGTTTGCAAAGCTGGTTTACTGCTTTAAACGATTCCCGTAGCCTACGGCCTTGATGTTTATGCTGGTTGTTAACACTACAGTCTATATGTTTACAGTGGAGTCAGCAGTCACTGGGATATTGTGTTTCAGATACAGGAAAGCATGGTTGCACCTTGGTTTTGCTTGTAAAATCCTACCATTCTTCATGGTTACTTACATCATGTCAAATCTATTCAAATCTCTCTTCTGGTGAAATCTGCTTAAATCATCTTAAATCCCCATTTGTATCTGGAAACTGCCATATTATCCATATTTTCATATATGTTCCCCATGTTATCTGGATGAAACTGCCATATGTTCCCCATGGTTTTCCCGCAGTCCTCGCGGTCACCGTTTCAGGAAGCGGAAGACCCTCTCGTGGCCCGAGTCCGACGCGCCGGAGTTCCTCTGCGTGGCCTTTTCGGCGGAGCCTCGGGACGAGTGAAACCATGGCTGCCGGAGGTAGCCTGGTAGTAGGAAATGTCTATGTCTGGTTGGTGGTTTGGAACATGGTTTTTATGACTTTCCATATATTGGGAATAACCATCCCAAGAACATGTTTTTTTCCCCAATAGTTGGGATGATGATCCAATCTGACTTTCATATTTTTCAGAGGGGTTGAAACCACCAAGCAGGAAATATATCCATATGGGTAAAACAATGTCATAAACCAGCCATGACTGGGAATGGTAAACATACCACCTATATCTAAGTCTAGAGTTTCCTAAGTCATGGAGGTACCCCCAAAGGGATGGATTGTTTATAATGGAAAATCCTAGTGAAATAGATGATTTAGGGGGACCATCATTTAGGACATATCTATTACTATGGTGAACTAAGAATACTGAATTTGGTATTTGGTATTTGTTTAATAAGTTCCATTCGTCTTAGTTCATTTGATTGGACTATTATGATGGTGAACGGTGGTTGAATTAACTAAGAATGTATCAACATAATGATATAATGATGTGATATATTGGATTATTTGAATTAACTAAGAATGTATCATAATGATGATATATGATTAATGAATGTTGATATGATGAAATATAGTGCAAATGTACCATTGGATGGTTTAAATATGATCAACCGAGGTTCAAAATCGTGATTTCAACTTGACCCAACTAACTTAAGATCAACGCACATGTTTATTAGTGTTAACTTGAATGAATTATTCTTTATATAATTTGGTTAATGCACGCGTTAATAGTAGCTTAGACTATACCTATTGATACATCACTCTCTTCTACACAATACACATGATGACAATGATGGGTTTAAGCGGTTTAACCGTGAGACATGTGGAATGCACCAGGAAATTTTGGTGTTCAACCAACAAGAATACCCATTTAACCTGTAAGGATATCAGGATCTAGCGATCAATTTTGATTGCAACCATGTTGATTTTCTAAGATTCAAACAATGTCGAATTGAACGTTTTTTTGTTTTACCAACAAACCAGAATCATACCATCAATTTAGTGAGATGCAACTTAAATAAGAAGGGGAGATATGATCATCAAAAAAGCCGGGTGATTCAAGATGTTTGAAGCCGAATGGAAAAGTCATCCATTGTTCAACAGAATGGACCACTCAGCTAGCGAGGTATCTCCCCAGATGCTGAAGGTGACCTAAGTCGTAGCACCCCTTTTGGTCCGCACCAAGGATAGCAAGTATCTCATCACGCAGACAGGAAGATCTCCCAGTGTCGCTTGGCCCTTGAAGTTGTGACCCATGGCCTAGCGGTTATGGGATTGAGACTATTGACCAGTCATGTCTTTCAATTTGCTTATACTTGAATGGATTGGTTTTCACTGGGAAAAACTACAGGAAACCCCCATATGTCATGGGAAAATCGATGGTTTCTGATGGTTTCCTGTAGATTTTCCCTTAAGCCAATCCGTTGAATACTGGCTACCACTACTACCATCAACATCTGTTGGAGCTCAGCATGTTTTGATTTGTTTCATCCGGGTCCAAGCGGAATTCCGCGGATGGTGCCATGTTGTGCCCAAAAAGAACTGGGAACCTCCTTAGCCAACCAGGATGTAAAACATGGCCTCCGGTAATCCAACATGGCTCACTGGAAAATCCACCATTTATAGATATTCAATGATATTCATACTTGATTTTCCCATTCAATCCTATATTTCGGAGATTTCCCACATGTTCCTATGGATTTTCTCCATTTTTCTCTATGTTTTCCCATTTTTTGATCGGGGATGTCCTGTGGGTAGCCATGTTTTCGCGACCTTGCGAAGAAACCCAGGCGAAGCACGACTGGAGCCTGCTGTACTGGGTTTGGGACAAGCAGCGAGTCATGGCCTCCATCAAGGCGCGGCGCGTTTTTTTTCATTTTTTGGCTGACTGAAACACCAATTGCAGAGATTATGAATAAATATATATATAATTATATATATATATAGTGACGGACACCGAGTTAGAACCTATTTTGGAAAAAAAAACGGACTTCGTACATCTGGCCGGGTTCTTACTCACATGAGTTAGAAGCGCTAAAATTAACCGCAGTTAGAACCCCACATTTCATATACCACATATGCTCCTGCCCTTGTACACACTCACAGTTAGAACCCCTTGTAAGCATACATATATTCACAAGTATACTTATATAATCATGTATAATATTATCGCTACTCTTGTATATGAACCGATGTTGTGCAAACTCACATATGTCTCTGCCCTCGCGAACCCACACACTTAGAACCTCTTTGTATGCATACATATATCCACAAGTATACATATATCATATCGTATGATAAATACTTTTTGTATATGAACTCAAGTTGTGCCAAATCACATATGTCTCTGCCCTTGCCAGTGCACACTTTGAGGCGAGTGCTCACACTTAGAACCTCTTTGTATACATATATATAGATATACTCACAAATATACATATTTCATATTACAAATACTTTTGTGTATGACTCCGTGTTGTGCGAACGTCTGTGCCCTTGCGAGTGCTCACAGTTAGACCCTCTTTGAATACATACATATGCTCACAAATATACACGTTTCATCTTACAGATACTTTTGTGTATGACTCCGTGTTGTGCGAACAGTGCGAACTCACATATGTCTGCGCCCTTGCGAGTGCTCACAGTTAGAACCTCTTTGTATACATAGATATACAGAGGAGGCCCGCACATGCGAAGCCTGATTTCAATTGACTTTCCGGCCCCAAAAATGGAACCTGAAAGCGCACATGTGGTATCAGCTGTCTCCGTTCACTGGCTCCAATGTGGCGATTGCGATACAGCACGACCCAGGCAACATACAACACCAGGACAAAAGTTTTTCCTCTTGACTAGCTGCAGCAACCCTATCCCCTTAGACTCCTGACAGGTCTCATATGAATCACATGGCGGATCGCAGATCAGCTGGTTTGCTTTGAAAGAATTTTACTTTATTCCGACTTGAAATACGATCCGCCACGCAGGCCACGCGAAATGAGGATAATTAATCCGCGGCTGAAGATCATGAATCATAATGCTTATAAGACGCTAAACGGGGAAAGACTTTCCTCCTCCTGATGTATACACCAATCCTTCGCTACTCCGCGCTACTCCGCTACTCGGTGCTATGTTGCAATTCAATTACCCAATGGAATTGACACGATATCGAAACGATGACGGAGTAAGAAAGCCTTCGATACTTCACCTTCCCACATCTTTCCCTAAGCAGATTCTTACTCCATCCCGTTTTAAATTTATACTATTAATTAATAACGGGATTGACTGAAAGATCATGATTCATCTTCTGTCCGGGCTGAAAACTTCGGTAGGAGTCTAGAGGGGGCAAGGGGGGCCAACAAGGGGCAGTAAAGTATTCAATACAATCATCCAAATGGAAGCCGGCCACCTGCGCGAAAACCCGCAAACTCCGCAACAACAAGAAACACCTCAAGCAATCACCTAACGCTGCAAAAGGCTGATGGGCCTTCTTTTAGCAGCAAACAATCAAGCCACCAGACGAAACCAAATAATAAGAAGCTAACTTCCACCGGGTTCGAAGAAGCAACAGATATACACCCCGCTTGCCCCAACAAGGAACAAAATCATCTACAAAACAGCTTGCTCCGACGGACCCAATTCTGGGTCCGGAAAACCTTCTCAAAACCGGCTTCGCTCAAAAGGGCCTCCCTAGTTGCCTTTCCGGTCGCCATAAGCCACAAAGTTTGTGTTGACACCAAAACATTGCGCTTCTGCAACCCTGATGCAAAAAACGTTATAAAAATGAACCTAAACACGGTCCCAAAAATGGGACCGCCTGGCGGCCCCATTTTTGGGACCGCATGCACAGCTTAGTAAAAGAACAAAAGAAAAGCATTGTCACGGTCCCATTTTTGGGACCGTCTGGCGGTACCAAAAATGAGACCGCAAAATCGCAAAATCAACAGCAAAGGCCGACCCGTCCGAACAAAAATACAACTGCGTTTATTTAAGCAAAAAGCATATAGATTTGGAACAGAGGAGGCCCGCACATGCGAAGCCTGATTTCAATTGACTTTCCGGCCCCAAAAATGGAACCTGAAAGCGCACATGTGGTATCAGCTGTCTCCGTTCACTGGCTCCAATGTGGCGATTGCGATGCAGCACGACCCAGGCAACATACAACACCAGGACAAAAGTTTTTCCTCTTGACTAGCTGCAGCAACCCTCTCCCCTTAGACTCCTGACAGGTCTCATATGAATCACATGGCGGATCGCGGATCAGCTGGTTTGCTTTAAAAGAATTTTACTTTATTCCGACTTGAAATACGATCCGCCACGCAGGCCACGCGAAATGAGGATAATTAATCCGCGGCTGAGGATCATGATGCTTATAAGACGCTAAACGGGGAAAAAACTTTCCTCCTCCTGATGTATACACCAATCCTTCGCTACTCCGCGCTACTCCGCTACTCCGTGCTATGTTGCAATTCAATTACCCAATGTAATTGACACGATATCGAAACGATGACGGAGTAAGAAAGCCTTCAATACTTCACCTCCCCACATCTTTCCCTAAGCAGATTCTTACTCCATCCCGTTTTAAATTTATACTATTAATTAATAACGGGATTGACTGAAAGATCATGATTCATCTTCTGTCCGGGCTGAAAACTTCGGTAGGAGTCTAGAGGGGGCAAGGGGGGCCAACAAGGGGCAGTAAAGTATTCAATACAATCATCCAAATGGAAGCCGGCCACCTGCGCGAAAACCCCGCAAACTCTGCAACAACAAGAAACACCTCAAGCAATCACCTAACGCTGCAAAAGGCTGATGGGCCTTCTTTTAGCAGCAAACAATCAAGCCACCAGACGAAACCAAATAATAAGAAGCTAACTTCCACCGGGTTCGAAGAAGCAACGGATATACACCCCGCTTGCCCCAACAAGGAACAAAATCATCTACAATACAGCTTGCTCCGACGGACCCAATTCTGGGTCCGGAAAACCTTCTCAAAACCGGCTTCGCTCAAAAGGGCCTCCCTAGTACTCACAAATATACATATTTTATATTACAGATACTTTTATATGTGAACCCATGTTGTGCGAACTCACATATGTCTGTGCCCTTGCGAGTGCTCACAGTTAGAACCTCGTTGTATACATGCATATACTCAGAAGTATACATATATCATATCATATCACAAATACTTTTATATGTGAACCCATGTTGTGCGAACTCACATATGTCTGCGCCCTTGCGAGTGCTCACAGTTAGAACCTCTTTGTATACATAGATATACTCACAAATATACATATTTTATATTACAGATACTTTTAAATGTGAACCCATGTTGTGCGAACTCACATATGTCTGTGCCCTTGCGAGTGCTCGCACTTAGAACGTCATTGTATACATATACATCTACTCACAAGTATACATATATCAAGAATCATATCACGGATACGTTGGTATATCAACCCGTGCTGTGCACTCTCACACTTGTTTGTGCCCTTACGAGTGCTCACACTTAGAACCTCTTTGCATACAAATATTCAAAAGTATTAGTATACATACATCGTATCATGTATCGTTTTGTATATGAACCCACGTTGTGCGAACTCACATATATGTTTGTGCCCTTGCGAGTGCTCGCAAGTATACATATATTCCATCACAGATACTTTTGTATATGAACCCATGTTGTGCAAGCTGACATATGTTTGTACCCTTGCGAGTGCTCACACCTAGAACATTATTGTATACATACATATACTCACAAGTATACATATATCAAGAATCATATCACGGATACGTTGGTATATCAACCCGTGCTGTGCGCTCTCACACTTGTTTGTGCCCTTGCGAGTGCTCACACTTAGAACCTCTTTGCATACAGATATTCACAAGTATTAGTATACATATTTCGTATCATGAATAGTTTTGTATATGAACCCTTGTTGTGCGAACTCACATATGTTTGTGCCCTTGCGAGTGCTCACAGTTAGAACCTCTTTGTATACATGCATATACTCAGAAATATACATATATCATATCACAAATACTTTTATATGTGAACCCATGTTGTGCGAACGCACATATGTCTGTGCCCCTGCGAGTGCTCGCACTTAGAACCTCTTTGCATACATACATGTGCTCACAAGTATACATATATTCCATCACAGATACTTTTGTATATGAACCCATGTTGTGCAAGCTGACATATGTTTGCACCCTTGCGAGTGCTCACACCTAGAACGTCATTGTATACATACATATACTCACAAGTATACATATATCAAGAATCATATCACGGATACGTTGGTATATCAACCCGTGCTGTGCACTCTCACACTTGTTTGTGCCCTTGCGAGTGCTCACACTGAGAACCTCTTTGTATACATGCATGGACTTACAAGACTACATAAATCACATCACAGATTCATTTGTATATGAGCCCATGTTGTGCGAACTCACATATGTCTGTGCCCTTGCCCGTGCTCACACTTAGAACCTCTTTGCATACATACATATGTCACAAGTATACCATCACAGATATGTTTGTATATCAACCCGTGCTGTGCAATCTCACGCTTGTACGTGCCATTGCGGGTGCTCACACTTAGAACCTCTTTGTATACATATATTGACAAGTATTACTATACATATTTCGTATCATGATTAGTTTTGTATATGAACCCTTGTTGTGCGAACTCACATATGTTTGTGCCCTTGCGAGCGCTCACACTTAGAGCCTCTTTGCATACACACACACACACATGCTCACAAGTATACATATATCATATCACAGATAGTCTTGTATATGAACCCATGTTGTGCAAACTCACATATGTCTGTGCCCTTGCGCGTGCTCACACTTAGAACCTTTTTACATATATTCACAAGTATACAACAAACCGTATCATAGATAGTTCAGTATATGAACCCGTGTTGAGCAAACTCACATGTTCGTGTGTGTGTGCGCGCCCCTTTTAAGTGCTCACACCAAGAACCTCTGGCCAGGACCATGGGTCGGGACAAATCTCTTTATCTATCCAACAACCTATCTTTAAATTATTTATTTATATATATATATATATTTGTGTGTGTGTTAAATTTAGTTTAAGACATACAATTTGATTTTTCCATTTTTTTGAATCTCACGCTGAGCATTTTGTCCAAAGTGAATGGCGATTAGAGTTTGCAAGCATTGCCGCAACAGAGCGGCCAAGTTGAAATGACAAGATTTGATGCGTGCAGGAAAATGATGCGGTTCTCATAGTTGGTTGGTGTTACCCCTGAGTCAGAACCTTTTGCAAACCAAGGTTCTAAGTGTGCAAAATTTTTGGGTTCTAACTGTAGGGCGACCAAATTTTGGAAAATTTTTGAGGTTCTAACTCGGTGTCCGTCAGTATATATATATACAATTATATATATATAATTACTGTATATATGATTATATTATGATTATATATATATTGTTTAAAACAAATATTTATGATCTTCTGGCAATCAAACACAGCTGCCTGGAAAACCCACCATTTATAGACAATGTTCTGATTGAAACGTCCATTTCTAGGGCATTTGCCAGCCGGCCATGTTTGGGTTGTGAATCACAACTTTTGTTGTTGTTGTTGTTGTTGCTACTCAGTGGCTTGGTGGGGCTGTTGGCGGTGCTGACCATGGGAACCTGGGAACATTCTGAACGGAAGTTCAACTAGCGCCTTTCATGATTTGTTCATTCCATCTGGTTGGTGGTTTCAAACATTTTTGTTATTTTCCATAATATATGGGATAATCCTTCCCATTGACTTTCATATATTTCAAGATGGTTCAAACCACCAACCAGCCATTTTCTTTTGGCAGTCACCAATAATTTCACCAACAGGTCTCCAACCCGCAGAATTCGCTGATCCGCGAGTGCTCCTTCAACCCAACCGATTCGTCCATCGTTTGCGTCCCTTGGATTGGCGAGAGGAAGACCGGGAAGACCGGCCAGGCCAAGATTGGCCAGTGCCGTGTTGGGATAAGATCTTTACAGTGCAATTTACTAGTTATTTCTATGGTTATGGTGATGGGGTGATGACATTCCATCGTTTTTTTTTCACTTATAACTGACGTACAAGTGGTAAAGGGCCAAAACTGTATGATTCATGCAATGGCTATCGCTTTTAAATGGGGAGCCAGTTGGAGCTACCAGTAGAGTTCCCAACCACATGATTAGTAGTTATGTTACTATGTTTGCATTTTCTTAAAGAATCTCTGATCCTTCCAAAAAATGTGAAGATTCTCAAAGAACTGCCTAAGACGAAGCTGCCGTTGAGGTCATTGGCGACGGCATCTTGAAGTTTATGCAACTGAAGGTGAAATTTTATGTAGCCGCTGGTAGCCATGATGTTGGCAGTGGGATATGGTGAAATTTTGGGGAGTAGATGGGAATATCATGGAATATCATGTGAGATTTCATGGGGTTATACTATGGGATATGCTTAAAGATTACCAGGTATGTTTCAGTGGTGAACAAACAGCCGCGAATTGGATAGGCATTAAACAATGCCATTGGGCCATGGGGATTTCGTAGGGATAAAGTATGGGACATAGTGGGATATATATAAATAAATAAATAAATAATCAACTTGAAATCATAAATTGTGTCTGGACATGCAGGCTGCTCAGAATTGCCATGTTTCAGCAGGAAAATGATGACAGACCAATTAATGGGGGAGAAGATATGTCCAGAGAAAGCCTGTGCGAGATCAAGGTGAGTGTAGGCATTTCTGCCAGACGATGTATTGAGTTATGTAGGCAACAATAGTGTATACTGTATACTTGGCAATTATTATTGTCTGGAAATATTGAAATTCAATGGTAATTCTTGGCAATTATTATTCTCTGGCAATTATTGTACTTGGTAATTATTATGCGTGTATTGGGAATTCACGTGGGGAAATGAATGGACACCATGTTTCTTTCACCAGCGTGGTGGTGGGACACTTGGGCTGGCAGCAGATACGTGGTTGTATTGTTTTAACACGTGTTACATGTTTCCTGGGTTTGCATTCACTTCCATGTTTTCAGGCCAAACCTGGTTTGACATTCACCCAGAAGAAAACCTTCGGAAAAAAAAGTTGTTGCTCGAAAGATTGTTACAGTGCAATGGGATTAAGATCAATGGAATGGACATGGAACTGTATGAGTTACCCTTCTCTATATGTATTAGACATTACATCGTATATTATTATTACTATTATTATTACTACTATTATTATATATATATAGATATATCATATACATGCATAAATCTGTGTATCTATATGTATATATATATATGCATATGTATGTCGAAGCCCCAGGGTTCAATTACGCCAGGATGGCTTCAAAACATTGCCAGTGGCTCCAGCAAAGCTTCAAAGCTTTATGTGCACCTCGCCCTCGCCGGGTAGGCCATGCCAGCAAAATGAGCCCCCTTTATGGTACAAACCAGGCGAAAAATAAACAACATCACCCTTTAAATATACACAATCAATGTTTATACAACAATGTTTATAAACAACAATGTTTGATGAGTATATTAGTATATTCATTTTTTTAAGGAAATGTATTAAACAATGTTTCTAGGCTGAATAAGCATTGATGAGTATGTTTCACACAATCCCATCAATGGAAGTCAACTTGACGGCCCTCTGCAAAAAACCCTCCGGGGGTCAACGGCGCCCGGCGATCTTTGCAGGGGACCTTCAGTCAAGACTTGGAGCGAAACAATGTGTATCTATATATAATAATATTATTATTATCGTATATATATAATTATATAAGTATATATATATATATACACTGTATATATAATATTGTTATAAATATATATATATATATATCATATACCATCACATACCCATGACATCCCAGGATTCCCTGCTTGATTCAAATCAACATCCCACTTGTTTTTCCCGCATTAAGGCCACACGTGGTTGCACGACGATAAGATGCTGGTGGGGGCAGACAATGGTGACCTGCTGCTCTTTGACAATGCAGGTGGGTTGGTGTCACCTATGTTCATTCTCCGATGAGGATCCTGTTTGAAACATAGGTTTGTCTGAACTTATCTGAACCCATGCTGAATCATCATTCTTCCTCTCAATAAACCTATGAAAAATTCCATGAGCTGTGCATCAATTGGGAAACCCAAACCGCGGCCGTCGGCCACGACGGCCACGACGGACAGGTGAGTTTCAAACCGTGCTGCCCACGAGCCCCGGCGAGCCGCGAGCTGCCACCTGTGTGATCCCCTTTTCGAAGGCGGGATGTGGAGGGAGTCGAATTGGATCCAGCTTGGATCCGGTTGGGAACATCGATCTTTCGGATATTTTGAAAGTGAAGATTTGAAAATCCTAGAACTCCAAACTGGGAACATTGATCTTTTAGGACATATTTTGAATATAGGTTGAAAGTGAATAGATGTGCCCTGTATTTTTCAAACCTATTTGTTTTAGGAATGGAAAAGTAAAGATTTCAAAATCCTAGGTTTGCGGTTGAACATGGGCGCAGATTGGATGATGGGAACAATTTTCAAGAAACTCCTCATATTGAGTGAAACAAGCTTTCCTGCACTGTTGAAGGCATCCTACCATCTCTGGCGGAACATTGAGGTGTGTATTGGTAGACTGTATCTAAGACTATTCATATACTGTATAGCCCCTCCAAGATTAGATATTACTCGGTGGTGTGCAAGCTTGAGGGACACAAATTCTTCACAATTGGAGCACCGCCCCGGCGTATGTTTATCGATATCTCAAATGCAAGGCATCCCCAAATGTGGTCAGGGGATGTCAGGGATTGGTGGCTAGATTAGATTGCTTGAATAGCGCTTAAGAAAGCTCCTTTCCAGCTATAGGTGGTTCATACCAAACGAAATCCTTAAAACCACCAAGAAGCTGAACATGAAGTTCAAACATTGAAAGTCCTAAGTCCCATCTCCTTCAGGTCGATTCCCCCACCACACCAGCTGTGGCAGGGCTTCATCATTGGTGGTGACGATGGCCGTATTCGTGCAACCTAGATGAAAGTCAGTGCTGTGGGGCGTGGTCTCATTGTAAGAAACAAATGAGCAGGATCATCATTCATCATTGTTTTTGCATGTTTTTGCAGGTGATGGTGATCATGTTTATTATTACTTTTCAACAATACTTGACAAGAAGTCAGAACTACCCATCCAACTTGGGGATGGTTCTAAGTTGGACAACTCATGACATTTGTCACCGGCCCAATCAAATGTAGCCCATGTTCAGTGGTACCCCACGTTGGCTCGCCCTTAAAACACCGAGATCTACGAGAAAAGCGATGAGCCCAAGGACGGCTGGTGAGCTGGGAAACGAGCTGGTGAAAGTGGTCAATGGACGATAGTTTCAGAAAGAAATGGGTATATACATTTTGCATCATATGAGATGTGCTGCACCTGTGATCATGTTGACAACACACATATATGAGATGAATACATAATCGTGTTTTTTTCGGAGGTAGCAAAGGATTATCACATCCCAATTGATACAATTAATGGTGTTTTGTTTGTTTTCGATGTAGCCTAGCCATACCAAGATCATTGAATCCTGGTGAGTTTAGATGTTCAAATCAACTGGGCTTCAAATGTCAACGCAGTGAGAAACTCGCCAGGAGATTTATCGTCAAAGCAAGGTGCTTCAAGTGGAGCCCAACTCAGGTGCCTCCCCATTTTTCGGACGAAATTTGGGAAGTATCCACGTCAGTGTCCCATTTATTCTGACTCGTCATAAGTTTTTAGTTGTGTATAAAACATTTGTTTGGCAGTACACAATTTTAGCCCACACCCATGTAAACCTTGGTGAATGGTCTGTTCTATGGTGGCCATGAAAGGATGTCATTTTTACCCTACCTGAAAGATGAAAACAACATAATTACTGGTATCATGGCCCGCAACAATGGTGATTGATTAAGACACAGTGACAACTCATGGATTCAAACAAACAAACTCTGGAAATGGTCAATATTGGGGACACCGTAATATATCATGGCCGATCCAATCAGGGGTCTGGAAATCGAAAAACAATCAATATTTCAGATGGTTCAAGGTGACGAAAGGACATCCCCACAGTGGCCCAAACGATAGGGTAAGTTGGTGTGTAGCTAGGCTACCGAATGAGTTTAGATGGATTTTTGGTGCATATATATCCCGTTTGATGGGTAAACGCAAACCAATTTCAATATGCCTGGGTGTTTCAAACAGTTGCTTTTATATATTTCCAACCATATCTAGGATGATGATGACCCCAAGTGACTTATTTGGGTTCTTTTTTCATGACCTGACTGTGACATCACCAGAAATTTGGTTAGTATAGGGAACCACCCCAAATGACCTGGTGAATGACCATACCCTCCGATAATTCAACATGGCAATGCGGCATCATCATTTCCATGGGAAAACCAGCTATAAATGGATAAACATGGAGGATTTTCCATTGCCATATGAAATTGCCCCAGTTATGGCCCTTGACCAGTTATGAGTCAGTAAGCCACCCCATTTATGGAATGATAGCCCCATTTAGAAGTGGTCAATGGCCATAACTGCAGAGAGTAAATCACCCAGGTGTTGTCGGTGTCCCTGGCAGGTGCGGCGGTGCGATCATTGGCTCTGAGCCCCTCAGAGGAGATCCTTGGATAAAAAATGGTGTGTGGATCACACTATATATTTATATATATATATATATATACATAGTGTTATTATGTATATATTATATACATTACACTGTATATATATATATTCCTTTATATTCGATTTATATTTATATTATATCTTATGTCTATATATATACACGTACTCTATCTTATATATTCATTGTATCATGTATGTGCATACACTGTATTATGTATACATATATATATATACATATGTATATATACATACATATATATATACACACACTATTGATGAACTATAATGACCTCAAGGTGACGTCACTGGAATGATGGTCAGTAGGGGTAACTATCCCCAAGGGAAGCTTTTTGCAGATGAGTGAACTATTATATTTTACCAATATTCATATATATATACATAATGTACATATATACACATACACAGTACAGAACATACTATGTTTATGTGTATATACGTACACAGTATTACGCATTACGTATATGCATACACACACGCTATGTCCACTATGCTATGTATGCCTGCATATATTACACAGACACAAATTAGTAATACATATACATATACATATACATATACATATACAGTACATATACAGTACATATACAGTACATATAAAAATATGATATATAATGATATTCTCTCTATATATAATATATATATATATAAATAGAGAAGGCGTAATGCAACCGCGATATTGGAGGGATATGGAAGACCATCATGAATGGTGGCTGTCTGTCCTTACTCCAAAACAGATTGCGGAACCAGGCCTCTGCGGAAACTCACCAGGGATACTTGCAGTTTTTTTGGTTTGTGGTGACGGATATTTCACTGGGTGAGACACATATAATATATATATATATATAGAAACATGATGACATGTATACTTCAACTGGTACAAGTGTTCTAGAGATGTTTATGATTTGCATGTTCCAATTTGAGTGGTACCTATGAATGCCTTGATCCACTAGAAGGCTCAAGATAGATTCCGGAAATCCATGCCTTTTGAACCACGATAGTCATCAAAGTCAGAGACTCCTGTCTTTCAGGGTCCAGAGGGCAAAACTCAGAATCTGGTTAAACAACCTCATGAGTAGTTTCTCCAGATTTTTGTTTGCCCAAACATCTATTATATCATGATGTTCCCTTCTTTCAGAAATTCCCAGACCCCTCAGAGCCTCAGCCGAGGTTGCTAGGAGTGAGTACTTCCACTGCTCAGCTGTATCAACTCTCTTTGCTGGGTCAAGATTTAATGAAGGCCGAGGACCGCTGGACCGTATTGCGCGGCTGGCGTGGCTGTGGCGGGTTGCCATGTGCTCAGATGATGTTCCAATGGGTGGATTTTGGATTATACTGTTTTTTGAGACGAGAAAACGTAGAATCTAGATGAATTTAGTAAGATCCAATCTTAATGTTCAATGATATTTAATGTCTCTTTAGTGGCTTGTTTAAGTTTTTCTGTCATTCTATGGCATGGCTTTACGGCGCTGTCCTGGTTCTCCACCCTGGGAGAGCCAGGAGTCTCCTGCCTTTGAGCCAGTGCTGAGTCATTTCCACACGGGCGCCGTGACCCAGAAAGGATCCGGCTGGTGCTGGTATGCTAACATTTTTATGGGGCTGACACTGATGGGATCCATGGCACACCATATTTTTGGCACCATGGATCCAACAAGGGTCATGGTGGTTTTTCCATAGGTTTTTCCAGATCTATGTTAGCTTGGAGATGTTTAGAGGCTAACATGAATATACAATGAGGAGAGTGGACTGAAGAATGGTATGTTTGGGGGTTGAAGTCAAATGCTGATGTTCATTTAACAACCACCACGTTTGAAAGCTGGCCAAATTTTGTAGTTTAAATCACCATCCACTGGGGGGTGATCTCTTCCTCCCAAGCAACTACAGGGACAAGCCAGCAATTGTGTTTGTTCATCGATGTGGGTTATCTAACTTATGGACGTAGTTTGTTTTATCTATAAATGATGTGCACTTTTTGAATTAAACTTGGATAGGTACTGTCATGCAACTTTACTCTAAATTACCATCAATGGGAACATATGAGCCAGTTTTACACAACATGTTGCGCTGAGTATCTAAGATGGGTCATGATGTACCACATGTTGCCATGCTTGGTTGACGAAATCTGCATCATATCCCACTTCTGCTTGGGGTGAAATCCTAGGTTGTTCTCTGCCGGGTGACCTTGGGGCGTTCCCCAGCCGTTCAGAGTTGGACTCGGGGAAACCATGGTGTTCCCCTCCATTTTCACACCATGAGAAACCCAAAGAAGCCCACCAGGTGCCATTTTGGGCCTGGATGTTTGCATCCGAAAACCCTTGGCCTCTCGGTGACAACGGACAATCGCAACGTGGTTGTTGTTCAAAAAACAAGGTGCTTTGTGCAATACAAACATGCAGGGTTCACGTGAGTTTACTGGTTTACCAGGGATGGCTCGAAAGACGGAGATGTAGCCAGCAAAGTTTTTTTGGGGGGGAGGACCAACAGAATGGTGATGTAAGACGATGTAGCCAGTGGTGAGTATACAACCAAAGTGGGGATAGACACAAGAAGCAAAATGGATATATGGCGACTCAACAAGTGGTGCCGCAGAAATGTTGCCATGTTTGCAGTGGCGCCCTCCAATTTTTGGGGGTCAAGTAGTTTGAACAAACAGATCTGTGAGGAAACTCCAGAGAGGCTACAAGATGGAATCGGACCTCCCAGCCGATTCAAAGCAACAAAACACATCTATTTAGGTTACTAAGATTGCCTGGTAATTCTGTGAGATTTGTTCACAACAAAATCATTTAAACTTACGATGTCTGTGTTTTTTTGGGACTCCCATATGGCCAGTCACTCCGCTCACGAGGTGGTGACCTGTGGAGTTGACAAGTCGGCACGGGTCTGGAACTACTTCGAGAAGACCTGCGTCATGTGCCGCTGGTTTAACGAAGAGGCCGCTGGGTAAATCTGCGACATCCCAGTTGGGAAGTGCCTTGAGTATCAACATACTGTGGATGGTTGCGAAATCCTGCACCAGTTGATAGATGGTAAACATCCCACTATTTATAGGGTTGCAACCATCCAAGGTGGTGCAGGATTTCTTCCATCCACAGTATCTCAAAGTACTTGTAAATCTATTTAGGAGTTGTTGAAATTAGTAAAGAGTGCTAAAATAGCACGTGAGGAAAACACTCAAAAATGTTTTTCCGACTGGGTACAGGTTGAGGTGGTTTTTGACTATGGATTTATACTCCAGTCGCAAATGCAATTGCCCCAATTGAGACTTATCAATTAGCACCATTGTTGGGAAATCATTGTTGTGGAGAATTTGCGTGTTCACAGAGATTCAACCAACCCTCAAAATTGACCACCCAATAAGAATATAACATATATATATATATATATATCTACTACTTGGTGGTTCACCCAGTTAGTGAGTGGATTGTGACCACATTACGAATATGACAAGTAGGATTAATTGGTAATTGTTAATTTAACTGGGGCTATAACACATTACAACCCCTGCCTAACTGCTTTGATCTACCAAGTAAGGGAGTACATGGGAGTACCAAGAACGAAGAGTTGGTGTTTCTTGGTGTAGTCGTGACCATGGCCCAATGGCTGGCCAAATCCAGGGCGCACCAGATGTTTTTGGGGGTTACCATCATGATGATTCCCATTTTTTCGAAATAGCCATTAGAATCATTAGATAGCCATTGCTGTTTTCCAAAATCAACAGAACCTAGTTGAACTAGTGTGTTGTTTTCAATAATGTTTGACATGTTCACGACTGTGCTGGTGAATTTCTGTTGACATGCCAATTTTGTTGTGTGAAATTCTGGGCGTTTGTGTTTCAATATTGCCATTTGCTTGGGTTTAGAATCCCCGAATGTCTGCCGTTCCTTCTTCACACCTAGAACGTGGTGCCCCCTACTTGTGTTTGTTTGTTTATTAACCCCATCAACTTGTCAACTATAGTGTGTACCATAAGCCCAGCAGTTATGTTGGTTATCTATGGTTATTTCAACCAACGGCTCGCGATATTCGCGAGCCGCTCAAAAAAGGTCACTTAAGGTCGACTTGCATCGGGCATCGACTTGCTTTTTTTGCCAGGCATATAGTATCGCCTTCCACCCCTCGGGCTTTCATTTGATCATCGGGCAGTCAGACAAGTTGAGACTTATGAACTTGTTGATGGAGGCACCATGGGGGATGATGGGGGATGAACAGGATGAACAGCGACCGTCAACGACCCCTGGGTGAGTGATGCAAACAATTAATTAGGCCCGCAACTAATTATTGAATAGCCTGAATTGAGACTCACGAAAGTTGATGCAGGAGCTTGGGGCATCCCCGGAGAAACTGTGCTGATTTCGCCATTAAAAAAATGAAACACTTAACGCTGATTGAATATGGATGTGAGCTATTCGCAAGTTGATTAGTCGGAGTCTGTCAGAATTTCATTTGATAAAGACACACCAAGCCACTAGGTTTGAGGGATTCACAATAATGGAATCCATCCCCTCTTATCAACGGTGGCTACTATGAATCATCCCAGCAGCTGTATAGCCAACAATAGACTCAATACACCCCTAGGGATTTAGTATTCTGAATCCCCCATTTAGACGTATATCATAGCATCATCACCTATGCCCAGTTGGGTGCATCTAGAAAGCAGTCAGCACAGAACCACTATTCGCATAGCACCAATGTATGTCATATATGCCATGCATTGGTGGTATGCGAATAGTGGTTTTGCTTTTGCTGATGTCGAGCATTGGTGAATTTGTGGGTGATTCTTAGGGGGTGAACCGTTCAATCAGCGAACTCTAGCTAAGGTTCATTAACCCACGGTTGACATGATGCAACATGAGGGTCTCTTAAAATATCTTAAAATGGTGGACCCCAAAACTGGCGGTTAACGGTTTTCCGATTTTAAATGACCAACTTTTGTTGATTTTGAGGATCCTCATGTTAGCACCACATGACCCGTGTGGTATGCATCCGATGTTCCGGCCTGCACCTGCTTTTGCCGCAGCTTTGTAGGATATGAAGACCTACAAGGACATTGCCATCAAGCAATGCAGAGAATGTCGCTTTAGACGCTTGGTGGTGTGGAGGTTGTGGGGTAAATGAACTATTGGAGATACTCTGTGTGTCATGCAAAAAGTCATGCGTCGTTCGACCCATGATAACTCTCCTTGAGAAGTTTCAAACAAAACCAGCTGTTTGATGGTTTTAGCCGGTTATACAATGTTAATATCCAATGCCTGTGAAGGTTATTACTGTATGACCTGACATGAACTAACGGAGATACTTGGAGATTTTCCAATAGCTTTTAGTTCCACTACCCTCTGGTAAACTAACATAACTATGGAAAATCACCATTTTTAATGGGAAAATCAACTATAAATGGCCATTTTCAATAGCTATGTTAGTCATTACCAGAGGGTATGTTTCACTCTTCACTGGATAACTCGACCCCTTTCAGAGAACAAAAAGGCAACGGCGGTCAATACTTTGCGGCGGTGAATACCAATGCCACCAATGCCATTCAGGTGACGCGGCCTTTCTGTTGTGGGATTTTTTGGATGGGTTGTAACCAACCATGGTGATTTAAGCAACAGAAATGACGGTATATTGATGTATGATGTATATATAATTATATATATATATATTACATACATATATATATATATATATATATACATATATATATACATATATATATACATATATATATATATATATATACATATGGTATATTGATGATTCTTGATGTAATTTGGGGAGATGAGGATATCATTGGGATTCTCTTCATAAATTTGCGGTTCACTGGAATGGGATTTGGCCTGGGGGGAGTATCTTAAAATGGCATAAAATTGCATTGGTTTGGTAGAATGGTAATGACCAATATGGAATGGTATTCATCTATTGATTAAGTATATATGGAATGGTAATTATAGCAAAATAGATTAAGGTTGGTGAATGACCATAATCTATCCAGATAAGATACCACGCACAGACTACGATGACTATGTGCAGCAAAATTAGGAACTTTAAAAGTTCCACGATGAAGCAAGTTGCCAGGAGTTGGCCAACTTACCACGGCATAGTTCGTTCCGGCCTACTGGACTGCTTTCATAAACACGCCTACTGGACCCTTCGAGCAAGGAGAATAGATTGGGTAGCCTGACAAAGGTCCAAAGATTGTTAAAGATCCGAACCTTGGATGTGATCCGAAGATCAAGAACAGTCGCAGATACCGTGTATTATATATATATATATGCATTATATAATATGTGATTTTATATATTATAAATATTTAATATACTATTTGGGAATCTGAACTGAAATCTATTCTATTATAGTGGACTTGAGCTATTCCCATTCATCGGAGGTGTATAAAACCTACACCTGTGAGCCCATCGAGACCCTTCGGGGCCACACCAACAAGGCGGAGAGCAACTGCTGCTGCCCCAATACTTGGCGAAGTTGAAGTTGGTAACCATTGACATAACAACTGAGGTTTATGGAAACTATACATATGTTGATTGATGGGGATGACAAAAAACAACTTGCACAGTACGTAACCTAACTGGGGGCGCACCAAAATCATTGATATAACGGGCATAGGGAGAGAGGAGGTTTCATGCCCGAAATCACTCAACAGTCTTGCAAAAAAAATCAAATATTGTTGGTTTATCCACAAAAAAAAATACATTTCATGGGGGCGGGGACTTCTTTAGCATGCAGCTATGATCATGAAAATGGAGGAATCACACCCGTTGATTGGCATCTTTCATGGAGTTTTGCGAAAAAAAATCTTCAGACCCATTGATCAAACCTTGGAAGTTTAGGGGACAAAAACGGAAAACAAACATAGAATTGATAGAATTGATAGAATGTCTATATAGAAAACGAGTCCATATTTTCTGGGATAGAATGTCTATGTCAAAATGTGTTGAATTATGTTGAATTCGAAAAATGGTGGCCACGAGGGAGTTGGCCAAACCTCCCCAAAAAGATGGCAAAAGGAAGAGGATTGTCCTATTGATCATGATCCATGTTGAATTTGAGAGGTGTCTCAGTGACTCGTGGTGAAACCCTGGATGATCCTGGAGGATTGTAGGGGCTTCTGTCATCCTTGGTGTATTAATTGTATATAATATACATTATATATATATGTTGACTATTGGGATATTTCAGATCATATCATAGTCTATGAACTGGAAATCCTCATGATCCTCCTTGTTCAATGGCTCGATTTTCCAATAGGCTCTAGCTCCACTGCTCACCTTCCATAGATTTTCGCTCATCCCGGTGCAGGTTCGATCTGTTGCATGGACTGCAGACGATAGCATGCTGGTGTCCACGGGTGCTGATGGCGCTGTCTACGAATACTATGCGTCTTGTCACAGCAAGAGAAAGGTGAAACATGTCCAAACGGCAGATCTGGAGCAAAGGCCCAAAGTTGCGGAACACCCACTGGACAACTAACTCCTGGTAAATCATGTGTTCAATCCTTTATCATCCTTCATCCACTAGGTTTCTTCATAGTTCCCTGGTTCCCCAGCAGTTCTTCCACCATTTCGGCATCGGCATTTGCCCCGTTGGCCGTTGGCCCCGTTGGCCGCGTCGCCAGGTCCAGGCCGAAACGGCCAACCCCGGCCGCGACGGGCGCCGGGTGCACGACTTCGTGCAGAAGACCTCGTCCTTCAGCTGCGTCATCGTTCATTCGGACCAGAGCTCCAACTTCAACACCATGCCGCGTGGCAGAAACCCTGGAATGTCCTGCCGGGAATGTCCTGCCGGGAATGTCGCCTCTGGTAATAAATTGTTACACTTTGCGAACAGTTTGCACATTTATGATGTTGATTTACCGAACTTAAAGATGGTGATTTTCCATAACTATGTTTGAATATGGCCGTCCAAAAGCCCTGTTGGTTGAGGAATTGATATGGCATTATATGGGAATGATATTGTACTATCCAATAGTAATTGCGAGTTATCACATTATTTGGGTGATTTGGAGAGATAGTGAATATCATGGGAATATCATGGCAATATCAGTGTATCTGGCCACGGAGATAGTGCAATCACTGTACTTTTTGAATAGACTGGGCATATCGTGGGAATATGACTGATTAGGAGCAATCACCTGATATACCCATACGTATATGTATATGTATGTGTATATATCTAGTATGTATATATATATATATATAACGTTTATGGATGGTCCATGGAACGATTTTTAATAACCAGGTAAATGGGATATCCTGGGATATACTAGTTTTTTTTTGTTTAGGACACGGTAAGCAACTTGACATGATTTGGGTGTTGTATCTGACACTGGGGATACCAGGATACCCCCAAAGTTGCCATTTTAATAGGAAAATGAGGAGAAACTAAGCCATCACATTTTGGGTACCCTATTCTCAGACAAACCCAGATGGTGCTACATAAAACCAGAAATAAGGAGTCGGGAATAAAAGGTCCACACATGGTGGGACGGCATGTAACCTGTGAGAATGTGCGCACTAGATGGTAAAGAATGGGTAGACAGCTATCAACAACGGGTCAACTAAACATCAAACAATGGCTATATAGATGATGGTAGACAAGCAGTAAATCAATGTAGATAGTGGGGTGAAAAACTAGTCCTCTACAGGTCAAAGTTATGATTTGGTCTCAAAAACTGGGATATGATGGGGTAACATGTGAGAACACATGAGTAGGCTGGATGGTGGTATTGAAAAACAACTGGAAACGCGAGTCATTTGAATGTGATAAAGCCTCGACGATCTTGTATAAGAGCCTATCAACATGGTAATCAATGATGAAATAAACAACTTCGAGTTTTGATAGATATGGTAGAAAACCATCAACATCCAACATCAATCAATTTAATTGCAATAACTGTAACTGGAAGGATTCCTACTCAAATATTGGCTCCTCCAGCAGCTGGGAACATGTTTTATTTTGCAACTGGCACTTCTGTTGGACTTCTGTGGAAATACAACATATGGATAAATATGGTGTAATATGGTCACATAAATAAGAGTTGTTGGAATGATAGATCAGCATCCCTTTCAGCGGACTTGAGAGCAACTTGTGTTTGTTTCATTTGTGATCTGATTGCAAATTGTGCAAGTGATTGACAGCTGGCTTTACAGTGCAATGGCACTATTTAGGTCGCACAAACAAGGTCAAAATGCCTCCAGCAGGATTCTAGCAAGTGCTGCATGGGGAAGAAAACAACCGTCATAGTTCCAATACCAACTGCAGCAGTGTCTAGGTATCTACTCTTGTAAATCACAAAACCTGCTTCTTTATCATCCGCAGTGGCCGCTGCAGTACCTGCATGGTGAAGGAATTTGCATGCTACGGGACCGAATGCTTGAGGTATGTGGTAGGAAACGACCAGCTGCTGCGAAAGGTCTACAAAGGCCTCGACTACCGGGATATTGTTATGGATTGGGAGTCTATTTCAATGTTTCTTTGTGTACATATTATGTATGATTATGTATGTGCACATATATTATATAGTTGGTGCTTAAGTTGGTGCACTCTGCACCTATTGAACTGTTCCTGCCTGATGTGTTTAAGCTATGTACCCTCTGATTATTTAACATAGCCATGGAAAATAGCCCATAGAAATAGATGATTTTCCCAGCGAACTCAACCTCCATTTATGGGCCAGGGATTTTCCATGGCTAGCCCTGTTAGTCATAACCAGAGGCTACCAGATGTTTTGCAGGTGAATCCAGCGGCACGGTGAAAGTCTCGCGGCTGTGAATCCAGCGCTGGGAAACATGACATGTGGGAAACGTATTGGGTTTCACCCAATGCCGCATTTGGAGATGCTATTTATGGCAGCGATAAAACATGGTGATTCTTAGGTCTTAGGATGATTTTTGATAATTTTTGATGATTTTTGCCACATCATAAACCATATTATGCCTATAGATAAAGCCAACCCCAATGTATTATTGCCACAGTTTCCACATAATAAACCATATTATTGGGTTTGTTATACAAGGAATTTGTACCAACAAAGATAACTTCCTGGGTGGCCCTGCTCCGGAATCGTGGTGGGTTAGTTCCCCCCAGTGAATTCTTGGCTGAAGGTGAACCACCAAGGTTTCGTTTTGATTGGAACCCGCCACTGGTTAAGTTCTCCCGGTAAAAAGAATGCAAAACGATCCCCATGTTGTTTTTTCTTTATTTGAACTTAAACTCCTACCTTGATTGCTTCATCCTCCATTTGTTGAACGGTTTTAACCAGGTTTTTTCTTTCTGATTCTATGGCCATGTTCCACCAGCACCACCATGGCTGCTCCACCTCCAACCGAGGCCGGAACCACCTTAGGTCAAATAGTGCTGGCGAATTCGGGCAAGGGCGGCTCGGTGAAAGCAGTGCATGGGGGCCATGGGGTACACCTATACAACTCATGTGTATAGTACTAAACCATGATGATAATAATATCATGATATTTAGGCTTAGTAGAAATGGGATTGTGATGGATTATGGATTTGTTCACGGATTGCGGTACGTGAATGGTCAAAATGACTCGTAAAACGTATACATCATATTATGTGTATATATTTTATATATAATGTGTATATACACCGACTCACACACTTAAAATATAGTAGCGTCTATAAAGAGAGAGAGAGAGAGTAATGATTTTCGTATGAGGAAAGCACTGGGATCTAACACCAAAGTGTCAATGGCCAGTGTACAACATCCCCAATGGCAGGATGCGAGTGTGTGGAATATGATTACAGTATTTCTCAGACTTACTTACTATAGGAATCATGTTGAATATTGATCAACGGGAACTCTTTGCCGAAATGCTCTACAAATCAAAAAACCTGGCACATAACCGATTCCCTGCGGATTTTGAGCCTCCCAATGCTACAGGCTTTAGCCTATGGGATTAACAATGGTTGTGAACCACTTTCAAGTATGATGCATTTGCGTCCCGAAATAGGCTATATGAATATGGTAAACCCAGAATTACAACTTCAATGGGGCAAACATGGTGTTCCCAGAATTGCAGCTTTGATGGGGTATCAAATAGGGAACTCGTATGATATTGTGATAAACCGTGGAAAATCATGAATCATTGGGTATCCTATTCTTGGACACATAAAATGATGAACATCTACGCTGGAGCCGCCTGCAGGCCTTTTCGCTGCAGTGGCAGAGCCAGACGCTCCCGGGCGAATTCGCTGCTACAAGTTCCCGCTGAATGGTGCTTGGACGCAGATCTTTCTGTGGGGCATTCCAGAAAGCAAAAACATGTGGCGCTTGAAAACCAATACCTGCATGTATTAAATTCAATAGCAATGGATGCAATGTTTAAAATTTGCTGTAGCTGCATTTGGGACAATTTTTGGGGTACGTGTGGGTCAACGTTCCATACGTGAAGCATTGGAGATGATATATATATATATACACATATGATTGATATGTATGATTTATTTGGTACAAAAAATCAAAAAGATCAAAGAAGGCACGTTCTAGTGTCGTGATTGTTTGCTGGAAACATACTGGTTGACTGTACCTTTGTGGGTTGGATTTGGGACTGGGAACAAACATATTGCCAGATGTTGTGCAGCTTGCGCTGCTGTCAAATGCTGTCAATCAATGCACACGTGACAAGCTGCTGGTGAATTCAGGCATGGAATAAGACTTTTACAGTACATGTGCTGAGAATTGGTGTGTAAACACAGGAATTCTCCCCCGAGATGGGTAAGTTGGCCTTGCATTAGGGTAAATCGAATATAATATATTATATGTACAAAGATATACTTTGCCAGGATTCCAAACCAACTTACACCATGGGCGGGGGCTTCATGCAAGTGATCCCCATGGGTGCGTCTATGTGAGCAGGGAAGTCCATTCAGCCATATCCTTCGACTTCGTCTGCTGACGCCGGAAGAGCAAGTGACATGTGCATGGAACATTCACGAGCCATTTACCAACCATTGAAAAAAACATTTACTAGTGTATAGCCATTCATTTACAAACCACTTGCCAACCATTGACTAATCATGTCCTTGTCATTTACCAACCATTTTCCAGTTATAAGTCAGTAAGTCACCCCATTTATGGAATGATCACCCTATTGACAGTCAGAACAACTGCTCTCTGCTTGAACTGTAGTTATTTCCCAACCAACCCACCATTGAGGCGGTGACAACAGCTGCGAATGGACGGACTTCTCGGCCCACGCGGCGCCGGCCACCCGTCTCCGGATCAGCGCAGATGACTTCTACCTCTTCTCCGCGGCGGAGGACACGGCGGCGTTCTCAAACGTGGCTAGCTGGGAAATCCCCCTATAAATGATGATAAATGAAGGTTTGAATGGTAAAATCATCTATACATGATGTATACTTGGGGATGCAGTTGAGGTATATGGATAGAACTTCATGGGAATTCAAAGTCCCATGTTGGGATAGCCCCCTTTTTTCCCATGGTGAATCGATCCACTTTTCGGCTTTTTTTTGCTGACATATGTATGTACGTACATATTATATATGAAACTGTGTTTAGATAGGTCTTGTATATAAACATTTAAGAAGTTGCCAACCGGGGCCAGCTAATATCACTGATATTCAGGTGGTGGGGACGTCAAGAGGGAGATCAGTGTTGAGGGTTTTGTGACGTTGGAGATAGTCATGGAAGTTTGTTTTCCACGCATTTGTTCAATGAGATTGTGAAGCCATAACCGGTGACGCTGCAGGGAATTGCTGCATGTTGCTACCAGCCTCATGCAGTGCAATAGCAGTGATGATAGGCTTGAACTAGTTTGGTTTGCTTCTTGACGCCAACTAAGCAGCAGCCAAGAACCCCCCGGTTGATGGTTACAGGGTTGTCCTACACCTACTAGAGTGTGGGAATCCATATCTAACAGCAACACCCATCCTACATTCACCAGCTTTACCCAGGTTAGATGAAATTCAAACTTGTGATATTGAATAATTATATAATCATATTATGATATTACATTTAATCTACATGTTTTCCTTGATTGTCTTCCCGATAATGAGTCAATTTAATCAACCGTTTCTTGCGTGAGGATGGAACGCTCTTTGTCTTCGACGTGAAGCGGAAAGATCGCAACGTCTCGAAGCGTGACAAGGACGAGGGGAGAACAGGTGATGCTTCGCCGGGTAAATCCCTCCAGGCAGTGACTGTCAGCTACAGGGAATCAATAGATCATTTCATCCGGTGAACCTTGTAAATTGTCCCTTAAACATCCTTAAATGGAATGCTAAGAAGCCTCAAAAGTACAAAAAAACATCTTTCAACACTTTGCCACTTTGCCAAACATGTCCCAAAACGAAGTTAACGCCTCGATGTTTGACGCAGGAAAGCGCCTTGCCGTTGGCAGATGAGATTCTGGTAACGCGGACCTTCCTGGATGATAAGCAGGGACAGCTCAACGAATTTGAGCGCCTCAGCTGGGCAAGCTGGGTGCTGTCCTCACATCGGTGCGTTCGAGGTTTTTTGCTTCGAGTTGTTTGATGGTGAAAGGATGTTCTTTGATTACTCTCTGGTAATTTAACATAGCTATTGAAAATGGCACATTTATAGTTGATTTACCTATTAAAGATGGTGATTTTCAATAGCAATGTTAGTTTACCAGAGGGTATGTGCAAGCCACAGTACTAAGCCATCCATCATGAAGCCATGACTACTGGGGGCTTTACATAGATCATCCATCATCATCCCAAGTATTTCACAGTCCGCAACTTCTCCACGCTGGGCTAAGAGCAGCTGGTGGTTTCAAATATGGCCGTTGAAGTTGCTGCTAGCCAGAAATCAAAGAAATCAAACTTGGCATGCTGGAAACTGGAAACTGGTTGGTGGCTTCAAACATTTTTTATTTTCCATTTCATATATGGGTTGTCATCCTTCCCAATTGACGAACTGATATTTTTCAGAGGGGTAGGCTCAACCACCAACCAGTATCTATATTAATGTGGGTAAAACAATGTCATAAACCAGCCATGACTGGGAATGGTAACATATGGATACATATGGTAACCATACCACCTATATCATCCTATGAAAATTCTGAAACATCCTCCCCACTGACAGCCGATTTTCCCAGCGGATGGTCCAGAAGCCGAGGCGACAAGTGGATGAGCTCTCTAACCAACAGGAATTCCAGCTCAGGCGGCAGATTTCCCCATTCCCTTAGATGATTAGATATATTAGATGGGAATGGGTCGAAACCTATTGTTACCATATATTTATTTAGCTATTTATATCTATTTACATCTATTTATCCATATTTGGGGAATCAACATCCAGCTATACCAGCAATAGACATCCAGCATCCAGCTATTTTAGGGTATATACCTAGGACCTAGGGCCAGGTTTTTGACTCATAGTTTTTTGTAGAATGTGGGCGCAGGCATCGAGATAGCTTCCACAAAGAGGAGATGGTGGCAATGGATGAGAAGTACACCGCAGAGATTGATGAGGACTGGAGATGTTGCCTCAGGGGTTGAAGGCTCAGAAAGTAGTAACATGTATATATAATAAAGTTATATATGTATATATATATATATGAAACAGTGCAGAATGGTAATAGTTAGAAATGAAAGCAATAATAAAATCTGCTATGTTGTGGAATATTGATAGATTTACGTTCCTAACAAAAATAATCCAAAACCTTCAAAAGTTGGACACGGGCTGAAGTTTAAGTTTCCCCACGCTGGCCTGTTCGAGACCTTACCGGCCAGCAGGCCATGGGCAGGCTCCATGTGAAGATTCCTCATTTGGCTCCACTTTGTAAGAGAGTCTGATAATTCCGATGAATTTCTGTACTATATGTCCAACTTATCTTATTGTCTTTGTCTGAGCTAGCAAACAAGTGAAAAGCGTCAAATTTCTCACCCTTGCCAAGCAGCGCCTCCGGATAAGCTTAAGTCCAGCTTGATTTTTATTGTGAAAATAAGTCAGAAAACTGATTACCAATCTCCTGGATTTCAGCTTCAAATAGAAATAGCTATATAAATATTTTTGGATATTTGCCAGAAATAAAAGACGCAACCCTCAAATTTTCCCATCCGGACGCCGAACGCCAAGTTCTTGAAACTCCCACTTTGCTGTTCACCTCAACTCGCACCGAAGGAGCGCCAGAAGTACGAAGTGCTCCGAGAAGAGAAGAACGATGCTGAGATGGAGGAACGGTTGGGCATCGTTGGGCATCGTTGGGCATCGTTGGGCCATGTGTGTTATATTTGGAGGTTTCCCAAAATGGGTGTACCCCCAAATCATCCAAGTCATTATTAGACCGTGTTGGTATTGAAACCCATGGTGACGACTGGGGATCCTCCATTTTTTTCAGAAACCACCAGCTCCGTTTGAGAAACCACCATTTGAAAATGTATTTTCCCTTTTATATTTGGGGATGGTCATGGCTCCCATGCAAATAGGGGTAAATGTACCATAGGAATTCCCAATGGTCAAATGACCATACCCCATATACCATCTTTTGACAATGGCACATGTGGAAACAGGAACCCTCGACTTAGACCAATGCACTGCCAGGTGGTGTCAGTAAATAGCTCAATTATCTCAATTTGATTGCAGCACTTTATTTTCTTGTGCGGATTTTTTTAATGATTTTGGCCCAGGTGTCTTTTTGTTGTTGGAATGTTTGATGCTCTGCAAAGTTGCACAGATGTTGCCAGCATCAAGCAGCTTCGCCAGCTTCGTCACAGGCGGAGGAGAACATCAAGAGTTTGCTGGAGCATCACGCGAAGCAGGACCAAGACTTGGAGCAAAGCTTCCAAGAAAAGATGATGGAGGAGGTGAACAAGTATCAGATCCTGATGTGCAAAGGGGCCAGATGGAATATTTGGGATCAAAAAGGATACATATTTTATAAGGGACATGAGTGAAGCCGATGGTTTTTTTTGAAGAATATGTTTGTTGAAAGTCACATCAAGCATAATCAAATATAATCAACTTGTCAATTCATTTAATAGATGTGCGATGAAATGTGATCCCCCCAAGTTCCCTGTTTAAGTCTTTTTACAGGACATCATATGTATTTGTTGGATTTTGTTGGTAACAACGACAACATGGTTTCCTATCTTATTTCCGGGAACATCCAGGGACCGGGTGACTCAATGTCACCAGGCTTCCAGGTGTGGACCCCACAGATGACTTGCTATGTGGAATCACCTGATTTTAGCTCTTTAAAGTTGCATGTTGGTGAGCATTTTTTTTACAAATTGACATATGAAAAAAATCCATGAACATATCATAACATATCAACTTTGATTGATATCACATGATATCACCATTTTTGGGTTGATATTCTGTTGTTTGCTGGGTGCTTTTGCTGGTTTCTATGCCTTTCTGGGAAAATATAGGGTATCCCATTCCATCCCATGGCCATGATGTTCCCATTGCTGGTTGGTGGTTTGGAACATGGCTTTTATGACTTTCCATTCAATTGGGAATAATTTTCCCAACTGACTTTCATAATTTTCACCATAATGGGAATCATCCTTCCCAACTGACGAACTCATATTTTGTCCATAACATATGGGAATGTCATGATCCCAACTGACGAACTCATATTTTTCAGAGTGGTAGGTTCAAACCACCAACCAGGACTTGTTATTTGATAATCAAAATACCAAAATCATCCACTTGCTATTTGTTGGTTATATAGCTCAACTACTATTTCCCCATGATATCCTCATATCTCATGACATCCCCATGGTGATATCTCCCAGGAAGTTGGCCGCTGAGCGCGACGAGATTCACAGACGCTGGGGGGAGCAGCATCAGCGGATTATTGCAGAACATCAGAAGAAAGTCAATGAGATGCAAGCGCAATTTGCTGTGCCTTGGCAGCAAATGCTGTTCGAAAATGATTTATAGTATTTATACTTAAGCCAAACAAATATGAAGATAAAGAAAAACATCCAGATATGCAATCTGTTGTGCCTTGACCTTTTAAAATGTGGGATTCCCCAGGTTATAAACCTACCACTGATGGTAACAAAAAAAAACATGCTGATGACTTGGGGGGCTTGGATGCTGTTATCCCTTGGCTTGATATGTCATCCACTGGGATCTCCTGAGGGCTGATGGAAAACCAGCTTTAAAAACTGGCTTAAAACAAAAAGAGTCAACAAGTGCATGGAGTTATTGTTCATATGGAATATGTAATGTTTTTTTTTTTGGTAGACAGTAGAAGGTTTCGGCTCTGTGGGTTTCCCCCTTCAGCTCCGTAGCCTTAGCGGTCCCTGCCATTTTCGACCGCGGGCGGCTGGTTTTCGGTCTCAGGACCCTTCGCTGCCTTTGGTTCGGGGTGATCCAAAAAACCCCTACATACTCCGCAAGGTATCTGGCTGTCGTTTAATCGGCCCATTTACAGGTGCTCGGGACTCCAATTTTGGTTCAATTTACAATTCAATTCATCTTTTTACTGGCTTCTGCAGTGTGCCGAACACTGGGTGCTTTTGGTATCCTTTGGGCTTGCATTATTGGTTGATTCTCCTGATATTGCTCCCCGTTTAGGACTCCTTCACCACACTACGTTTGCGCGACTGTTGTCGTGTTTTTCAGTTTAGGCTGTATTTGGGCCTTACATGTTCCGACTGGCAATTTTGATTCTCTGTCAAGTTGGCGGCTTTTTCGTTGACATCCAGGCGCCGAGCCCGGAGACTTCGGTCCCAGGCCCGCTTTCGGTGGTTCTTGCACAGGACTGGTATCAGGCGATTGGGCCTTGCTCAGCTTCAAGGTTTACTTCGCAGGCTTTCAGCCCATCATTCCAAAGATCCACAGCTCTTGAGAGTCATTGGAAAAGCAATTCAAGTCGCAATGGCTACGCAGAACACAACGTATCCGTGGCATTGTACATGCGGAAGTTTGAACGGGAAGCGTGCTATCCATTGTCCGCTTTGTGGTCAGCACTGGACAGTCGGAACGCCTCATTCGAATCAGCCAAAGCAGGTTTCGTCTCATTCGACTCCTTCCCATCAATGGGGTCGTCGTTCAAGTACGCCGCACAGAGGGAAAGGTTGGTATCAGGATGCTCAGGCAGCAGAGGAAGAGCAGTGGGTCAAATCTCCACGCAACCATGCAGCCAGACAGAGATCAAGTTCCAACCGCGCAAAGAAAGGCAAGGGCAAGGGCAAAGGCAAGGCCAAAGGGATCCAACACCCTTTGCCAAACCCTGCACCCCCAGATCAAGGTGTGCCGGCAGGTCCTCCTGCGGTCATGCCGACTTACCAGGAAGCTCCTTGGCTAATGGCGCCGCCTCCTCCGCTTCCGAACAACAGCGTGCATCTGGATTCCGGTCAGGCTGCGGGTTCTACAGCAATTTCTGCTGCCGAAAACAAGCTGAAGTCCATGTACGCATTGCTGGAGAAGCATCCGGAGGGCTTGCATCCGGATATTCAGAAAGAGATGAAGGAGGCAAAGCTCAAAGAGGGCGAGGTTGCAATCAAATCCCTTCACAAGCAGGTGAACGCACTTGGGAAGGCCAGAACGGAATTGCAAAATGCCAATGCGGCCCGCCTCAGTCTTCACTCTTCCTGGAGGACATTTTTGGTAGAGCAGGTTTCCAAGTGGCAGGCATATTCTCAGCAGTTTCAACAACAAGAGGATTCCCTCTCTGCAAGGGTGACTGCTGCTCGACTTGCGCTGGACACTGCTCGTACCAACCTTGCAGTATCAAAATCTCAGCTGCAGAAATCAGAGCACGCGGAATCTTCGGACATGACTGTGACAGTGAGCGACGAGGAGGAAGAATCGAAAGAGTCGAAGGATGCAGTCAATTCAAGTGCTCAAAAGATCACAGACAGCCTTCAGCACCTTGGAGAAAGTCTCAAGACATTGAGTGCAAACGCAGACGAGTTAATGTTGGCAGAACAACAGGCCAACAAGCGGCAGCGTACAGAGCCGCCAATGCCCATGTCTGGAGGCAACGTGCCAGGAGATGGGGACTCGTCTTTTCGCTAGGCCGGATTTGTGCGACCTTTGAGTGCGCAGTCCAGAGGCCCCAGGAGATAGGCATTTTGCCTGAAACAGGAGATCAGCATCTCAAGTGGTCGCATTCCATTGTTCAAGAGCCCGATTATTGCTCAGAATGGGTTGCTGCGCATAGAGCTACGGAGCTTGCGTTGCAATGTGGAACTTCCACTTTTCAGATGCCTGGTGTGAATGCCCATGATCGGAACAAGGCTGAGGGCTGCCTTTCCGTTCGTTTTCATCCTTTGGTCGATGTTTTTACCGGAACTGATGATCACATCCACATGCATTCAATTAGTGTGCCTGCCGAAGTGCTGCCGCACATTGCAAAGCCGTGGTCTAGTTACCATCAATCCCGAGGTGTCAATAGAACCCTCCCCAGTTTTGATTTTGACAGGGATGTTGGCTGTCCCATCGATCAGCTATTCACCCATTTTGCATTTGTTGGTGATCGTTTGACCCCTCATGCTCATGACTTTGATGCCAATTTACCGTCCCTTGACTGCGCGATCGAAGGTTGGAACCATGTTTCATCATGTCTCAAGCGTGCGGGTCAAGACGAGGACGATGACTCCAGCAATTTGCATGCCGTACCAGTGACTGACGAAGGGCTTTCTGCTGGTCCCATTTACCCAATGAACAACTCACTGCCTGTTGGAACGAAGACGTCCAACAGCTTAGGTGATGTTGATCCCGACCTTGCATGCCCAGTTCCCGCATATCTCCATCCCAGTTCCATTTTGAATTGCTTTGGACTCTGTTGCGATCCGCTGTCTTTTCGTAAGGCCGTGTCGATCCCAGAGGATCATGCGTTGCTCAAGGTGCCGTCAACCTTGGATTTGGCTACTCAGGTCTCCACTTCCAAAGTCATGTCGAATCCTAATGTCGGTACATGTTTTCATGCTCCTAACACTGCCAGCCTAGCTCTGGAGGATCATGTAATGTGTCCCGATTCGGACGTGCCTGCTGACGAGGGTCCAGCTGATGCATCACAGCCTCGCTCAACAGCCAGTGGTACTTCTCCTAGTCGTGCTGTATCGCCAATTCGGCTCCCGCCGTTTGCTCAGCAGATGATGGTTAATCTTCCACTTGAATTTTTAACCAACCCTGTTCGGATTGTTCAAGGGTTTGTGGTGCGTACTTGGTACTTGCATCATACCAACATTCCCCTGTCCTTACAGGCTCGCCAAATCATGATGACAGGGCCGCCTCACCTGTGGAGAGCGCAGATTCTTGCCACCTGGACTGACCTTATTGTTCCGGGAGAGGATCTCACGCTTGACTTGGTCAGTCCTAATCCTCCACGCAATTGGCATGAAGCCCATATCTTGTTTGACTTGATTTTGGCGCAAGGGATGTACGGTGGCCGTTTCTCAGGATTGGTTACAGTTTCTCCCACTATCACAGAACCAAACCTACGTATGTACGCAGTTGCTGTTTCATTCGAGCCTGTCATTAGTGGACAAGATCTCGTCACAAGTGCAGGCATCCAGCCTTTCTGCAATCAATTTGACTGTCTTATCTTTCATGCCAGGGATCAACTGCACATTGATTTTAATCGGGTTCATCAAATGCAGCATGGGCATGGGTTCGTTGTTTATCTCAGTCGTCGACCGGAACCTGAACCAGTTCCAAGCGTTCCCCCAGAGGCTGTTGCAAGCATTGATCCTGCCCTGGAGCCTCACCCTGAGCAAGATGTAGATATGCACCAACAGTCCGTTGCATCTGATCCTCTTGCCACAGACCCCACCGTAGGTGCCACTGCTGATGCGGATGACCTTCGACGTGTCACCCTGTACAGATTGAACCGGCAAACCAAGTCTGCTTGGGTTCGATGGCGGCAGTTTTCGAACCTCTTGCAGGATGTTCTAGAGGCCACTTCGATCTCACCTGCGGATATTGTTGCCCTTCACCCTTTATTGGCCAAACCCACTGGAGAGCATGCCAATGAATTTAGTGTCATTGTTCAGCAACGGCAGGACATTGAACCTGGCTCCTCCGACAGTTTGGTCTTAATTGATGTGGTGTTTCATCAACAGGGTTCAGTTGCGCACATGTATATGGCCCCAGCTGTCGACAGAAAAGTTGTGAGAGTTCCTCAGACTCTCACGCGACAAGGTGTGCTTCAGCTGGCCAGAGTTGCCAACTATTGTGAGAGCGCTGGACAAGCGTGTCTGGTAGCACTTAATCACAACCCTTGGCCTTCCCAAAATGCTGGAACTCAGACGGTCTTATCGGGTTGCTATGTCCGTGTACAGGTACCACCTGCTACGGTTCACGGGGCCGAGACTTGCCGAGCTGTGTCTCTCGTTGAGGACTTGTTTGATCCTCTGCTTCCATCATTTGCTCAGGTGTACCCTACGTTGCCACACCATGCTGACGTGAACGCCCGTCCCCTGCCCGACCATGGCTCTTCTCCGCCTGCTGCGATGCATGACTGTGTCACATCTTGCCGTTATCCGATTCCAAGACAGTGTCACTTTGCTGATCAACACGTGGCGGAGGATTATTCATTTGAAGCCAACATTCCGATGCAGGCGGCACCGATTTTTCCAAATGCCCCTGACTGGCATGAATTTGATCTCGAAATGAGAGCTCAATTCCAAGAGATGTCAGTTATCGATATTCCGGAAGAAGGGCCGGTTATGCATGTCACGACATGGTTTATTCACCATGATCATGCGCCAGTCTGTTTGGTAGGACGGCTCATCCGCCTCTCGCATCGACCCTTTGACTGGTTTGCCCAATTGTGCACGCCGTGGATGCACATGTTGAGACCTTTTGAGAATTTGGCCTTTCATATCGTTAAGCCGTCCCCTGCCTCCGATATTCCTGGCCTGCGTATGATGCATGTAATTTTGGAGCAAGGGATTCAGCAAGCCAGGCTGACTGCCCTGTTTTCTGCCATTTTTCAGGGTCTGCATGGGGACATTACTCATAGAAGGGCGCAGTCCATTCCAACGGTTCTCTCCCAAGAGATCATCACCCGCATTTTAGATGTTCAATCCTTGTGTAGAGCCCGTCGATGCGTTGCTTGGTCAGGTCGAACTCAATTCCATCGAACGCAGACTGATCCAGTTTTCAATGGTATTGGTGTGTGTCTTACCGTTGATGCGTTTCGAAATCGTTTTGCGTTGGTTGATGATGACGGGTTTCAATTGCCTAGGTCCGCGTCGTCCTCACAGGTACCGCCCCGCATGTCCTTTAGGGCTGATGATGCCACCTTGTTTCCCACTGCAGACCAAGCCAGGGGATCTGCTGATTTGCCGGCTGTTGAACACGTGCCTAGCAATCTGGTTCCCGAGCTTCAAATCATTTGGCAGCATCATTTGATGACGACGCCTCAGGGTCCGTACAGGTTCTACGTTGAAACCTGGTTTTGTGATCATGACCGTTTCCCAGGTACCAATCGTGGCCGTGAAGTTCTCCTTTCGCCTGATCGAGACACATGGAAGGACACCATTCTCGCCAAATGGCATGACATGATTGACCCGACAGCTGAAGTGTTTCTCTACGTCATCCACCCGCAGCCGTTTGGAGGTCCCACAGAAGTTCTTGCTCATGTTCTCCTTGCGCAGCATCAACATCGTGGTTTTGTTTCGGCACTCATTACCACTGTAGCGCCAGGAGACGACATTTGGGACCCCCCACGTGTCGCGTTGAAATTGCCTGCGGTTGTTGATAAAGGTTTACTCATTCAAGAAAGTGGCCTTTTCATGTTTTGTCCTCCATTTATGCCGTTTAACTCCTGCCAAGCGTCGTTGGGCGACCAAGAAATCCTGCAAGACGTTTTGCATCCTGCATCCTCTGGCCAGGGGTTTTTGTGCACTGCAAACAGTGAAGCTGCAGTGCATCTCGATGTGAGCCTTGGATCCTCGGTAACACACGACGTTCATAAATTGTTTGAGATGTTAGGACGGGTTATCACCAAGCTTGCCACAGCTGTTGTCCACACCCTTGCTCCTCATGGTCCTTTGGCACGCTGCAGTGACTATGTTGGAGATGAAGGTTTGGTGGTGCACCTATCAGGTGGTGAAATCATCAGTCCTGACTCCCACTCCATTGGCTCATGTTGTTTTGGCCCCGCCGATGTTGATTCTCAACATGCATCATTTGTCTCAGATACACCAGTGGCACCCGTCATGGTTCAGGAAGGCCATGTTCACGGAGTTAAGTGGCATGACTCGTCTCATTTGCCCTTCCCTTCCGTGGAGCCTCAGCATGTTGGTCCTATGCCAGAAGCGAGCCTTGGTCTCGCATCTCAGGAGGCCTTGTTGGATGATGAGCGTTTCCAGGATGGCTTGCTCTTGTTGCAGCTGCAGTCTCGGCTCACTGAAGTGTCTTATCCTTCCACTTCCCCCCAGCCTTCCCAGTTTGAGCATTCGACCCCAACAGTGTCGCAGTCTGGCAGACAGAATCCTTACCAGACCGCCTCGCTAGGCAAAGTTACTCTCTGCCTTGATGCTTGCATTGCACGGCCTACACGTTACCAAGAAGATGGGTACGTCGGGGCGGAAATCACGTATCGTTCGAGGGAAGATTGGCCACAATTTCTTGCCCAAACAAAAGTTCAACTTGCGTCTTTCCCTGAAGGGCTCCACCTGACAGCTGAATCCTATCATGCGTTGATCAGTCCTGATCAAGTTCCTGAACCTGACTTGGCTGGCAAACGTGCGCTATATGTGGATGGTTCTGCTGCACAGGGATCAGCTGCCTGGAGCGTTGTTGTTGTTCGTTATGACGGCAGTGGCATCCCAGCACTCCAGGGTTCCTTTTCAGGGATTGTTGAACTTGATCAGACATCGGACAACTGGGTCGGGGCAGATCATGCTGACAACATTAGTGCAGAGTTGACTGCTGCACTTGCTGCCATGATTTATGCCCTTTGTGGAGACCATTATGATGATGTTGTCGTGCGTCCTGACTTGAAGCTCAGTGCTAAACTGGCCAGCTTAGCTTGGCGCTGCCAGTCGCATCCTGCATTAGGTCAGCTATGTCAGCTTCTTGGCAGTTGGCTCCACAAAACCGGCGGATGTTTTGTTGAAGTTCGGGGCCATTCTCGCCATGCTTGGAATGACCTTGCTGACTCCGTTGCCAAGTGGACATTGACTGCATCCCAACCCGTTGGGGAAATTGATTGGTCTCCCTTTCATGAGCTGCTGAGCACTGGTGATATCCGATGGGCTTGGTTAATGACGGCCTTGCCGCAATTTCATCAATGTCTTCCCACAGGTTCTGCGGAGGGTTGTTGGCAGATTACTCCCTCATATCGCAAAATTCCGGCCCCGGTAGACACTGGTCAGCTTGATCATTGGAGTCCCTTAAGTTTCAAGGTCGCTTCCGCCAATGTGCTGGCTCTTAGTGACGCCTCCTCGGGTCTTCCTGAAGCAACATCTGCCGATCGCGCCGTTCGTCTGGATCTGCAATGGCATGCGCAAGGGATTGCTGCCATTGGTTTGCAGGAATCTCGACGAGAAGAGGGCAGAATTCAAACCGAACATTATGTTGGTTTTGCCTCCGGTGCGCAGACTTGTGGCAAGTCACAGCATTATGGTTGTGAACTATGGCTGCACAAACACATGGCTCTTGATGATGAAGGACACCTGACCTTTTCGCAATTCAAGGCAGTCGTTGTGGTCGCTGATCCGCGTCGCCTGGTCGTGAATCTGTCCCACCCCAAAATCAATATGTCTTTTGTAGTGCTGCATGTCCCGTGCAAGTCCAATTCCTGCTCCTTAGAGCAGCTTGCAACGTGGTGGCAGGATACCCAGGCTTTGTTGCAGCAGGCCCGCCTGGCCTCCTTGACATGGTGCATGATTGATGCTAATGCCCCGCTTGCGTCTGAATCCACGCCGTTCTTTCAGATGCATGGAGCGGAGATTTCTAATGCTCAAGGACGCTTATTTGAAGAGGTGTTGCAACACATGGAATGGTATGTTCCCGCCACCATGGAGTGGGCACACCAGGGTTCTCATTGCACGTGGACCCACCCCAGAGGGTCTCAGCTTCGGCGAGATTATGTGGCCTGTTCTAAGACAGCGTTTGAATGGTGTTCCAAAACGTGGGTCGACATTCACTTTGATGGCGGTTTTGGTCATGACGACCATTATCCGGTAGTCATGCAATGTCAGGGATGGCTGTATGATTCTCCAGGCAGTACCAAAGTTCAATGGGATCCCTTGGCCTTTGTAGACCCCGTCAAGTGCCATCAGTTCCGTAACGCCGTTCGCTCTTTGCCGATTCCTGACTGGAGTACCCATGTTGACTCACACGCTGAAATTATGGAGAGCCAACTCTTTGCCGTTGCCAAGCAGCATTTTCAAAAGACATCCCATGACCGGATGCGTCCACGTCTTTCTGAGTCCACTCGGAATCTTATTCAGTTCAAACGTTCCTGTCTTGACTTTGGTCGTGCCCACTCGCTGATGCAAGATGCCCAGTTCCGTGATCAACTTAAATGCCTTGAGAAGGACATTCGCCTGCGAGTCCGGCATGATCAGCGTGACTTTTATAACCATTTAGTACAGGAACTTGCGACCGCAGGTGAGCTTCATGATTCTCGTCACATGTACAAATTGCTCACCAGGCTTGGAGGCCGCAAATCTGCCAAAACCGATGCCAAGGCGCTTCCTATCCTCAAGGTTCAAGGAGTTCCTGTCCGGTCGTTTGTGGACCAACAGAAGCTTTGGATGAAACAATTTGCCGACATTGAAGCTGGGAATATCATGGCCCGAAGTGAATTTCACCGGCACTTGCCTGCCTGCTTGGGTGTTCCTCACGATGACATGTCCATTGCAGTGTTTCCAGATTTGCCTGAGATCATGCAGCAGATTCACCGGCTGAAGCGTGGGAAAGCTCCGGGGCCCAATGGCTTGCCGCCTGATGTTTTGAAGGCTGGCTCTCATGACATTGCACAGCATTTGGTTGTTTTAACCACCAAAATCGCAGCCCATGGACGGGAGCCAGCGGCTTGGCGCACTGGCAAGCTCATTCCGCTTCACAAAGGCAAGTTGGCCAAAAGTGATCCAACTGGCTATCGATCGATCTTTCTGAACAATTTCACCACAAAAATTTACCACTCCGTACTTCGCAAGCACCTCGTGCAAGCTTGGTCGTCTGTGCTAACGCACCTCCAAATTGGTGGTCGAAAGGGTTTAGGATGTGATTCCGCCCATCACATCATTCAAGCTCATGTTGCGTATGGACAGATCCACAAGCATCCGAGTGCCATTCTTTTTGTAGACTTCAAGTCTGCATTCTACAGTGTTGTACGGCAAGGGCTTTTCCAGGAAGACATTGATGCCACGTCCTTTATGATTGCCATGCACCGGTTGGGGATTCATCCACAACATGTGGAGCAATTGCTGCAACATGCTCATTCCGAAGCAGCCATTGCCAACATCGCGCCACATGCTATGCGGTTGCTACATGACATGTTGCAGGCTACTTGCTTTGAGATGGAGGGATTATCAGAGGTTGCAGTCACCACCAGAGGCACCAGACCGGGTGATCCGATTGGTGACATTGCATTCAACATTGTCATGGCGGCCCTGTTAAAAGATGTCTCTGAGAATATCCGCCCCAGCCAGGCCATCTGGGAAGGAGCACCTGATGATGTCCACGATTTCGCAGACGTCAAATCCCCGGCACCTTTTGCATGGGCAGAAGTGGCTTATGTGGATGATTTGGCTTTACTCCTGCGTGCTCCGAGCAATTTGCAGTTGATTGACCTTGCCCATGTGGCTGCAGGTGCTGTGTTTCAAGCTGCGAATCGTCGTGGCTTGGAGCTCACAGTTGGTGAAGGGAAGACAGAATTGCTCTGGGCCTTGCGTGGTGGGGGAAAAAAGAAACTGCAGACGCAGGTTGCTCATGACCACGGCACTCTTTCTATTCCCCTCCCAGAACGGGATCAGCCGTTGCCATTGCCTATTGTTTTGTCATATAAGCATTTAGGTACATGGGTCCAAAATGATGCAAAGCCCTTGCGAGCCATTCGCACACGCCTACACGCTGCAAGGCAGGCCTGGGGGCCATTGGTGCGTCCCTTTCTATCCAAGAAAGGGGTGCTACACAGGACAAAGACCCAAGTGTTTGAATCATTGGTCCTCTCACGGTATTTATTCAATGCCCACACATGGGGCCTGGTGTCACAGACGCAAATGAGTGAGTGGGAAGCAGGGCTTCGGCCCATGTTGTATGCTCTTGCTCGTCCCTTCCTGCGTGGTCAACCTCCGTTCACCTTTGATGTTGAGATTCTATGCGGCTTATGCAACTTGCTTGCGCCCAGTGACATGTTGCATTTGGCTCGGCTACGCTATTTCAAGCGCCTGTTGCAGCATTGTCCGCCCATTCTGTGGCAGCTGCTTCATGCCACGGCTTTCCAGGCAGGCTCTTGGCTTGATCAGTTGCAGGAATCTTTTCATTGGTTGTGCCGCTTTAGTGGAGTGCATTTTGGCCTTTCCGGCACCACTCACATCTATGACTGGTGTAGTTTTGCTGCCATCGACACTCGATGGAAAGGGCGCCTTAGGCGGGCAGTGAACTCTTGCCGTAGGTATCGTGCCGAAAATGCCAAGCAGGCAGCTTGGGACGTATGGCTCCAAAACTCCCTGACCCGTGATGGAGTTCCTGATTTTTCCCCCCAAATAAAAGCACAGCCTGTTCAGTGGCAGTGTCAGCTGTGTCTGGAGCAGTTTAGTTCCCGCAGAGCCCTTGCACAACACGCGGTGAAAAAGCACGACTATGTGACATTAGTCAAGCATTATGCATTTGGCAGCACTTGTGCCAACTGCTGCAGAAGTTTTCACCATCGAGTTCGGCTTTGCTGTCATCTCCGCACATCAGTGGCATGTCTTGAACGCACAAGGGCTGCCTTCCCGCCATTATCTGTTGATGCCATTCAGATGTTAGGTGCGGACGATCGTTTGCATGCAAAAGCGATGCGTGATCAGGGATGGCTTGCCACTAAGGCCCAAACACCGGTCTTGTATGGTTTTGGACCTCCTTTGCCGCCTCCAGGCTCAGCTGAAGCCAACCTCATGTGGGGTAAGTGGGCTGCACGCACTGATTCCAGCTCTGCTCACGCTTTTGAGGGCCTGGATGGCATATGCATTGGGGCAGATCCCGCTGACCCTGTGCCATTAGCACAGGAAGATTCTGCCACCATATCCGTTGAAATGGCATTTGTGATGCATTCTGACCAAGGTGCTGAGCACGGGCATGCAGGTCGATTCTCCAATCGAGGCCTTGCAACTCTGTATGCGCGTTTGCATATTCGCACAATGTGTTTTATTCACTTCTTCTCTGGATTTCGCCGGGAAGGCGATTTGCAATCGCAAATTGAACAGCACTGGGTACAAGGTATTCATCACATTTTTTGCATTTCTATCGATTACTGCCTGCAAGGCAGCCAAGGTGATTTGTCGTCGACCAAGAGTTTGGCCTTTTGGAAAACCCAGGTGTGCAACGGAGCGATCCTGGGGATGGGAGGGGGTCCCCCCTATGAGACTTACTCGGCAGCCAGATTCTTGGAGGGGGGACCCCCCCCCCTGCGGTCCCATTCGGACTATTGTGGATTGCCGTCCAACTCCGCCAGACAGTGGGATCAGGTTGCTCTGGGAACCGCGTTGATGCGCTTTTTGCTGGAGATGATGTATTACTGTTCTTTGGCTGGGGCTTGCGGATTTTTGGAACATCCGGCTTTTCCAGTTTGGGCGATGAAACACTCCCCTGCAAGCACATGGACCCTAGCTGCAGTCCGTCGGCTGCGGCGCCTTAACTGTGTGTCTATCGCAACATTTGATCAATGCATTTTCCGCTGCGAAGGGAAGAAGCCAACCACGTTACTTCTGGTGCGTTTGCCGCACCTGAGAGAGGCGCTCCTGAAGCTTGGTCGTGGTGGAAGATGCCCTCACGCCGCTGGTGCACACACTGCACTTAAAGGCCGTGGACCAGATGGATTGTTTCGCACTTCAGTTGCGAAAGTTTATCCACCACAGATGAATGCTGCGATTGCAGAGGCTGTAATTCATTTTGCATGTGCGACTTTTGTGCCGGGGGAGCAGCAAAGTGCTGTTCCTGAGTGCGTCGCTCAGCATGCGCGCATGGATTTTGTGCCCTTGTCTGTAGTACAACCAGATTACTACGAGGGCTTGTAAAGTTGCGTCTTGCTATGCATGTTCCAAGCAAGAATCGACTTGCAGCAGTTCGAAAGGAAAAAGGTAGACAGTAGATGTAATATATATATATATATATTATGATTATACTATTATTATTATTATTATATTATTATTATATTATGATTATATTATTATTATATTATGATTATTATGATTATATTATGATTATATTATTATATTATTATTATATTATTATTATGGTATTATTATATTATTATTATATTATTATTATATTATTATATTATTATTATATTATTATTATATTATTATATTATTATTATATTATTATATTATTATTATTATATTATTATATTATTATTATATTATTATTATATTATTATTATATTATATATATACATATGTGCCATGGTCTAAAGTTGGATTTGATTAACCCATGTTCATTGGGCATTATCAAGTCCCACGGAAGAGTCCCAACAATGGTGGGATGGCTGTAACCAATGTTTTGACCATGGCACATAATGTTTTGTATAGTTCTACATAAAGTTATATACTACAACAATGTGGAGAACAGTAGCTGATCACTTATCACCAGGATGGATCTGAAGTTACCTTAAACAGTGGTGCATAAGTTCCCTCAAAGAGTGGTGGATAATGGTTGTTTTTTACTGCGAGGGTTAGCAAGCATCCTGTCGAAAAAGTCTTGGGCACACAGAAACACAGTGAGGTAACATGAGGTACTTTAGCCAAACATGGAAATGTCAGAATAAAACCTGATAGTCAGACATTACGACATGTCAAAAGCACAACGCGCCGGTTTAACGTGGGTCTGAATCCGCCTGGGGCTGGGTATTTGATTGGAATGAATAACCATCCATCAACCAGCTATTTTAGGGTACCGGGTCGGGTTTTGACTCATAGCCTGGCAAAAGTTCCCTTCAGGCCGCTCAGAAAGCGGACATGGAGGCGGCACGGTAGCAGGGCGCCCAGCAAATGACGAACTTCAACCTTGGATTGTACAATAATAATCTAAATACACTATAATAATCTAAGGTTTTTTTCATATGCAAAACTTCAAAAACCCCAACTTTATGGGTTATTTATAGGTAATAAACGCCATTGATCAGGGGGGATTGTGCCGGAAATTCATGATCATCTTCTGTTGAATTGGGACCGCCCCTATTCGTTAACTGGGGTTTACAAATCCTGGGTTAACATGAATGTTGATCTTTTGCAATGGACCTTTGAACCACCAGAACGTTCCACAAACACCCTGTCCCAATGTACTGTGAACTAAACTACCTCCGGAAAAGGTTGCATGTGAAATATCTAAGATAGATAAAACCCATCACAATGCCATGAATCTCCGTTTGAGGCTGGTTTTATAGCTGTGTGGCAAGTCATTGGGGATGGTTGGGATGGTTTATTTACCACACTTTGTCCGTAAGATAAACTCAACCTGGTTGTATCTCCCTTTATTTGGGTCGACCTGGGAACTGGTACTTCAACGCTGTTTTTTTTTATGCCACATGAGGATGTTTACAGTTAGTAACCAGCTAAACATAGATCGGGTATCTAAGTTTGGCTACACCCCCCATTCTTGTTGGTAAATCCATCATTTTTGTTGTTGAAACCCTAACTTCTGCTGATTAAATCACCATGTTTGGTAGATTTGTTAATTAGTCAGTCAAGCCATGTGAAACGCAATGTTGGCTGCCTTTGCCAGGCGATCGATCGGGTTCTGAACGAGAAGGCCTTGGCCGAAAGCGTCCACGCTGAAACTATGCGACAATTGGAGCTGGACGGGGCAGCTGGGTGACGGCTGCTGGGTGACAGGATGGAGCAATGTTTAGGTTGAAGAGAGTAAAGTTGGGCAAAACCTGGTTGGAAAGGCTAAGATAAGCTAAGCAGTTAGTGATGTTTATCATCTTTTTGGAGAAATATGCGCAGCTAGTTAGTCAAAATATTGTCATTTCTACTGAACTGCTATTTATCGGACGGTGAGCAAAAGCAGACACATGTTTCCCCATGACCAGGTACCACAGTTGACTGGTAGGTTCAAATATGTCTAGTTGATGTTGTATGCATATGTTGCATTACCTCTTTATCTTTGTTTGATTTAGATGATTGCTGTAATATGCTGCAAGGGTCTTGGAACCAGGGCTTCAGTCAACACCGAAGGGATCTAAGCATCGTTTCATATCTAAATTTATACTTCAGCATATTTCTCTATATATTTCTATCATTTGTCTATGCTATATATGGGTCAATTATAACGACCTCACTACGACCTCACTAGAATCATGGTTAAAAAGTGACATCATCCCCAAATGGCGCGGCCTTAATTCAGGTTAGTGAATTATAATTTACCCATATATATATATACATATACATATTTACCAACCGTCCCAAAGCGTCTCAACATGATTGCACAAGCACTTGGATCGCAGGACACGGATCGGGAGATTGAGGAGCTGAAGGAAGATAAGGAGCTGAAGGGGGAGTTGACCTACCATTCTGGTGCAGAAAATAAAGAATTTATGGTAAGTCATGGGGGATGGTTTAGAATTTAGTCGTACGCAGATTGTTTGAGGATTTTTGGAGTAAAGTGAAATTGTTTGATCCGGAAATGACAATGGAGGGTGAAGGCATTGTCATGACTTGCAGGCTTTCGAGGGTGTGTGCCCAGATCGATTTGGGCCAATCAATTGCAGAATGTGTTCCCTGCTCTTAAGTGGACACCTTATATATATATATATACACATTTATAAATTCAACACCTCTGGTTTTGGAGTGATAGCATGTAGTGTTATGGCATTTTATGTACCTTACTAGATAAGCAGCTAAGATGTGAGACGTGCAGTGGGCTTCAAGTTCAAAGCATCCTTTGCAGTCGATTTGTCCCCACATGTTTGCACTTGTAGAGCTGCATTCATAGGCAAGGTTCGCTCTGATGAAAACCGATCAACCACTTGTGATGTGTGTACATTATAGAATAATAATGAATAATATATATATATATGTTGTTCACTGCTTAGTCACAGATAGATAGACAGACTGACAGATAGACAGGTTACATTTATATAATAATTATTATAATACATATATATATATTACTGTACATGGTTGTTTCACCACATGTTTTTTTTTTTTATAATCATTCAATCAACTTGTTAATTCATTACTTAATTAATTAATTGATTGATTCATTGATTAATTTCTTGATTCATTGATTAATTGATTAAATCATTGATTGATTCACTGATTATATACTTGATTAATTACAGTATTTGATTGATGATATCTAGTAATTGATGGTTAATGATATAAAATTTAGATAAATCAATTAAATAATGAATTCATCAATCAATCAATTTATTGATATTCATCTACAGCACACGGTGTTTCTCTTTGAAACGCAGGAGACGCGTTTGAAGGCGGAGCGCGACGACAAGGTGCGCCTCCGAGGCCAGGCCGGCATCCACAAGCGCAACGGCGAGGCCGGCGCCGGGGAGTGGGAGATCATGCCTATAACATATTAAGTGTAGATATAGCATGATATAACTGGATACATATAAATATAGTAACATATAATATGTATATATATAAAGCTATAGTAATGTATATTTATATTCATAGTGAATATATATATATATGTATAATTATATATATACGTATAATTATATATATAATAGGGGATGGTATACAATATATGTGTATATCTATAGGGGATGCTATAATGGGATGTATCATGGGTATATAGTTATTCAACCGTCTTATACGTATGATATGATGGTGTATTTGGATAAATTATAGCGGCCTCATGTCGCGACGTTATTGAAATGGTGGCTAATAGGGGTATATGACTTATAACTATCCCAAAATGACGGAACTTTCTGATTGGTGAATTATTGCAGTTATATACAATGTGATTGATGGGATACCTCATAGGATTTTTTTTTTGTGGAATTTAGAGGGATATAGAGCTAAGCAACTGTCCAAACATATAAACATTGCGTATTTAGCCTTATTTTATGGCCATGAATTACAGTAATTCAACACATGTGTTCCTCTAAACAATGGGGTAGCCCATTTTCAGACAAACCCGTTTGGGTGGGTAATTATAGCAGCATGACCATAGATTGAGGTTAGTACGGGGAGGATTTCGTATATGGTTATGTTGGGATGATTTTAAGTATAGAAACGATTATTTATAGTAAGTCAAGGTCAAAGGTCATGGGTGGCTATTGAAACCAATCAAGATTTCCTGTGAGACCTTTTGAGGAGGTGTCAAAGACCATTTGTCGATGCCCGGATGTGAAAAACAACTACCAACAATACTGGTAGACTGATAGAGCAAACCCACCATTTGTAGATGGTTTCCTGGTTTACCCATTAATTTACCATGACCAGTTTCGTGTTTCGCATAGTAAATATGTTTTTAGATGTGTTTAGCATTACCTGAATTGCATTTTTTGAGCTTCACTCGGGACCGGACCCTCTTCAGAGTGTCGAGGGTGACCCCCAGTGATTTCCTCTAAGGTTTCCCGGCAATCAAAGCATTTTTTTTGGGTATGTGTTTAACAGTAGATGAATTGTCCATGTTAGCTGGAAATGGTGGCCTACTCATCCTATCAAGTTCCGGAATTACTCCCATTAGGATTGAAGGGTACTGTTGGTGGTGCTACTTGTAAGTTTGGTTGGTTTAGGTTCATCCGAACTTCAAGATATCTACCATTAAAACCTTCGAACAAATGTGACCTGTCAGTGATTTACACAACATCAATTTCCCATGGTTTCCCCCAAGTCCTAATGCAGCAGAAGCAGCCATGACACCATAGGAGCTCAATAAGCAAATGCAGCAGAAAGACGATGAGTTCCTTGGTTCGGAGTTCTGCATCCCAGAATCTGGGGAAAAACAAGCCATATTATATGTTTCTAGGCATTATTAAGAGTAAACTGTTATATATATATATATATATGTCATTGATTAAATTATACATATAATATATGTATATATTATACATAGTATGCATATATTTGACATACTTATTCAAATGTACTGTATTTCGACATACTGAGATATAATGAGACTACTTTTGGCTGGCACTTTGAGTGTCTGGAAGAGACACGGTCCTTTGGAGTGTTGCGCTTCTAAAAGAAAACACCAATCCATTACACTGGCCTATTTGGGCTTTGAGAGCCTTTAGAATTTAGAACTTAAGATGGAAAACCAAATTGAGATTCTTATACCATTATTTTGGATTCCAAACTCCATGTTAGGTTTCAATTATATAAGTTATATTCATACTTTTGGAGCGCACACCATAGATCCTCCAATGTCCAACACGCCTCAAGCTGAACTGTTTGCATCATGAGATGCCTCCAAGTCAACTTTGACAGTGATTTTGCCATGCCTACCCACACTGCATGGTTTGTCGGCCCCATTCCTAGCATTTTTTGGGCTACGGGCAATCAATTCCGTGGAGATACTGAGAGTCTCAATATCTGCTGAAATCCAAGATGGAAGCCAGATTTAAAAAATGATCCCTGGTGGATGTTTCTCGAACATCACATGGTTTTCGAACATGCAGAGAGTTCTGCTCTCCACACGGATCTTCTACACAGCAACCCATCCCTGGTTTTCGTTCGCAGGCTAATGCGATACAAAGAAGAGGCCCACTGACAGGGCCATAAAGACTTGGGTCATCCTGAGACCTTGGTCATATCTCAAGATACCCGAGAGATCCAAGATGGACCTGGTAAACCTTCTTAGGATGTGGCTTCCAGTAGCTTTTACATAGATGATACAGGTATATGATATAATATATGATATAATCTGATATATGATAATATAATATATATATATATATATGATACAGTAGTAGTTCAAATCGGAAAGAATGTCGCTGTAGACTCCGGAAATCAACATCCGATGTGAATGGAACTTGCGTCTTGGATCTCTTGTCCCTGCTTTGGAAATGACGCATGTTGATCCATGTTTAACCATTCAACTATACAATCACCATTACATGATGCTTGGAGATAGTTCTCCAATATGTTTGGGTGCAGTTTCAGTTCGACATACAGTAAATGCTCGTTTCCAACTCACAGTTAGTTTTGGCGCTGGCAGGAAAGGAAAAAAGAGGAGAAGATCGCCCAATTGAACAAGGCCTGGCCTGGCCGTCAGATCCCTTGGGGTTGTGGCGCAGCTTTAGGGTTCGATGTCCATTTTTTTGTGTCATGTAGCTATAGTCGTGATGTCTCTTATGCTCAAATCCCCCAATTGTTTGGTGGTTAAATCAGTGAAATCCATCATTTTTTTGCTGGTGAAATTCCATGTTGCACGAAACTGAGTGCCCTGGCTGTGTTTCACGTGTTGAAACCGGCATCGCTTGGGATAACTCTTAGGGTCGATGGTCTCCCCAGGAGCGGGATCACAATGCCAAAGAGATCCGACAGCGGGATAGCACCATCGGCGGCTTGGCCCTGGAAGGATTAAACTTCGACTTCCACAAGATGGGTTTGTTAAAAAATAAGGTATACCCAATATATGGCAATGTTTTAAAGGAACATTGTGATTAACCAATTTTGGGGTACTCTAGCTGCAGACAAACCATGATAGAATATGGATGTTCATATATATATATATATATTATATATACATATATATATAGATAGGTAGTTACAAAAAAATGAAAGACATAACCAGTTGTGTGGGTCCACTGATCGCGATGTTTTTTCGAGCCATGTTTTATGTCAGTGCCTTTTGGCTGTTTGGAAAGGCTCGGGTCCCGTGGTTAGGAAACTTGATGGCTTGGAGCCATGCATCACCCCTCCCATGAGCGTTGAGGCGACAAAGAAGGGAAGATCTATGAGTTGAAGAAGCAGAATCAGGTCCTTTTGCTCCGGCGGTGTGGAGGGGGCATCTGAGAAGGACAGTCATTGATGATGGGTTGTTTATTCTAGGATATGCTTAGTTTGTATCTCACACATCATGTTTTCAGCACTGATGGTACGTATACAATACATTTAGAACCAAGGAATAATATATTATAGATTATAATGTTATATTATATTCTTAAAAATATAATATAATATTATAATATTATTTTATTACAATATAATATTACATTATACTATAATATTATATTTATCTATTGGTTGACTTATTTATTTATTTATATATATATATAATTATGTATATATCTATTGAGGCTTAAGCTTTGAAATGCGGTCAGCGAGACAAACCAGGGACTTCACCAGGCTGTAGGCTGCATTCGGCGATCCCTCCGTGGCGGTTCCACTTCTAACTCTGATTATACCAGAAAGGCTGGACCCCATATAGTTGAAAAAAAAACATTAAACAATATAATAATATTAAATAATTCATGTATTTCTTGAATCAATAAATTGTACCTCAAGCACACGTGTGTGCCTAGACATGTTATCAATTGTCGAATTGTCAAGAGTTGAAGAGCCAATCCTCGAACTGTGTTGCCGCTGCGTTTGTGCTCCCTTGAGGAGCTTGAGAAGTTCAAATTTGTGCTGGACTACAAGATCAGAGAATTGAAGGCGGAGATTGGGGATGCCGATTTCCGTTTTGTGTACCAAAAAGGCATGGGTACGTTTTACGTTTCCGTTTTTTGGAGTGAAAAACAATGTTGGATTTACATGGATTTACTGATTTACAAATGGCAATTTTTATGGGAAGATGATGATAAGCAGTTGGATTTGCTATGATTTACTGATTTACTGATTTACAAATAAGCAGTTGGATTTTGGGCTACCCTGTTTTTGGAACCCCACATGTTGATGTTCCATGCTCTGTATTGCGACGGCAAGTGCTGTCAGTGCTGCCCTTAAACTTGTTTTCACTGTTCCAGTCGTAACGAGCTCCTGTATGCTCCATTTATATTCATTTAATGTGGGAAAAAACAATAAACCACCCATTTTGGAATGGTTTATACCACCTATTTAAGGTGATGTGGGGGATGGTTCATTATTGTTTTACCCATTATAATATATTATAATCATTTATGCTACACCCTGTTTTCCTGTATACATTCAAAGTGACATATATGATATGGTCAAGCGGCGATTCACAGCTATACCACGACACTGCTTTGAACTTGTTGCAAGCTAGCCCTACATGATGAATGCAAACAGCCTGCCGGCCTGAATCATAATGATCATAAAGGCAATATATTAAGACATATTGATAGATATTGATAGTTAGTACATGGTATGTGGTTACGTCGCATGAACTGAAGCTGAATTTTTGCGGATTTGATCGAATCCTGCCGAGGCGCAGATCGATCCAAAGAATGACAAGATTGCAGAGATGAAGAAGGACCTGCGAACGGTGCCACGTGTGATGCATCACTTCTGGTTATCCAGTAATCAGCTCCGCTGGAAAATCATTCATAGAATTTTCATAGAATTCATATGAATTCATAGTTTCCCATAGTTTCCCGTAGTTTTTCCCATATTTTCCTGTGGTTTTGGCAGCAGAAAACAGCTCCAGAACGGGGGATTTTTCGCCATGCAGGAGATCCAGGCCATGGACTCGGATCTGGAGGACTACCATCGAAAGAACACACAGCTGCAGGCAGCGGCAGGATCTGGCAATGGATGTTTGTTAAAAGAAACGATCAATGGATGTGGGATTGATGTCTAAATGATTGAGATAAATGTTGTTTTACATGAATGACTAACATATTTTGACATGTGTTTCGAATTGTTTCTAAAGTTGTAAAAACCACATCACTCCTCAATCTTTCATAGAGGTAGCAGGTGTGTAATGACCGTATATTTCTGAATGGGGGCCTTCATGACTGGGAGAATCCTGACAAGATGGGCTGCGGCACTGCGGCAAGGCATGATTGGAAGGCACCTCTGAGCTATTGCTTTTTGTGAAAGTTAGACATAATTCTTATGCAACCTGGAGAATCTGGAGAGTACGAACGAGGTTTTCTGTTCCTGAAAAAAGGCCAGAAGACGACATGCTGATGTCAGATTTCTTTCCGGCTGGCATAGTGGAGCAGTATACTTCTCACTCTCCAAATCAATTGAGAAGCTGTATGGTTTTATACTGTTGTTTGTACCCTTGACCCTTGACTTTTGGATTGGAGCTCCCAAACCTGATTCTCTATGTGTCCGCATTTCTTGTGTTTTCCTTCATTGATGTTATTCCCATTTGTAGTCTATTTGTCGATTGCATGAGAATCCTCCAGCATTTCCATGAGCATTTGAATCCCTCACCGGCCCTGAGTTGATCTGAGTCGGATGTTTGGGTCAGGCCTGAGAGCTGTGCCCAACATATCCATCTCCAACAGACAGCTTGGGTAAACCATCACCAGATGTTATACAAATACATTTACCATGTATATGTTTATATTATACTACTATACCCGCCTAGATCAATGTCCTATATAGGCCAAGATGATATATGAATGAATATATTGAATATTGAATATATGTAAATATGGCTTACATATTCGCACTCCTCCCATGTGCACTGGTTCCACTGGGCTCCGCTGGGCTCCGCTCGGATAGGTAAACATCCAGCAGCTCACTAACAAGCACAAGACGTTGCAAGATGACATCGTCTCGCAGCGGCACCTTGGCCTGTTATGCCTGTTGTCAACCATGCCTCGGCATGGACCAGGAGGCCTGGACAGGCCTGGACCATATCAAACCATTACCGGGATATGACATGGACAATATGCCGTGTATGCTAACCTGATCAATTGAAAATATAAGGTGGTTTGATGAATGGCATGATACTAGTATATGGGATTCTGGGATTTGCCATTATATATGTATATGTATATTATGTATGTATATACATATATATATAATATCATTATATTGAATACTATATCATAAATATATACTATATGATTTCTATTTTTTGTATATTATATAATGTATACATATTATATACGTAGTGTGTATATGTATATGTTATGTATGCAATTATATATATATACAGTAATGTTTATATATATAATATGTTTGTCCAAGAATAGTCCTCCTTAAAATAGCAATTCAAATGCAGAACCTGCGGTTTGCAATGCGACTTTAGAGCAGGGCTGTTCTCTGGCGAGGTGGGGCTGCGGTGAGCGGTCCCTTTTGTTTTGCTGATGTTGCATCTTGGATGTGTTGCATGGAGGAGAAACAACACACAAATATCATACATACAATAATGTATATATATATACATATTTGTTATATATATATACATACAGTGTTTTCATTATCTCATCACTTAAAACCCTCTTCCCCAGCGTTTCTGCTCAGGAAGAAGATGACTGACTGCCAAACTGTCATCAAGCGCTTCAAAACCGACTTGCACGAGCGCCTACAACAAGATTTAATCTGTTATCTGTTGTGTTTTTGAATATCGATCCTCATACAGGTGTGTTTGCTATTGTCTTGCCAGTTTGCGGGATAAGACCTCATGTTACACTGATGGAGTGTGGTTGTGCCAAAGTACCCAGCATGTTTTGAAAAAGATGGTGTTAAGCTATTTTGGCAGACAGAGTTGTCCGCAGTTCTCGCACAAACCCTTTGAGTAGATGCACAGTACTGTCAGACCAGCGGGAAGTCAACCATGTTCCATCTTGCAACCGGCTGACTTGAACATCAATTGTTGCCGTTTGAAATTGTTGGATCGTTGATGCTGTTTTTTTACCCTCTGGTAAACTAACATAACTATGGAAAATCACCATTTTTTATGGGGAAATCAACTATAAATCACCATTTTCAATAGCTTTTTGTATGTTTACCAGAGGGTACCTTTGAAATCCTTTGAATTTTATGTCATTTTCTAAAGTACTTTGCCTTTCCCTTTGTGGGGACGGTTGTTTCCTCCGTTCCCCCTGTGAATGTGAGTGAGTGTTCCGAGTAGCATGCCGTTAATATTGTTATGTTAGTTGAATAAATATATATATACATAGTATAATATAGTTTATTAATCCTTTATCAGATAACAAACTATGATATCATGATTCATATATGTTCATAATTCTTCATGATCCTTTATCAGGATGTAGGTCGCAATCAGCGACTCTGAGGTGCGTTCAGTTCATCCAGGAGCCTCGACTGCTGAAGGAATCGGTGACGGCGCTCTACAAGAAGTACGTTCCGCCGCTGGGCGCTGCGGATGCCAAATGGCGGGCCGGAGCTGGTTGATTGATGGTTTCCAAAAGATGATCAAACCTATTTTTATAATACCAGATATTCCATAATAGACCTCATGACGGATCCATGGTGCTGGTATATATGCTTACATAAATGGGGTATATTGATGGGATCCATGTTACCATATATAGCCATGGATCCTATGGGTACATGGCTGACACCCCGAGACCCTCCGGCCATGGCGAAGTTAAGAAGTTCCAGATTGGCTCCCTGAGGATGATCAACAATAACCAACGTATGATATATCATCTAACTAATATATACAAGTATTGTTTATGTATTGTTTAATATAGTTATATATATATTATTACATATTACATATATTATATTATATATATATATATATTATTACATATTACATATTACATATTACATATTACATTATATTATATTATGTTATGTTATGTTATATTATATTATGTGATCCCCGTAACATATTCCCATTCTTCCCATGAAACCTCGTGATTTTCCCAGGAATGGTGTCAAGAAGCAAGAGCTGGACACAGACATCCAGCGCGAGTACAATCGCCAGCGGGACTATTTGGAGAAGTCGGTCGACAACCTCAAGAGAAAGTCCCTGGGCCAAAACCGAAAAACGTGCGATTTTGTTGCGAACCATACAACATAATGATGATACTGACGACTTGTGGTTTTCACATGCTTTCACCATCAACATGAGATTCAAAATTGCTTGTACGGGCTGGATGCTGAACCTTCATGCAAATGGCAAGTATATGGTGATCCTGCAGTACACACCCCCGGGAGACTCGGTCACCCGCGTGCGTTTTGGATCATTTTTGGATCATGTTTGGCATGGTCACCCCAAGGGTTGAACTCAGAACCTCTCCAAAAAGTGACCGGCATCGGGGAGCCGGATCCACTGATAAAATTTGCATCCACATCATCCACAGTGATATATCAAGTATATTCAAGTATAAATTGTTATAAATGAGATGATAGATTCAATTTTGATGGGATGTTATAAGTGACTTGTTTACCCTTCGGCGCCAGGTTGTTGAAGGATTCAGATGTGCATCGGCAAGACAACACACGTGTCCTGCAGGAAAATGTGCAACTGATCATCGAGATCAATAACTTGAAGCTCGATCAGATCAGAGGGCATGGATATGTTTTTGTGGGAGGCGTCTATGTGGTTGAAAGTAGTGGTAGGGCTCAAACTCCCTACGTCACTGAACTGGTTGGAATTGGCTCATCATCATCCGTTCTTGTTGGAGATTTAATTCCAGGTTGAAGTCGGTGTGGAAGGAAACCCAAGAAACACACATGGTATATTGGTATATCATATTACATCCCTGCGGTAATCAACCATGGCAATTTGGCAAATCCCACATAAATGAAGGTCTTAATTGGAAAATCAATGTACATATCTATAAATGGGGTATTTTCCATTGCCATGTTTGATTGCCGGGGGGTAGATCAATTTGGGGCCATTTTGAAGATCTGAAAATCCATCATAATCCATATCTTGCGGGCTACAACATTTCATCCCATACCCATATCTACTAGGTAGAGATCTGTGTGTTCTTGCTTTTGCAGAAACCATGTCTGGTAAAGTTGGAAATGATTTGTTGATGGGTTTACCAACTTCACCACATGTTTTTTGCCAAACACATCCAGCCAATATCAAGCCTCTTCGCTATAAATGATCTGAATGGCAGCGTATTCGTTTGCACCAATAAGAATAGCAGTAAACAATGATCAGTCTTGGATGAATAAATCCTGGGTACGTGGTCACCCTTGAAGTGAAAAGATGGCTATCAAAATGATATCCTCCATGGGCATGAATCCTGGCCCAGGAGAAGGGAGATCGACTATTTGAAGCGTGAGAGACAGCAGCAACTGGGCTACAGCCTCATAGTTCAAGAGAAGTCACCGATATCGGATATCACCATGAATTTTGTTATAATCGTATTGCCAGTGCGGTTTCTTCAAATCCAATATGGCTTGGATACTTTTCATATATTTTGACTATATAATTCCATGGTATCCAGTGGTGTTCATATTTCTCTGTTTTTGTGATCTCCTCATGTTTTTGTTGGTTTTGTCGGTTGTTCATGTATATTCCTTGCTCAGCTCAAGTTTGGTGGCTTGTTGTTCCATTACTTCTGTGGCATCTGAGCCAAGCTATGTGCGGTTTCTATCTGACCTTTGTGTTGAGGTTGTTTTGCTCAGTCTTCACCTGTCTCTATTGCAATGAGAGGTATAATTACTATTTCACGAGGGCACGAATCAGAATTGTGTGATACTAATATATCATATCCATGCTTTCATTTGTTTATTAAAATCCTATTGATGGTTTCCTTGTGTTTCTCCATTGCTGGTGACAATCCAACCTGCTTACTGACTATGTACATATACAAACAATCCTTGCTATTGCTGTGTTGTTTCAACACCCGATTGTTTTAGACATGTTTGTTTTGTTTGAACATGTTTATGCCCCCCACCCCAACTTATACCCCCATATAACAGTTGCGTATATTATCATTATTATCCATATATATATGCATACATATCCCCACATAATGTAATGATGAATTTCATTGAATTCCGCATATTTTGGATGATATGGGATGATTATCCCAAGTGACTCACATTTTCTTCCCTCCGCTGAAGCACCAGGCAAAGACTTCATGTCTCGAAATTGAAGAGCAACAACACCTCCAAATCCAGTTCAGGCAGGGTTCCCCGGTTCCCTTGGAGGTTACGTGCCCAATGAACGTTGCTGCAACTCGCAACTTGTGTATATGTATAGATAGATAAATAGATAGATGGATAGATGGATAGATAGATAGACAGATAAGAAAGATAGATAAATAGATAGATAGATAGGCTAGGATAGGATAGGATAGGCTAGGATAGAATAGGATAGGACGGATAGGATAGGATAGGATAGGAAAGGATAGGATAGGATAGGATAGGACGGATAGGATAGATAGATAGATAGATTGATAGATAAATAGATAGAGAGATAGATAGATAGATACATATAGATAGATAGATATAGATAGATATAGATAGATATAGATAGATAGATAGATAGATAGATATAGATAGATAGATATAGATAGATAGATAGATAGATATAGATAGATAGAGATAGATAGATAGATAGATAGATATATAGATACATATAGATACATATAGATAGATAGATAGATTGATAGATTGATAGATAGATAGATAGATACATATAGATAGATAGATATAGATAGATATAGATAGATAGAGATAGATAGATAGATAGAGATAGATATAGATAGATATAGATAGATAGATAGATATAGATAGATAGATAGATAGACAGATATATCGATAGATAGATCGATAGATAGATAGATAGAGATAGATATAGATAGATAGATAGATAGATAGATAAATAGATAGATAGATAGAGATAGATAGATAGATAGATAGATATAGATAGATAGATAGACAGATAGATCGATAGATAGATAGATAGAAATCATATATATATATATATACATACATAAATTATATAAATATTGCCAATTAAATCCACATATCTCCAAGTGATGCCAGTTGCATGTTGAAATCGGACGGCAACTACTCCCAACCAATGATGGGTCCCAGGTTGGGCAATGTTCAAAGGTATGGATACTGTTCGGTGTCCACAGAACCCAACATTGATTTCTACAGGATATGATGTATCTACTGTATATGGCAAGACATCTATATCCTGAATCCAGGTGAATTGAGCCCGATGTTCTACATATTTCGGGTGATTACGAAACCTTTTTCTCCTAGCCTTTCCCGGCGGTCAGGTAAACCTGACGATATCTCCACCTTGAATCGAGACTTGGATTTGCAAACAAATAGCCCAAAACTGGGGACATTGGTTACTCTCCCAACATGGTGATAGTCGACTAGTCGAGCCAAATAAACTTCTGTCTCTTGTTATGCTCACTTAGTAGCTGGCGTTGGAAGAGGCACGTTTTGAGCCTGGATCCAATGGCTGCCCTCCATTCTGCGTGCATTTTGGATTTAAGAGCTTTCCAAATCAAGATTGTGATGTCAACAAGACAGAATAAACAGATAACACATGAACATGAGGAAATCACGTTTTTTCTTTCACTTGAGTGCCCGTTAAATCTCTCAGGGTTCCTTGCAAAATCAGCGGATCTTGGGATGACCGTCGTCTATTCTGCCACTCAACATTCCGATCCATACAGTAAATCCTGAGAAAACAAGCCACATCTCCCATATGAACAATACACGTTTCTTTGTATGTCATGTTCATACATGTTTCTTGGTTTCTGATGTAAACAGCTGAAATATTTCCAGTCTCAGAATTGCTGGCCCACTGTTTCCAACATGCGCCGAGGTGAGATCGAAACCAACAAGACGACCATCGATGACTTGAGACGGACGCAATAGGGGCTGGTCCTGCAAGGGAAGTGTAGGCTAAGGATAAACATATGTGGATATATCCATTAGTATATCATAATATATATATATATGCCATTATATATTAGTTACATTATATATATATATGCCATTATATCATATCCTTGGCATATACTATGATATACTGCGATATGAATGAGGAAATATTGGGATCATATATCCAAGTATAACCGAACATTTGATATCATTTGATTATATATCAATATCCCATTTATGGGGATAAATGATGACATACACCATGTTTTGACCATGGCCGACATGGGTTAAACAAAAACAAACATGATTTTGCGATAAAGACATGCATGAATAACGATGAATGTTCGGGTGTGTCCAACACATATTGTAGCCATAAAATGAACATATTCATGTAACATATATGATCGATATGATCATTCCATTGGTTTAAGGGCGTCCCCTATTAATTTTGGGACAAACTCATATGTGAGCAATGCCCAATTGTCTAACTCCCGTTGGTTGATGGTTTTGTCCGGATTTATTTTGTTTGGGTTTATAGGTGTCGGATGTTTCAACATTTACTGCTGAGTATAACCTTCCACCATTGGGAATCCCCAGTAGAAGAGGCCAGGGCAGTGTAGCCATGGGCAGATTGTCTAGCTGGGGCATGCAATGATGATGCGGGTCTAAAATGGACACCAAACATCCAAATGTTGGTGATTGTTCACTGGGAAACCAGTGGTTTTTGGGGTACCTCATTTCAGGAACACTACCAAGTCACTACTAGATTCTTTCTTTGAAATGGGGCCAGTCCCAAATCGTCAAAAGTCTGCCAGGAAAGAAGTCATGGTGGACCAAGAAAGTAGGCATTTCTCTCATGTTTCTATTTTTCTTCAAGGTTTTGTGATGTTTATCCTCAAAACATGGCTGGCTAAGAAACTTGTCATTTCTAATAATCCATAATTCTTGTGGCATTTCCAGACCGCAAGTTTGAGTTCCAGAAAGAAAAGTCAATTTTTTGTTAGTAAAGTCACCATTTTTTGCTTGGGTAGGTTCCCGCACACTTTTTACTCAAACTGCTGTTTTTTTTCAGTTTGTTTTACCATTGCCAAAGGCCATGGTTACTTTTAACCCCATGAATTATCTTAGTTGACTTCCTATACCATCCCTTACTTTCCCAATATTTTCCCAATATGTTCCCAATATTTTCCCATATCCCATAAATTTCCCATGTTACCCCCATTTCATCTATTTTTTTCTATGTGACTTCAGCACCCTATAGCCTCCATGGACATGGCCAGGAGAGTGGAAGAGCAGACGGCCCTACGGAGCACCGCGGCCCCTGCCGTGGAGGTGCAGTGATTCCTTGTGCCTCGGTGCTTCGGAGAGACGGAGCAAAGGTGCCAGGTTACGGAGCAAATGTGAAAGTAAGTGGATGTACAACTGATAATAACGGATACCTTTATATCTATCATATGTTATGTATTCATATGTTATGTATCATATGTCATATATATATTATAGTCGTATTCAATATATACACAAAAACTGATGGGTAAAATTGGTTCCATGGTTCTGTTTGACGTTGTCTCTTAAACCAATCGGATGATGGCTGCAGTTGCAAGGTGAAATAAGTAAATGGTTCTTTATGTAGCTGCATACCAATTATGCCACTCATTTTTTATCTATTTTGCTTGACACAATAGAGTGTGTTGTTTCTCTGAAGATCCTTGGAATGGAATCGGTGTATAGCAAGCTTGCAGAACAACTAGTAGGAGAATTGGTTATTCATGCCGTTTCACAAAGCATGTTTGCGTTTTATGCAAAGCCTATTGACAAGTTATCCTTGTTTGCGCAAAGCTATATTCTGCAGATTCAGAATTTCACGAAATGCACATGTTTCACCTTCAGAGGTTTCACTATCACCGCAAGTGGCGGCCGAAAACTATGGCCCTGTTCAGCGGATAGAAATACCTGTCGTTGCTCTTGGGGCCCGGCTTTGTCCGTGCTTCTGGATGAGATACCTGGGATACCACTGCTTTCTCTTTGGAATAATTCTTCAGGGACTGAATCATGTTCTCTGTATAGCATATTCTATTTTTCGTTTGACTATTTAATTTCCAGCCGATTCGTTTGAAGATTTGTTGATTCTGCTTATCTACGTCATGACGTTCAGAACATGAAATGATGGCTTCAAAGATGGGGACAACAACCTGGATTCCCCTGCAACATGGATTCAGCTGGCTCAAGGGGGGCCAACCTCAGCAGCATGGCATCACCAAATCCAAATCAAGAACCCACTAGATATTTAATTGGGATTGACTGTGGCATACATGTGTAAGATGCCTTGCATGGAAGTCTGAAACATGCCAGATCATGGCAAGATGTTATTTATTTGCGATTACTAGTCTTGAAACAGTCGGTCTGAAGACTGAGCAGCAGAATCTGTTGGTGCGATCCTGTTGAGTGTTTATTCAGTGCTATGCTGAGTCCACATGAGAACCCAACCAGATGTTGATACAGATTTGTTGCAAAGAAGTTGTTGGTCAAAGCGATTGCTTAAATCCTCAATTCCCATTTTGCTTGTGGCACATCGCCATCTATACCCATCTCATCCCATATCCATGTAGAAAGTGTCACCTGTACCCTTCGAAGACAAATATCAACGAAAGCCTCTTTCATCATTGCCCCATCACAATGCAGTCGAGGCTGGAGCTGGGTGGTGATGGGCTTCAGTGGAGCTGACGACATCTCATCGCAACGTGCAACATGATCACAAAGGGTAGCCTCGGAACATTACCAGATGGTTTGACCATACAATGGTTGTATAATGGCTATTAAACGGCTATTAATACATATATATATATTGATGGCTAATGGCTGTATCCATAAATAGTGTAGTCTTAATCGTCAAAACAAATGACAAAGAAAACATGGCTTTGAGCATGATATTTTGTCCTCAATTCATGGTTTAACGAGCATAACATCGAACATTGAGATTCAATCATCCGAATCGTAATCTCAGTTTTACAGTTTCCACTTTTCCATGTGTTTTTTTAGTCTCAAACAAACCATGAAGAATCATTGCAATCACCATGTGTTTCACCATGTGGAAATTTCCTAAAAAAGAAGTACACCTAAATCATCCACTTTAGATTTTGTTTTTTTAGTTTCCATTATAAACCACCTTATTTCAGGAACCCCCATGTGTTTCACCATGAATTTCACTCGGTTTTGCCGCAGTTTCGCCATGATCTGAGGTCGCCGCATGGCGCTCCTTTGTCGGTGACCTCCGGCTTCGAGAAGGACACATCGAACTTTCGAACTGGGCCATGGCTTCCATATGTTAAGTTACCAGAGGGTATAGTATATATAATATAAGCTTACATAGGTGTGTATATATATTATATTATATATATGTATACATATATATATAATGATATATGATCTATGATATATGATTTATATGGTTTATATGATTTACATGTTTTACATGTTTTTTTTTTATGATTTATATGATTTATATGATTTATATGATTTATGATGTATGGGACATATATATATATACATGATATATTATGATATATGATGATATATATATATATATACTTATAACGATTGATATATCTCTACTTCAGGGGCAACCATGAAAAGAGAGAGGGAGAGAGAGTCAGAGCTGTTTTATACTCGCAGATTTACTGTTTTTTTGCGCACCCTGGTTGTCCCCTCTTCTGGAACGATATGGGGACAAGTGTACTCGTACACGATACGTGATTGATTATGTATATAATTATCAATGATGGCTAATTCACGATATTAATGATTCTTATCATTATGCATATCATAATGGCCGTATGATTCATATGATGGGTTAATAGTGGGAATATAGGATCAACTATGATATATTCTTTGTTGCTTGATGATTAGTTCATGGGCTTATGGGGAGTATCATGATGATCCGTGAACTGAACTGGAGATCCCCAACTCTTCGAATGTTCCAACCTTCGGAATGATAAACTGCTGACTGATGGCGTTTCTATGTTGCAAATCATCGGGATGTGTGTAGCCAAACATATCTTAATTATGTTAATCTGTTAATTAATAATGTTTAGTTAAATTATATTGGCAAATATAGCCTCTGGTAATTTGACATAGCTATGGAACATGGCTCATTTATATACTATATGAATTGCCACAGTATAAGTGTCATCAAAAACATATCTTGGAGAGGCCGCAACAATTGATGGTCGGCTGTTGTTTTGCTCCAGAAATCCGTTGGTTCAACAAAGCACCATGCGACACCATTGGTTGATGGCTGATGGGCAGTTGTGGAGGTGTAATTTCTAAACATGCACGTGTATGACTATGACAATGATCCGTGGTTTAGATTTGACAATGCCAAATCTCATCGAAATGGGTTTGTACACAAACAACAACCAGCTACAATGAGGATACTTCGTATACGTTCATATACGTGTATAATTTGTATAAGCACAGAAGATGACGCAACCGACAACGTTCGGGAATATGAAGTAACGTTACATAACAGGCGACCGATTGTACCTGTGCGTGTTTTCCAAACAAAAAAGGTGTCCAAACATTTCCAAACATTATATGTGTGAAAAACAATTATGGCCCCCAATGCAAGGAGATCAAATTACAAAAGTGTAACAGTATAGATTGTAGAGAAGGTTTTGAAGATCCGATATGTGCAAAAACAACAAATCAGCACATCACACATCACATGAAAATTACAATAGCTTGAATCGGAACTCATCCTTTGCGGCTATTCGGCTATTTCAGAAAACAGCACCTTACACACATGGGTTCCCATGTTTAGTGGACTGAAACATGTGAAAAAACTGAAACATCTTCTCCATTCCTTTCCCCCAATGGATTTGAATGCTGGATGGCACCCACGACACGGCAGGACTTTGCTGTCCAGCGCGTGAATGTTGTGAAGAGTCAGGAGGGCCACCCTCAAAGTTGAGCCATGTTCTCGATTTTTAAATTTCAACTTCAAGTCTCTAGGTTTTGCACCTTTTCCCGTTCTGTTTATTCTAGTGAGTTTGCATTTTTTGCATTAGGCTCGGACAGTATACATTATCTAACATGTCATTCCCTTTGATAGCTAGACTCTAGACTCATGGTTTTGAGTCTCAATCTGCGGCACATCACAAACATGCATTCAATCAGAGCCGAGAGCAATACAGCCACATATCCATGGCCCATGGGTAGAGGATCCCAATGCACCTTTGCACAGTGGGCCTCTTTGGTGGCCCCTGGTAAAATAACATGCCCACCAACATAGACTTTGAGAATGGCCCATTCTTAAAGGATGAGTCTTCACGCTCATAGTGTCTATATGTCATAGTCTATATGTGAATTAGAAAGATGGCGCTTGTCTATGTGAATTGGGGATATTGGAGGGATGCTATACTCACTTCCCCTTTAAGTCCCTGGGGCCTCAGGACCTTGGCATTTTGCCCCCGAAGACCACAGTGCTGCCGGTGAGCCAACGTGGCTTCCCCGACGACCTGCGGCCGCAGGCTGAACTCCTCCAGTTGAAGTGATGTTCATATTTTTTCAATGGCCACCAAACAGATGGGGGTTCTTTCCCAAAGTCGTTTGGGATATTTTAGGCCACTTTTGTGGGAGTGGAGTGGTTTGAGAGTCTTGGTTTGATGTTAGATTATTGCTGGGGTCGACTGTTGAGATTCTTGTAAAGCTGTAGTACAGTTGGTTAATGTTGGTTATCAGAGGTGTTAATGAGGGACAGGGTGTAAAGCATCAAAGACGTGATCGGAAATCAGATTACGGTATGTGTTTTTGTTTTCCAAATATGATTCCCAATATCAGATAAAAAGTGTGTTGATGCAGGCATCTTTGCACCAAGACTGGTAATTCAACTTCGAAGAAATGGCTGCCATTCGATGCCATTCGCACCTTTGCATTCAAATCATAGAGAAAACAGTAGCTGAATGGCACCTCCTACATACCATTCAGCTAATCGCTGGAGACCTATCGAGAGTCCACAACAACATCCCAAGATCAAAATCCATCAACATCCCACAGAAACGCCCCAAGTGTCTTTCTAGTCTTGCCCCTTTGAAATCCTGAAAAAGTCCAACTAAGCGGCCGTGTGTCCCATCCTCCCAGCAGCCGCGCAGGAGGTGTCCTCCACCTCTGAAGTTCTGGGAGAAACAGCCAGGAGCTGCCAGACTTGGGCCTTGTTTGATCCAGAATGGAGATGAGTGGAGTAATGAATTATGATCCCATATAATCTCCAATATATAAAGATATAAGATAAATATAAAATCAAATATACATGTAAATATAGATATTGAAGTATATTTAATATAACTATCTATATATACACATAGATAGTCATAATCCAAAATAACTGTAACCCCATATAATCATATATAATCACTATTGATCATTACTCAACAGGGTTTTCCTACGTCGGTTGACTTGGCTTTGATTCTTGGCCTGTTGGAGGCAGTTGCCCGATGCGCATCGTTTGTACGGCTACGGTGAAAGACAGGCTGGGAGGCTAACATGTCAACGATTTGTGGAGTTTGCCTTTCTTGTGTATCAGGTGCTACTTGATGTAGGGAAAAGTGTGCTGAAGCCACATATATATATATGTTACATTATATTATTAAATGTGGATGTGCTGAATTTCTGTGAATCAATCCCGGACTACGGCAAAGGTAGCCAGTTGGAGTATCAGTAGCAGCAGCAGCATGAGGAGGAGTAGTAGTTGTTGTTGCGTTGTCAGCCGCCATTTCTAGCGTAACTCATTGTTTCCAGGATTCCAGGCTTCAGTTGTTCGGTGGCAGCCAGTCAGTAAAAGATGAATGGAATTCTACAGACAATTTTATTGTTTTCGTACCAGACTGTTGAATGCCTTTGCCTTGTGCAGAATGCATGCAGTATCCAATCGGATGCGTTATACATGTGTATATATATACACATAATTATATATAATTATATAATTGTATAAATATATATATATATATATATGCATACGTATAGGCATTAATGAGCCTTTTCGAATGCTTTCCGACCTATCTGCTAGTTTGATTGGAAATTGGGTTCCATGTTTTTCCCGCCTGCAAAAGCAAAATCAATGCAACTCAAATGGCATCAGCAACATTTTCGAAATCCCATATGACAGTCCATCATTGAAGTGGAGTTTCTGAACAGTTTTGGCACCCAATGTATCACAAACCCAAATCGAATTCTGCAAGTGTTTTATGCGGAAAAGCACAAGTATAATGAACTGTACTTTGCAATCCCATAAATATTATACATACATATCTATATATATTTTTTCCTGATATCTTGTTTGGCCCCAGAAATTGTTGACATTGGTTTCCAGTATTTATATCTATACACATGTTTAAATCTATGTGTATAAATGATAATCATATATATATATATGCATCCATGGACAACCTACTGTCAGAAAATATGTTGAAAACAGGAGAACCATATATATATATGAACTATTGTTCAAAAAAAACTTTAACTACTGTAATTGTAACTATTGTCAACAAAACATTTACTCTCTGGTTATTTAACATAGCCATGGAAAGATCCACCATGTTTAAGTTCGGTAAACCATCTATTTCTATGGGCCATCTATACCATGGCAAACTGTTAGTCATAACCAGAGGGTACATCATATAAACCATATATCATATAATGAACAATAGTTACATTTAACTATTTAAAACAGTAACATGTGGTATATATGCTTTTCATTTGGGGTATATTGATGGGATCCATGTTATCATATATAGCACCATGGATCCTATGGGATGTAGAACACCCGTTGCATGTTTGTTTTTTAACGACTCGACCGTTGCTCGCTCGCTCAAGCGATTCGCCAGATTCGTTACTCCTCAGAGGTGGCAGCTCCGCAGTACAACCAAGGCATGCCTGGTGGCCACCAACATAGGTCTAATGTTTCTTCAAACCTCCATAGTAAATATGTTGTTTTTTGTTGATAAAACATGTAGTTGGGAATATGTATTCAGAATTGTTGGTATTATTTCTGTTTCATTGAGTTTCATTGATTTTGTTATTTTAAGGTATCTTTATATTTTTTGTTTATCTGTTTATCTATTTATGCACTTATCAATTGATTGTTGCTGTCTTAACCCACACGGCAAGTCTCCCGAAGCCAGGTGTGGTGATCGTGCAGGACTACATGGGTCTGCCGCAGCAGCCTGGGCACCAGATGGTGCACGCAGACGAGGCATGGCGGTAGCAAAGACAGTGGGAAGACCCTCTGGTATGGGGATAACATAATGGAGAGATGCTGAAACATACTGTACTAAAACAGATCTTTCGGATCCATATGCACGTTTCCTAAAATCAGAGTACCTCCATAAATGGCCCCCAAATCATCAATTTTGTCAGGAGTTTCCAATGTAAAACATCCATTTATGGAACCCCCCAGATTGGGATGGGTCAAATTGAAGACTCGACCACAGATTTGAGTATAATTTTAACCATCCATTTTTGGAGCTACTCATTTTTGACCCATACCCATATGGAGATATATTACAATGGGGATATAATGAATATATCATGGGAGATGATATAATCTCAACAATATGTTTGATGGGATTATATATTGGGGATCTAGCAATGTTTCATTGCCGGCGGTAATGAAACATGGCTAGCTGGCAAATCAGTATAAATGATGGTTTCAATGGGAAGATCATCGAATTCAATGGCGGAATATTTCCAGACTCCCCATGTATCAATGAAAACGGTTGCTTTACCTGAGAATTTCAAGACTTTTCGTTGATTTTATGGTGGAGGGTCCAGGTGCCAATCTCAGAATCAAGCCTCAAGCTGGTGTTTGATCGATCCCCATCGAAAAAATCATCTCGCTTGGATACCCAGTCCTAAACGGGATGAGTCACTAAGTAAGCTGCAATTTCAGTGGGAATATGACCATGATTTTTTTTATGAAATAAATCTGGGTATCTGGCTAAGGGTAAACAGTGGTTGTCACTGGATAGTTCTTTTTTATACTTTGTGTTGCCATAAAACGGAAAATACTGTGGCCAGCAAAGGAACGGCAACTAAGACTCATAGGAGAGAACCAACATCAAGCAAGGAAGAAAATGAGTGATACACCAAGACACGCATCATACAGTGCACACAGCGTTATATATATATATAATCATTCCAATTTGGAATAACAGTTTTCAACCATTTAATTTCCACCAAGTCGAAAGGGGTCTTGAGAATGTTGAACTTTGATGGAGGAAGCGGGCATCCTGCAGGGCAGGGCCCACGGCTGTAAGTTGTAGATTTGAGCGGCTCCGGCAGGGCAAAAAACAAATATATAATATATATATATAATATATATATATATAATATATATAGTATATATATAATCTAATATCATATATTTTAATATAGTATACTCTAATATGAGATAGCATCATTTAATATCGTATAATATCATTTAATATCATATAAGATAATATATAGTACAACTCAATTCAATATAATATAATATGATACAATATAACGTAATTTAGTATGATATAATATGACATCATATCCAAGTGACTTAAATCCAAGGAGTTGGCCGCACGAGAAAACGTTTCCACGACAGGTCATTCAGAACAGCGCCTGGCAACGCTGCGGAGCCTTTCTGCCGATCCGCGACGGATCCTACGGAGTTCCGCCCGTTGGGGGAGCTTAGATGAGCTGAAATCAGCCGTTTCAATGGCTGGGTTGAAGATGTTCAAGATGGTTTGAGGGACAGACTGCAAACATATGCAAACACTATGGAATCATAGATAAATATATGATAATATATATATATATATATATATGTATTATACACAAGATTATATAATTAAGGAACATTCATAATTATATATATATGGTATATACAGCGGTTTCCTGTACACGTTCTCTTCTGTAATGCCACTTTGGTGATTTCAGGTTGAAGATCACCAGCCACTTGCTCAAACTGTCTTCTTTGGTTTATTTTCCCAATGGTAAGTCCATCATTTGGTGAATCTGTAGCGAATGTGTTTTTTTGGAGCCCCCTAAGCAAATCCAAGACCAATGGTAACACCACGTGGACATACTTCTCAGAGCAACAACCAGAACAGCATACTGTGAACCTGCAGGTACCTTGTAGGACTCATTACAACTCATAGAAAATCAGAAACTAATTTCCTGGCCAAATCTGATCAACTGGATGCTGAAAGTACTATCTATGAATAGTTAATTGAGTTTGGCAGTCCAAATCTGGTAGCCCCTAATTTTTGCCCAAAGTTCAACATATAATAATACAATCCGTGGCCCCTAATACATCCCCAATGTCTTTAGTCTGAAACCTAGATTCAAAGCTTCCAGACCATACCAGATATCGCAAAATGCATCCAAAAAAGTCCTAAAGTGTATCCAAAAAAGTGTCCAACGCATATATATATATATATATTCAGGAACTTGATTGTTCTTCTCAACAAAAAATCAGAAGTCACCAGTTGATCGATCAAGGCCAGCGATTGGAAGCGAACGGACTGGTCTCAGGTCCGTTTCTCTTCCCCGGGATGGTCATCCGGAGAGTGGGACCTGAACGTATTGGGTTTGTTTGAAGATAGGCTACCCCAAAAAATGTGATTATGTGAAACTGTTTTCCCTATCAAAGTCGCAAAGTTTGGATATAGCCAAGTGTCAGACACATCCAAAATCATTTATTACATACACATATACATATACATAAATGTATATAAATGTTTATTATGTATATATACATACATATGTTTAATGTATGCATGTATCTGGTACATATACATACATACATACATACATACATACATACATACATACATACATACATACATACATACATACATACATACATACATACATACATACATACATACATACATACATACATACATACCTACATACATAAATACATACATACATACATACATACATAAATACATACATACATGCATGCATACATACATACATACATACATACATTACATACATACATACATACATACATACATACATACATACATACATACATACATACATAGATACATACATACATACATACATACATAGATACATACATACATACATACATTGATACATTGATACATTGATACATTGTACACATACAAATGCATGTATATTGTGTGTATGAATATATATATATATTGTTATCTATATTCCCGTTATATCCCGACTGTTCCGATTATATAAATCCACAATTTTCAGGCTATCGGCCAGAGACCTGAGCATCCACCAATGATCGGCTGTGTTGATGGTGAGTCTACCTGGTATATCACTGAGATATGGTTGGTATATGTTAGTATAATAAAGGGATTTATTCCTCAAATATCCTGAAATTGTGTTTTCAAAATCCAACAACCCTAAAGTACTTTCCAGAAATGGTGTATTACAAAAAAATAGTGAGAAACTCCTTATTCCAATATTATTGTTTACTCCAACTCATTTTCCTAAATTTGAGTACCCTTCTTATTCAAGAAAGATGGACAACCCTGATTTTGTTGATTATCGAATTGTACGGAGATTTCGCCATAGTTGTTTACTGGGCGGGCCACTGGTGAGTACGATAAAGTGATGTTATCTACCTCAGGGATGGTCTCACTTCCAAATTGATGAATCTGTGCCGGGTTAGCACCAATCAGCTACCTAGGCACTAACCCGGTAAGGGTGAACTATGAGGTTTGATCCTTTTTGGGTGGATCGTGAGCCTAAAAAAATATCCATAGTTTAGGGCCAACGCCTGATCCGGGGTTTTAGCCAGGAACGTGAAAAATGTACATCAGCATACTCCGTTCCGTTTCTTAGTAAGGTATAAAAGGTTTGTAGCAGCTGACCATGGGCAGATTGTCTAACAGTGTTTGGTCACAATGGGTATTCTCTGAAACACACAAACAAGTTCGCTGTTGTTTTGTCAGCACCAAGACTTGTTTGACTGCTTTTTGGGATTTACACTCGAGGGGAACCCTGAAATACACTAGGACTCTTTTAAAAGAGACCGAGTTGAAATTTGTTCAGCACGTGCTTTTGTTTACTTGGAGATAGACATGGTCTCGTCCATCAACATCATGACGCGGTGTTGCCCATACGATTAAACCGTAATTAGTGATTAGCCCAAAAGAAGCTTCACAAGCCATGGCCATTGTTTTGAGGAATTCTTCCCACCAGGCTAGGCTCATGGTGCTTTAATTTTCTTACAATCTATAATGTGTTTTGTGACCAGTCGGGCGTGTCCAATGCTTCCCCTGGCATCCCAGGCTGTTGACATGCGTGGAATCCGACAACGTGCTGGGCAAAGAGGCCGGTTGACCGCGGATGTGGATGTGGGTCACTTGATCGTGGGGAGTGTACCCTGAGGTTTCTATATATTTTCTATCCGACCTCAAAAAGTTAAATTCCAATCCTTGATTAAACCAGAGGGTAAGCTTTCTCGTGGATTTCCGAATTTGATGGAAAATCACATGTTTCAATAAACTTACAGGAGGCCAGGAAGCCTGCGGGTTCTTGCCTCTGACCAGCAAAATGCAGTTTTTGTAAGCTTTCCCTTCAACCGATTCAATTGGAATTACAGGGAATGATGGGGCGCAGAGGACAGCAACTTCTTGGCTAGGTCCAATTCAAACAAGACCTGTGTTGAGTGTGAAGTCTGCGGTTCCTTCAGGATTTCGCAGGGATCGCCGAGAAGTGGAAGGTGAAATGAACTTCACCACAGGATTTTTGGTTTTGGATTGGCTTCTCCCCACCAGTGGACTTTGCCAGTTGGGAGCTCGAAAAGATATGATCCTGGTAGGATCGCCTCAAAAAAAAATAAACACCCTCTGGTGTCATCAAACATTGCGATTTCTGGGCAATCCCCTAGCCGCCTAGCCATGGCCGCAGGACTTCAAGAGAAGTTTGATCGATTGCCCCTAACCCAGAGGGCAGGCTGCCGAAACAAGCCAGTTTGGGTTAATAATATTGCTATAGATGGTTATATACCCCCATGTTAAATATAATACAAGCCAGTTTGGTGTGTGAAACAAGCCAGTTTGGTGTGTCTGACCATGGGTTAATATTATGGTTATATACCCCCCAGTTTTTGGTCGTCTACAGAGAGAACATGATGAAAACAAGTGAATTTAGGGTGCCCTATTTTCAGACCCAGTAGTTGCAATCACGGCTAGTGAAGTACCTGAGTGGCAACCGCAAGAGTTGAGAAACATTGACACGTTTGATCATATTCCTGCTGGTAGGACTAGGTGGGGTTGAACTGGAAAGGTATGCGAGACATAGTGCGATTCCTAGTACCCTTTAAAACGGGTCATACTACGACCGTCATTCGACCAAACATGAGACCCCACCATATTCGTTTATCCTGGGCAGTAACATCCTACATCTTGTGGTATCTCAGCTCAGTGTGGGATGCGTTATGAAGAATTGAATGCTGCAGGAGTGACTTTCAAGTAAAAGAATCATGTGTGTGTGTCACACATTAATAGACACAGTGGTACACATACAGATACACATTGAACATCATTTAATATAATATCATATCATATCACATCACAACACATCACATCATATCATATCATATCATATCAGCCTCACTGTCAAAAAAGGGGTTGCTGTTGACATTGCGTTGCCAAGGTACAGATTGCGAAATGCTTAGCCGGAGCCTGCCAAGCAGCCCGAGCAGCCGCGCCAGACCTCCGTTGGGATGGCGAAAAGACAAAGTAGCTGCCCTTATTTTTTGGCTGTGGAAATATGGAAATTTATGGTAAAACTATGTAAATATGTACATTTTATGTGAATAGAGATCATTCAAGACCTGTGGATCATTCATTGTTGAGATGGACATTCACGACTCCCAGTTTTGATGTGAATAGAAGGGGAGAATGAAAGTCCAACGGTTTTGATGTGACTAGAATGGATTATTCTAGGCTTCTGCCTCATACCATCTCATACCCCTGTGGCAACTATATAATTGCTTTAATTGCAATGGGAAGTATGGCACTGTTCTCAGGAATGAGGTTGTAGAAACACAAAACCCTACCATTCCCAGCCTCCCAAAGCTGTTCGAGCATCGTCCCTCACGCAGATACCCTCACAGCAGCATGGGCCTCAAAGATCCTCAAAGTGTGGAGTTTTGTGGGCAAAGGGTATACTTTCTGGTATATAATTCAATCCGGTTGACTAATAAATGGGAAATGGTCAACATTGCCAGTTTAGATTACCAGAGATTACAGGGGTAAGACTAGCAGAATTATATCGTATGCCATGGCTTTGTTAATTTGTTAATTTTTGTTATGTGCATTTGGATGATGCTTGGAGTGGTATTGGCTTATTCTTCTTAAGAAGGGATTGTGTGAGCCAGCACAGTCAGTGATGTCTAGCGATTGGGCACGTTTGGTGGTTGTGTTTTGTGAACTAAGATTGGCGGGAAGATAGTTAGTCACTACACAGACTATATAGGTGAAATTGGTTATACCACAATAGGCACTTGGCCACGAGATCGAACTCCGAATTCATGAGCCCTCAGATTCCAAGAGGTCTCAAATTCGCAAGCCCTTGGTGCTTGATAATTCAATGAGAACTCCCCAAAAATCTGCAACAGCAGGGAATCACCCTTTACCTCTAGCCCTAACTAAGAATAGCTGAATAGAAGCCGGGGCTTCAGCAAAGGATTCCTGTTCAATCGTTGAGTGCCAAAGACACCATTTCCCCTAGGAGGTTTCCCTATCATTCAGGATTCCCGCGCCTTTTTTTTTGTTGTATTCCAAGCCACACCTGATATAGGTATCGGTATCGTCGTATGTATATATATATATAATAGATTAATATAGTTACATATGTGTTAGAAGATAGAGTAGATTTACATAATTTAGCGTCGATATATTGTTATAGGGGTCTCCAAGGAGATAATCTATATATATATATATAACTGTATGTATACTGTCTATCACGAAGAAAATCCTGGATGTTATAGACGATGTTCACCCCGCATTTTCCAGGTGTCCCACTTTTCTATGGGAGTTCTATTTTTTTGGGATCATATCCCCACGACTCCCTGGGATTGTACCCAGCTAAGCTGTTCTAAGGCTTAACTGGCGACAGGAGCGAAGCGCCAAATCGCAGTGACTGGGACGGCATGTTGGGTGATTCTTAGGACCTAAAGCCATCAACCACACGAGTCTAAGAATATGAGATATCATGTATATATATATATATATATATTAGAAGTTATAGCTATGGACATATTAGCTTATACAATGCTTAATGGATAAAAATAATCAGACAATCGATTTAGAGTTTCTGCATTCTTACCTCTTTGGATATAAAACCATTGTCAATTGTCAGCCATCCAAAATTATAGGTCAGTATTGTTGAGGCAGAGCCACAAGACGGGGAGGTAGCTGCATATGGCAATATTTGGATGCACACTATTTTTGTGTATATATATAAGTTGTAAGACAAGCAGTGTCATACTGGTACAATGAGTATATTGTAATCATTCAACATTTTTCAACCAAAGGGAGACAACCACCGGTTGTTTCTCATTTATAATTTGCAGCCACCAGATATATATATATATATATGTTTTTTTTGGTTGAAGGATTTTGAGCTCCCAGCCAGCCATTTATGGCACGATCCGACAAGTAAGTTCAGCAGATATTTGAGTACTGTAGTCTGAGAAAAACTTGTTAGTAATGCAGTAATATCTATGGCCATTTCAGGAACCTAAATTGGAGGTACCTACCATATATAAGGCCTATATAAGGGGTCCTGAAATTTCAATTGATAATATGCTTAGCTCAGTAGCCTACTGAGCTGCTGTTCCAAGTGTCGTCGATGTTCCTCCAGCTGTGCAGGCGCACAGACGCAGGGCCACCAGCCCTCACGGGTACGCTTGTGATGCCACAGCCCCTTGGGTCACATGGAGCGGTTCGGAGTTATGTTATTTTCCCGTCTTAAAATGGGGAGCCAGGGAGCTACTAAGAGTTTCCCGACCACATGATAGTTCTATGAGATGTATTGAGATCTCTGAAATTTGATTTTGAATTATGTTCTTTCAGGCATGTTGTTTGGAACTGATATGTCACAAAGGTGTGGAGGTACATGTATTGCATACATTGTGCTACATCACTATATATGTCTATGTATAAAACAATTATACACATAGATATAGATGACGACTCTGTCTTGAAAGAAACCTGTTGGTTTCTGCGATTATGCTGAGTTGAGGTGCCGATATTTCGTTGAATATCCACCGGAAACCACAAAGCTCACCTGCAGTCTTTGAGAACAGGAACCACACATGAGTCCTGATTGAACTGCTTGGTTGATTCAAGGGTTGAAGCCATAAGACGATATAAGATAGCTCTTTCATCAGAAACAATAGGGATTTCACAGCTCTTAGATCAGAAACATTGGACACTATTTCCAAGTCAACTGGAAAGTGGGTATGATGAACCAATACAACTGGTGGTTTCAAAATAGGTGAGATCAATAAATTCTCGTTCACCTTGGTGAGTCGCCTCGGCGAAGCCAATGGAGCTGTGGCGCAAAACAAAACACCCCTTTTATTTTGGTTGAGTACAAAGAAGGGGGTTATACGATGTTAAATGGCTATACTATCCAATACACATATGTTATCATATATTCATATATATATATACATATTATATCAATATATCAATATATCAATATATCAATATATCTGGTATCATAATCCCTAAACTGGACAATCCCATGGAAATCCTATCAACCAACCAATATCAGAAGTGACAGCTGAGGGTTTTCACATCCCATGCTTTGAAGTGTCCTGACCACAGGGCTATCCTAAAGCCTGAAGCGGGACAAGCTTGAACATGTCATATCACATATAAATACATATAATATTATAATATAGATGTAATATATACTATATATAATATATACTATATACAGTATATGAGTTACATCATGCTGAACGTTGATTCTTAGTTCCGTATGCCTCTGTTTTTTCCCGTGACTTGAGCCCCAGGTTTGAAGCGCCCAGCTCCACCGATACTTCAGGGCCCTTTTGAGAAAAAAATCACCGCGCAGCCACCGGCCTCGGCATTCTCCTCACCGGCCTCGCCATGATAAGATGAAGCCAATAGGAATCATCCAAAGGCTTATTGTTGATTTGAGAATTTGCGAAATCTTTGGCCCAGAATGAAACAATAGGACGAAGTATAAGGAAATTGAGGGTTGAAGCATTCACCAACCATTCAAACATCTGGACCAGCTATTGTTGCTGGGATTCTAGCCACCGAATATCCGGCATCCTGGAACCCCAAAGAACCAGAAATTAGGGTCATGTTGGCTGTTGCTGTAGTTGGAAATTCAGCACCAAGACAGGAAGATTCGGACGGGTCAATACCCACTTGGTGGTTTATTCTTTTTGAATAGCAGGTGAAGTTCAAAACATGCTTATACTAATGGAAAAAGTTTCCGTTTGCCCACCGAAGTCTACGACCTACTTTATGTAGGCTCAACAACCACAGTATGGAACCATTTTGGGGACCAACAAGTTTACAGCTCCACGTTTTGCTGTGAAAAGTAAGGCATTACAGGTTACCAGTTTTGCTGTGATTTTTGAGCCGAAATGACGGGTGAAGCGCTGTCCTTGGGAAACGCAAAGACAGGTCCCTCAGAAGTATCCAAAAGGATTCAAAGGGCATCGTTTCATGTTTTTGTTGTTTTTTTGTACAGTCTTCTTAAGGTACAAGAAACCTGTTTGAACATATAGAAGGCTTTATCTCAAAATGGGAATGTTCATCCGTCGAATAGCCACTTGACTAGCTTGCCGGGTGGCCGTTCATGTTCAGATCAGACTCTTCAGCCCAGAGACAGCCCAGCGAATCCTACCAGGTTTTGGATTTTGCCGTGTGGTAACCACTTACCCTCTGGTAAACATACAAAAAACTATGAAAAATCACCATTTTTAATGGGTCAATCAACTATTTCTATGGCAATTTTCAATAGCAAACTGTTTGTTTACCAGAGGGTCATCGGTAATCGCCAGGTTTTCCCTATGGTGGTAGATTTACCATGTGGATAGGTATTTTGTAGATGGTCCACATCCACAGTTCTTAGAGTTTAAATGTAAACCCACAAAGGTACAAGAGTGGTGGTGTAGGCTTCCAAGGCTTGTAGGTATTTGCCCAATCTTAATATGGTTGATCCTCCCCAAGAAATGCTCATGTATATATATATATACACATCATTATTGTTATTACTATTAGTCCTAGTGTATACAGGAATTGTATTATATTATATATATTATTTATTATCATTATCATTAATATGTATATATATATAGTTATATTATATATAGTATATTATATATAGTATACTTTATTGATGTATATTATATAAAATATAATATATATATATATATAATATATAACGTATATATATATAATATGGAGGTATCCTAAAAATAGTGATATCCCCAAAACATACATGTTAGGTTGGGAATTTCCATGAAATAATCCGTCCAGCTATTGGGGTACCACCAATTTAGGAACATATATATATATATATATGTATCATTTATAGCAATCGGTACACGTATTCTAGTCCAAGGAAGCAGAGCTTTGTTGTTTCTTCCGCTGAGCTTTTGGGTCGAGTTCAATCGCAGTT